AGTTCAAAGTTCGGAGCAAAATTACAAAAGCTACTACTCCATGTTGTTGCTGGGGAATGTACATCATTTTCTATTAGTTGTATGTGGGGATTATTTTATACGCGTAAGCATATTGAAGGGTAGTTGTTTGGTCATAGTATATAAGAAGTTGGTCAGGCGTAAAGTGGTCATCGACGAGCAATAATCAACCAGATTTCGAACACGCTTTACCTGTTATGAATGAGTCAAATTCTAGTCACGAGGAGCGGGTTTTACATGCTGCGCCCCAAATTGGCCAAAGTGGACGACCTGGCTTGACACAAAATTCGCAAGACGAATTCACTAGTGAAGATGCACTGGATATTTTTACAGACAAATTAGAAAGGGCGCTTAGACGGCAAAAGCAAGAAATCGTCAGTGAGTTGAGTTTAGCCCAGAGGTCAACAGAAAAAAAGGTACCTGATTTTAGATATCAAGGCAATAAAATTCAGTTTGAATTCAATGCAGAAAGAGAAACTGACATTAGAAAAGTATTAAACCTGTTGGAAAATAACAGAATAGAAGCGGCTAAAGAAATTTTGAATTCTACCATAACACATTTGAATAAAAGAAATAAAGTTGTTCGCATAGCGGATAAATATGGTTGGGATGTTGTACATGAGTATGAAGATGATCCTATTACTGACGACGCTGACGATGCTACTAAGCTTCGACAAGCTATTTTCAGAGCAAAGAAAAGAAGCAACAACAAGAAGCCTTATGACAGAACAACACGTGCTTATCCTGGACAGGAAGTGCAGTCATTTCCGGGACAGTTTTTTCGTTCATATGGGCAGGATTCTGGACAGGGTTTCCCCAGAACAGTACGGAGTACGGAAGACAATCGTTCTATCAGCCCTTCACATATCCTCAACAAGGGTACAGAAAGGCAACTTCAACTGTCACAAGTAACAACGGAGCAGCAGCCAGCAACATCTGTTTCTACTGTAACAAATTTGGACACTGGGCCAACAAATGTCCAGAGAGAGGAAGTGGAACTTCCACTACAACCGCAACAACAACAACAGCCAGCAAATAATGACTTGGTGAGCACTTGTTCTTTGAATGACAATGTATGTGAATTTGAAAATTTTAGTTCAAATAGTGTTAAAGGCAATTTAAAGAAACACGCAAAATTTTGGAAATATCATATAGGTGCCTCAGATTTTATTTTAAATGTCATAGAATATGGTTATTTTATTCCATTTTTAATGTTGCCTCCAACAGCATGTCTCACTAATAACAAATCTGCATTACAGCATGGACAATTTGTTGACTGTGCTATTAATGAGCTCTTAGTTTCAGGAATAGTAGAGGAACAGATGACTCAACCTTATGTGGTAAACCCTTTATCTGTGTCGGTTAATTCTGCTGGAAAATGTAGATTGATATTAGACCTCAGGCATGTTAATCAATTTATTGAAAAGAAAAAATTTAAAATCGAAGGTGTTGCTAATGCATTACAATTGGTGGTAAAAAATGGATTTATGTACAAATTTGATTTAAAGTCAGGGTACCACCATGTAGAAATACATGATTCGCATCAAAAATATCTTGGTTTCACATGGAAATTTTTGGAGATAAAAAGAGGTATTTCATTTTTAAATGTTTACCTTTTGGTTTGTCGAGTGCCCCGTATTTATTTACAAAGTTACTTAGATCTTTAGTGAAATTCTGGAGAAACAAAGGTTTTAATTCAATCGTTTATCTAGATGATGGATGGGGTATTGCTGATGATTATCATACTTGTGCAAAAATTTCTTGTGAAGTTAAAAAAGATTTAATTGATGCAGGTTTTGTTATCAATGAAGAAAAGAGTGAGTTTCAACCCAAACAAGTCATTAAGTGGTTAGGATTTTTATGGGATACTAAATTGGGAACTCTATCAGTACCTGATGATAAACTTTTGAAATTTCAGAATGATATTGAGTTCATTATCAAAAACAAAAGTAATGTTACAGCTAGACAGTTGGCTAAAATTACAGGGAAAATCATTTCATTTTCTTTTAGCCTTGGTAACATATGTAACATCATGTCTAGATATTTACATATAGCCATTGCAGAATGTGTCTCATGGGATCAAACAATATTATTTAATGATAACATCGATCATGAAATTAACTTTTGGTTACAAAATTGTAGATCTTTAGCCAGAGTGTGTTATTTTGAAAGTGACAAACGTCCAGAGCAGATTTTATATACAGATGCTAGTGGTATTGCAGGAGCTGGTTATTCTGTTAAGACAAATAATTCGTTGGTTCATTATATGTGGACACCTGAACAGAAGTGTCAAAGTTCCACATGGAGAGAACTTAAAGCAGTACAAATTACTGTAGAGAGTCTCAAAGAAATGTTAAGCGATAGGGTAGTTAAGCTGTACACTGATAATCAAAATGTAGTCAAGATCGTTGACAAGGGCAGTATGAATCAAGAATTGCAAAGTTTATCAATATCTATTTATTCTATTTGTTTGCAGAATAAAATTAAGCTAGAGACTGAATGGATTCCAAGATCTGAGAATGAAATTGCAGATGCGTACAGTAAGATTTTTGATTTTGATGATTGGTCAGTGGGTGATCACATTTTCCAGTTTTTAAGTAAAAAATGGGGGCCATTTGATTATGATTTATTTGCAGACTGTAAAAATAAGAAAGTAGAAAAATTTTATTCCAGATTTTGGAATCCTGGAACATCAGGTGTAGATGCTTTTGGGTTTGATTGGTCTATAGGTAATAATTGGATAGTACCTCCTGTTAATCTAATTATAAAAGTGATTAAACATTTGATTTTGTGCAAAGCAAGAGGTACTCTTATTGTTCCTAAATGGCAGTCTGCACCTTTTTGGCCTTTATTAGTTAAGCCGTTTTCTGGAAATTTTCAAAATTTTGTTAAAGAATGGCTTGAATATCACAAGCCTCGAAACTTTTTCAGGAAAGGATCTCATGCAGAAAGTGTGTTTGCTGAACCACAGTTTCAGAGTAATGTTATTGTGCTTTACATAGATTGTTCTGATTGTTGAATTTTGTGTTTATGCTATGTTATAACAGACAATGATCATGAATTTATGTTAGCCTTTATGAGGCTTTTGTAAAGCCCGGATGGGGCAATTGTGATGAAGCCCGGATGGGGCAATTGTGATGAAGCCCGGATGGGGCAATAGTGATGAAGCCCGGATGGGGCAATTGTGATGAAGCCTTGATGGGGCAATTATGAATATAAAATTTATGTTGCATATAATTGTTAATTATTATGAATTATGAAGCATTATGAATAAGATTACAGATGTACTTATTAAATTTGATCAAGAAAGGGCTGAAATGTTGATCAAGAGACATAAATGTATATATATTTAATATGAAGTAATTTTTTTTTTTAATTTCAGCTCACATGTAGTTTCTCGACTTGGAAAGAAATTAAAAAGATTCAAGATCCTAGACTCAAGGACACGGTACTCAAAATGAATGATATAGTAATGCACAGTAAAAGTGATAACACGTATAAAAAATACAGAAGCTATTTTCTACAGTTTAAGTCTTGGTGCACAAAATTTAAATTTCTTGCATTACCTGCTACACCATCTTCTGTTGCAGTTTATTTGTCTTATCTTATACAAAAGCAGTCTTCAGTTGCAGTCATTAATGCGGCATATTATAGTATTCAATGGGCACATCATATTAATCTTTGTAATAATCCATGTGCAGACAATCTTGTAAATTTGATTTTAGAAGGAGGGAAGAGATTGTTATCGAAACCTGTAGTTAAGAAGAAACCTATTACACCTGAGATTTTAGATAAAATAATGGATAAATTTCCACAGGTAGAAAATTTATATCATTCGAGATTGGTATGTATGTTGTTATTAGGTTATGCAGGTTTCTTAAGATATGATGAACTTGTGCATATTCGAATGTGTGACATTAAGTTTCATGAATCAGGTTCACATGTTGAAATTAGAGTTGATAAAAGCAAAACGGATATTTTCAGGCAAGGTAATATTGTTGTTATAGCGAAAACAGGTAATAAACTTTGTCCTGTTTCTTATCTTGAAAAATACATATCATTAGCTGGTCTTGCTTTTCAGTCTAATGATTTTATTTTTAGAGCAGTTACATTTTTCAAAAAGGACAATGTTTATAAGTTATGTAAATCAAATAAACCTTTGACTTATACTAGAGCTAGAGAGCTTCTTCTGGATGCTCTTAAAAGTGTGTGTGTAGATTTTAAAGATTATGGTTTACATAGTTTGAGAAGTGGTGGAGCAACTGCAGCAGCTAATAACAATATTCCAGATAGACTTTTTAAAGCTCATGGCAGATGGCGTTCGGAGAATGCTAAAGATGGTTACATTTCAGATAGTTTAAATAACAAACTCGTGGTTACTTTGAATCTTGGATTATGAATTCTTTAATTTCTTTTGTAGGTTAATGATATACCCAACCTTTGTGTTCGAACTGGTTGATAGGCGCTCAACATACTACATCTGTGTTCTGTTATTTATTTTCTAAGTACTTAGAATAGAAATATTTTATGTTCGGATGAGTGAAACGAAGGAGAACATAAATCATTTTCTATTAGTTGTATGTGGGGATTATTTTATACGCGTAAGCATATTGAAGGGTAGTTGTTTGGTCATAGTATATAAGAAGTTGGTCAGGCGTAAAGTGGTCATCGACGAGCAATAATCAACCAGATTTCGAACACGCTTTTTTTGAATTACTTAGATATATATATATTGTATAATTAAGACATGTTTCATTGTATTTTGCAGATAGATTGTATTTGGAATTTTGGTAATATTCTTGGGGTCATCATCCAGTGCATCGCTACTTAAAGTCGCGTGTTTATTGTACATATATATGCGAATAAACTGGTTGATAGGCGCTCAACATACTACATCTGTGTTCTGTTATTTATTTTCTAAGTACTTAGAATAGAAATATTTTATGTTCGGATGAGTGAAACGAAGGAGAACATAATCATCGGTATAGGAGCAGTTCCATCGTTTACCCTGGGTATAACGTACATAGAAGAGAATAGTAAAACCAGGAACTCTCCCTTCTACTTTGGTACTACTTCCTCTCTTACTCTACACCAGCACAGTGTACTAAGTATACTAGTAATAAAATGCTTAAGTTCTTCTACGTGTAGCTTAAATAATGATAATTTTTCAGTAGGAATTCAAATTCGTAAACATGCCTCGGAACCCCCGCCAAAAGAATGAAAATGCTCTTATAATAAAATTCCACTATTCAAATTGTTGCTTTGTAGGTTGTACGTTTTGTTGCGCGGCGCTCGGTGTTGTTGTGGGCTACATTGCAGGGGCACACTCGTTGTCCATATTTGTAGACGTGAATAAAATGGACATAAGCAGGTTAAATTATCTTTTTTTATATTAGAATAATTTTTCGTTAATGGCTTTCCAATTATATTATTAGTTTATATATTTTTATTTTTCAGCATATCTCTGAGTCCACTGAGCCCACAATGGGTAGGAGCCTGGTGGATCTGTATTTTGGCGGGAATGGGGGGGTTTATATTGGTTTTGTTTCCCATAATCGGATATCCCAGAAGACTTCCTGGTAAAATAATCCTTATGGTAAAACTAATTCAATGCACTTCGTACAAAATGTTTTAATAAGTACATTGTGCACCTCCTATTTTACTTTTTGTTTTGATCAGACACACATTTCGGGTTTCCCATAGCAAAATATTGACAGGGCCATTCTTTATATAATATTGCAGGGAACCAATCTCATCCGCAGCTTTTATGAGATGCATTTTTAATGCCTATTTAGGTTAGGAAGAACTACAGAAAGAAAAAGTTTCAGAAGCTCAGACCAATTCTGAGAAGGTCTACAAGGAAAAAGAAGAATTTGGCAAAAGCATAAAACATCTTCCAAAATCCCTCTTGCTACTTGTAAGTAAATAATTCTCCTTGAATCACTAGTATTTTTTTTACTTTGCATGCAACACTCCTTGCAGACTCTATGCAAGAGAGGTTCATATTTAACCAACTACTAGTAAATTTGAAAGGAGTGAGATTCTCTTCTTTTAATTAGGAAATAGTGTTTTCATAAACCTTTCTTAGTCTGCGTCGAAACAATTGTCATTACAGGCGAAGAATCCTGCCTTCGTTTTCATCCTCCTCGGGGGAACTGTTGAAATCTTCATCATTGGCGGATTAGCAACATTTGGCGCGAAATTGTTTCAAGTATTTTTTAACGTAGATATAATGGAGGCCGGAAAACTGATGAGTAAAAACGATTTATATTTATTGATTCTGAAATCAAGTGGTACTCGACAAATGAAACTTTTCATACCTTTACCCTTAAGGTTTCATTATGGTACCTGGATCTGCTGGTGGTATGCTCTTTGGAGGTTATGTAGTGAAAAAGTTCAACTTGAAATGCCGAGGGATCATTCGCTTCAGCTGTGCATGCCTGTTCTTCTGCATGTTACTGGGTCCTTCATTCCTGGCTAGTTGTCCAAGCCGCCCTATAGCTGGAATGTCTTCGACATATCCATCAACTGGGTGAGAGAAGTATCATTATTAAATTGTACTCACTAAATACAAGCGATCAGAATGGACATTTTTTTTCACCTCTCCTGAAGTAACAATTTAGTAACTGCATTATATAAGAATTATTTAACGTGATGTACTTACTTGAAAAGTAAAACCTTCACTAGGCAATATGAGTTTTATTCCACCCATGGTCTTTTGACAAGGTCACTAGGGGGATAGATTGGTAGTAGCAAAACTGAGACAAATGTCTATGCCATACATGCTGCTTGATATGGCTATCAAGGCACTCATTTTGATAATTTTGTATAAATTTTGTTAACCAACAATAGTAACCATAAAAAATGGCACAGGTTTGGATGCTTGCTTTTTTATTTGTACAGGGATTCGTCCTTTATATCCTCTTGTAACTCCGACTGTGGATGTTCTACAAAAGGATACGAGCCAATCTGCGATGAAAACCAAATTGTGTATTTTTCTCCATGTCATGCTGGATGCACAAGTATCACCACTTTAAATGAAACCAAGGTAGTAAAAAATACACTTCGAATAAGATTTTAAGTATGTATGTTAATAATTGATAATGAAAATTTTCTGTCACTGATTATCACCATATCTCTTGGACATGAAGATATACTTAATACAAATTAATAGCTAATATCAGATGGAAAAAATAAGTCTAACCATCTGATTTGTCTGCATCTTTTTAAAGCTTCCATACTTCAACTGTCGATTTTTAAAATTTCTCTCAGTAAATAAATTTGGCTTCTTATGGTAGGCGCTCTGTCTGTCCATAAGTTGTAAGACAATTTCAGAAAAAAAGGTGTTTGCAGTATTTCTTAATTTTGAAATGAATCCGGGGATTGAATTGAATCTATCCTGCATTGTTACGCCGGTGAACTCATCATCATATTAGACCTTATTCAAATATAGGTAGCCCTTCCGGAAATTCTCGTCTGCCCTGCCTTTCCCCATTTCCAATTTGATCATCGAATTCTAAAACGCTTTGCGGGCAGCCAGACAAATTGAAAAGCTTTGGTAAAAAAAATCAATGTTCATTATAAGCAAAGATAAAATGAATATTTTTCTACCAGATATATCAAGACTGTTCCTGTATAAATAGCAGTGCCCCGTCTATGGTTTTGAGAAGTGGAACATGTTCGAGAAGATGTACTTGGTTTTATGTGTTTTGTGTTCTCTTGTTTTTGATGATGTTTTTGACATTTTCTACAACCTCACCAACATTAACAGCAATGTTCAGGTAAGTATGCTTTGAAATATACTTTCGTTTGGGCAAGTTTTTTTGAATTATTGTTTTATGTTTTTAAAGGTTTTCTTTGTGCATTGATATGCATATTCTTTTTTAAACTGACTGAGCAAAAAACTTCGCAAGCGATTCCTTATATTAAGAAGATTCGATGTGACTTGCGTTTTAAGATGGCTGCCACACTTAAGGAGTCGTTTGCCAAGTTTTCTGATTTGCCTAGAATTAAAATTGAAGAATACTTTATCCAATATTTACTGCTCATCAAAGTAAAAGAGTACATTTTCAGATGTATTCCACAACAGCAGCGTTCCCTTGGACTTGGAATACAGTTGACATTTGGTCGACTTCTAGGTAAGTAATTGCATTGTATTGACATCATAAACATAAACGTATATGAACCTTTAAACGTTTCTTTTTCAACAAATGATATGAGAATGCATTCAACTGATAAATGATTGACTAGGAACTCTACCGGGACCAATATTCCTGGGGGCCATTTTAGACAGCACTTGTTCGGTGTGGCAGGAGAATTGTGGAGTACGTGGGTCCTGCTGGATCTACGATAAATGGCCGTTAGGGCTTCGTCTTATGCTGTGGTGGATGGGAACAAAATTCACTGGAGTTGTTCTTCTTTTTATTGCATCCATTGTTTACAAACCAGAGGTAGCAGAAAATTCTACAAATGTGGTGGATGTGAAGAACAATAACGGAGAGTAAGCAAGGACAGATAATCCCGAATTCAATATTCTTGACGAGAACTGTAATTCTAGGTTATGAGAGAGAGAGAGAGAGAGAGAGAATGTTGTGTGTGTGTGTACTTGCTTAATTGGAGAAATTTATTTTATATCATTTTCAGTGAAATGTTTCATACAGATTACGTTTATTGCTATAAAAATTTCATGAATTGAAGCAGATTGTAGTTTTCATTTTGCCATATGTTTAATCATACTTCCCAACATGGCAAAGTACCAATATTACGTTCATGATCTAGTTTTATGTCATCACCAATAGATGGACACTTTGGTTACCTTCACTGGGTGAAAAACTAGGTTTCCCAAATTTGGAAATATCGTGACATCAGTAGTTTCTATATAGTTGCCATTTCACGGAAACCACATAAGAACTTCACGATTCCTGATAAGTTTCCACGATACGGAAACTACTATCTTTCAATTCCCTTAGGTTTCCAACCCACGGAAACTCTAGGTTTCATATATTGATCCAAGTAGTTTCCACATTTTGAAATCCTTTAGATTCTCGACTAGTTTCCCAGCCACGGAAACTACTACCCCTTTCATTCCAAAGGTTTCCAGCTCATAGAAACTTAAGGTTTCCTTATTGTATCCAAGTGGTTTCCAAAACATGGAATCCTTGACATTTCCGAGTAGTTTCCTTGCCACTTATGGAATCGGAGTGTAGTAGTTTCTGTGGCACGGAATCAAGGGGGAAATAACTCAGTATATCACACGGAAACCCCAGGGAAACATAATGTAATCTTGAGGTTTCCAGATGGTTTCCATAAGGATTCCCACAGTGGAAAACTGTTTTTTACCCAGCGCTTTTGTTATCATTGCCTGTCCTGTTATGTTTTAAACTTTCATGTACATAGTAGGTATAGCCTATAAAATTGAGGACAGCTGCAGCTAATATTCAGAGGTATTGGTACTGAGCACTGAGCTCACTAAATGATACCCCCGCCTCCCATATGGTTATAATGGAAAAGTCCATATTTTGCTCTGGGAGACCTAAAACAAGTGACAGATCAAAAAGTAAAATGGTAGAAAATAATGACATTATGTCGTTAAAAATCTGTAAAAGTACCATTAAATATTACTCCACGGTATATGAGGAGCTGCGAATAAAGGATGAGTACCCTATGATATTTTAGAATGAATTATCCTGTCCATGTTTTGCTATGGGGAGTCCAAAATATATGTCGGATCACAAGGTAGAAGGTGCACAATGTTATTACGTCAAAAGATTCTGTGAAAGTGTCATTAAATTTTACTCCGTGGTATAAGAGGAGTTGCGGATAAGAGATGGATAACGTAACATACGGGCGGACATCCCGAACACTATATACCCACCCACATTTCAAGCAGGGGGTAAAAAGAGAGAATATGGCCATGGCCTACGTATGTATATATACTCATAAGCAAATCCTTATTTGAGAAGAGCAGCATGCACTCTAAGTCTAAGTACATCAGAATGCATTAGAATTAAAGTAGAGGTACTTTGAGCACTGATCGCACTAAATGATACCCCGGCCTCCCATAAGATTATAATGACAAAATCCATGTTTTGCCTTGGGAGACCCGAAATAAGTATTAAATCAAAAAATAAAATAAGAGATCACAATGGCATTACAGTATGTAATAAAGAATCCATGAAAGTATCATTAAATATCATTCGGTGATATAAGAGCAGTTGCAGATAAGAGATGGGTACCCACAAGCAAAACTGACGAACGGACGGAAATACAAGCGGACGGACAGCGCGACCACCATGTACCCTCCCACTTTTTTTTTTGATTTGATGGACAGAAGCATAGCGGAGACAGTCTGTTGACGAATGCATTGATGAAACAAGGTTATGAACAATAAAGTTAAAAGTCTAAATTTCGCAAATAATATTAGTTTGAAAAATAGCCGAGGTTTAATTACATAAAATTGGATCAATATATGAATATCAAATGAGTTCATAATTTGATAAAACACATTTGGTGCACAGGTAATTAGACATACATATGTGCATTTTTTGCAAGAAAGTAGTAGATTTGTTCTTTACTTTGGTTCAACCAATTCCTTCTAGAAATCTCGAATTTATCCCCACATGCCTCTCATAGGCTTTCTTTTATATTTGCATAAGGTAACTCTGGATGTGCTCAAATGTTCTCCATTTGAACAACATCAGTACAACGACCATAAAATGAAACTAGTGATAATTAGGAGATTACAAAAGTCATTTTGCCTATAAAACAACGACAATTCAAAGACTATAAAAAGTAATTTATCTAAAACATTTCATTATTAACAGAGACAAATTTTGTTTTGCTCGATAAATATTTCCAGAATGATACCATATTGTTTGTAGCAATGACAAATATGGACCAAGTGAAACTGAACTGAAAAGTGAAAACTGAACCAAAAAAATTAATGAATGGTCAAAATTTATATAATTTTTGTTCATTTCGAGCAAGTAAAGCTGAGGTGAAAACTGAAAAATTAATTAATGGTCAAACGTTGTATGCATAAATTTGTTTATTTTCTTATCTTTCTCATTTATTGATTGATATATTAGTTGTGATACATGTTTTGTAGCAATTTTTTTTCCTGATCACTTTCAAAATATAACTAACGAATAATAAAAAAGAGCGTTATATAATAACAAGCGTGCAGAGAGGGGCAGGGGGCCAATTAAATCATGTACGTTGTAATTTAACCTAGAATAAAATCGTACATCGCCTTAAAAGAGAAATATGAATATCTAAATACACTTTCTTGTAAAATGATGCTTATCCGCAAATATTGACAAGTTTATTGTTGTAAGATTATATTTGATCACCAAAGATGATCTTAGACTCGCTTCTAAGTAAACATGGCTGTATATAAGTATATTTACAAATTATGTCACTAGTTCATGAATGGGTCATACAAAGGTACTATGTAATTTGACAGACGGGTCATTAGTAGAACTAGTGAAAGGATCAATCTATTTCTCTTTGGTCTTCAAAAGTAAGTTGTTTTGATATTAATTTCTCTAAATAAATTTATTATCTGGGCCAGAATAGAATAAGATGTTTATAGTTCAAGAAAGATAAGACATCTTACTACCTACAATAAATCTATAAAACTGGCATGCTTATATGTAAGACCCGTCAATTTCTGTAAATTTCACATGTGGATTTTTATTTTTTCCTTGCACCATTTGTAAATTTTTGGCCAATTATTTTACCGTGAGATTTTAAAGGTGTTGTATTGCTGCAAAAATAGAAAAAGAAAAGATATATTTTTTCACTGGGAATGGATTTGTTCTCTCACTTTGTTTGTACAAGTGTGTCGTCGCGCGAAAACGTTATTGTGTAACAAGATAATGTTCCCAGGGTCAAGCAGCAAATCCTAACCCAGAGGTAATACTATCTGAAATAATATGCTTATTACATATATACTCATTTCTATTGAAATTACGAGGGTTGATCCAAAAGTAGTGCTACAACGGCTATTTAAGCTTAAAAAATTAAATGTTACGCAACAAAATTTGACGTACCTATATCCCTATCTATTCTAATAACTGCCTGAAAATTGGTGAACTCTCTTATTGTCACGCTCGGTATAGTTGCCGGGACAACTTATTTTTATCTTCACTAAGGATTATAAACAAAATGCCAAACCGAAAATTCGATTATACTTGTTATCTATCAGAACTAGAGCCATAAGTAAATTATAATGAGATAAACAAATGTTAAAGTAAAAACTACCCAAAATGTCCCTGGAAGAACAGCAGTCCGAGGTATGTTGTATTTATTCTACAGTAGTGTAAAGTTCTCATTAAATTAGTTTTCCTTTCAATTAAGTTTTACTTCGCACTCTTTCGTAATTTTTATATCAAAAAAGCAAAATAAATGTGTGATTTGTGCTTTGTTGTTCAGTATATTTTTTACACTCAAGAGATTAATGCCAATGAGCAAAGTGAACCAAGACAGAGGGAAAAGTGATGAAGCGGAGAAGGAAATAGAACCTTATGGTTGCTGTTGTTTTAAACCGAGGTAATTTTAAGGATTTCAATTAAAAAATTATGGAACTCAAATTGCTGCTCAAAGACCTAATGTCTCTCTGCTCTAAACTTCATTCCAAAAAAAATAAAAAAAAACCCGCAAAATTCATTTTTATCAATATTCAAATGCAACAAAAAGTGATGTATGAAGCAAGACTTTATCCAAAATTAAAGAGGATGAGAAAAATAGGCGTGCAGAATGCCTAAATCTTCTATCAAAATTTATGCAACTATATGCAATAAACTACACTTTTTTGAGAGAAAAAAAATTATCGGAACTTATTACATGTACATAATTAATTCACATTATTCTCCAGTTGAATTCCTTGAAACACTCTCTACTTCTGTTTTAAGTACCCATGTTTTCTTTTTCCGCTTTCAGATGCCTACAGTTCTTCAATACTATACAATGGAACGTTTTTTGGCAGTGTGTATTCAATTTCTTTGAAGGATTCATTGTTAATGGAGTCGTCAATGTCATTATTCCGGCGTTGGAGAAGAGATACAGCCTCTCTAGCAAACGCTCCGCCATCATTGCATCGGCAAATGACTTTGGTGCTTTTATTTTCTTCATTTTTGTGGGATACATTGGCGAACGCGTGCACAAACCTAAATTAATGGCCGCTGGTGTTCTTGTTATGTCACTTGGAAGCTTCTTGTTTCTGTTACCACATTTTATTGGAGAAAAATACCATTTTATTTTGTCAGGTAACAGTATTTCTAATCACAATTGTATTAAAATCGTACTTAAACCTATTTCTTGAATGTACATGTATTTTAATTGATAAAAAATCTCTTTGACAATACAATTACCATGTATTAACATTATAAACAGAATTTAGCTATAGGCGTTACATATGTATTTCCATAGATATTGATTTTAAAATAGTTTATTAACAAAACTAAAGGATAACTTTACAGATAGCAATGCCAGAAACAACAAAACAGAGGCTGTATGCAACCTAAACTCTGAATCTACACAATGTGAAGCCAAGGATACCCAGACGTCTTCTTATACCGAATATTACGCCATGTTTATCCTGGGACAAATGTTCCACGGCATCGGGGCCGTACCCATGTTTACAATTGCACTAGCGTATATTGATGAAAATTGCAAGCAGAAAATGACATCTCTGTATGTTTGTAAGTATATAAGAGTTTATCTAATTAATAATCTTAAATGATTTTAAAAATAATATACACAGTTAATAAAAACGTCTCTGAAATTTATTCTTGGTTTGTATTTAGCGCTAACTTTTTGCTGCGCTGCCGTTGGTGTTGCTGTTGGTTACATTGTCGGAGGACAAACCCTGGGACTCTTCGTCGACATCGATAAAGTACCCACAGATTCGTATGTAGATACATACATTTAATTTTTGTACCATATACTCATAATTACATTTTAAGAATACAAGTACGTAGTTAATTATCTCTGACAATAAAATATTCTAATCTTATTGATATTTTAACAAATTTTGAAAATGCGAAGCATTTATTACTTTTAAAAACATTAAAATTAGATTAATTAGATTTACATGTAGTTCATGATTGCGAGATGGATTTTGGTGCACTTACTCTCACTTCATATCAAAAAGTATAATTCTAGTAAATCTAACAGTCTAAAGGCTCATTCAATTTTCAAAAACTATATTGACCTTTTATGACAGTGTGGGACTGACCCCAGATGACCCTCAGTGGGTCGGCGCCTGGTGGATAGGTGTCGTCGTCAGCTTCTTTGCCTTCTTCTTCATCTTTTTACCAACACTTGGATTTCCCAAGCGACTACCAGGTATGTCACTTATAAAGGTTTTCACTTTTGTACTAATATTTCATATTTTGAATTTGTACAACGCTCTTACGATTTCATTGAGAACATACCACAGGGAAATGGGGATACATGACTGTGTGTATGTTCTAACGTAGTGTCATGTTCTAAATTTTGAATTTACACCCATCGGTATTTTCGAAATTTAGAACATGGTAGCATTGACACAATGAACATGTTTATCTGGACTTTGAAAACTTTTAGAGTTAAGGGGATTAATTTTTTGGCAAAGAAAAAAGAGTCATCATGTTAAAATACTTTATTTTGCATTTTTTATTTTAGGATGCTCCTTGACCAATCAATTTGATACATTAGGCTAGGAATGTTCTACAAAACTTTTCTTGTTATATAATTATAATCAAATAAAAGCATATGGTCAGTTGGAACTTGTATTCCATACACTATATCCGTGTTAATAGTCAGACAGACTTAAACTTTCTGTTCAAGAATACGAATCAACAGATATGTTACGTACCATCAATATATGTTATTTCATTTTCGTCTCTAAATACAACTTATCATTAGCGTCTCTAAATGATACCCAAAATGAAATGTCCCGCATATACATATACCCTGGTAGGAAACGCATATATGCATATATGTTCAAAATTTATCATGATCAATGAATTCTGCACTGTGAAATTCTCTTTTCCTATAGGATATGATGAGTTGCAAAAACAGAAGGTATCTGAAGCATACAATTCTGGAGGTTCGGAAGCAACTACAAGAGCTGATTTTGGGACCAAACTTAAGGACATTCCCAAAGCAATATGGCTTCTGGTATATTGCTTTTAGATACCTTGATATTTGCCTTAAAATTGGTTGTGTTTTTATACATTACATTAAAATTTTACAATGGACAGCTGAAGAATCCCACATTCGTATTCATAGTACTAGGGGCAACAATCGAGTTAAACATTGTTGGAGGCACAGCCGTGTTTGGAGCAAAGCTTCTACACGTCTTGTTTAACGTGGATTTAACAACAGCCGGAAGTGTTATGGGTATTTGTTGTTACATGTATTGTGTTAATCAATGATGTCATTAAGAAATTAAACATTTTTTTTTCATATATGGGATTGTTTCCTTGCATGGGTAAGTACGCATTATGTATTTTCTCGTTTTAGGCATTATAACAATTCCTGGGTCGGGAGGAGGCATGCTTTTAGGGGGTTACTTACCCAAGAAATTACAACTTCGCTGTCCTGGAATACTCAAACTCTGTTTCATCTGCATGGCTACTTGTCTTTTGTTTGCGCCCACATTTCTGATCAACTGTCCGGATCAGCCTATCTTTGGCCTGGACAAACCATACACTGGAGAAAGGTGATTGTCTTTTTCATTTACAAGAACTGTGTAGACGATTTTTTTTAAAGTTTTAAATTTTTAAGTATTATGGCGCGGCAATCCTAAGTAAATTATTTTAAAAGGAGATTTTAATCGGAGTCAAGCCGCTCTCCAATGGATTTAATTATATCACAGAAAGACAAGAGGGCCATATGCCACAACGCTTACCTGAGTAACCATGGCCTTTCTGTTCTCCATTATAATAATAAAATAATCTTAATGAAACAACCAAAAATAGCCATTTTAATACTTTGCTACTTTCTCTTGAAGTTCGATATCTGAATTGAAAGCAGCTTGTAATAAGGGCTGCGGATGTACTACGTCAGCATTTGAACCAATCTGTGACGTCAATCACACCGTGTATTTTTCACCATGTCACGCAGGCTGTACAAACGTCTCTACAATCTCAGGGGTCAAAGTAAGTTTATCATGAAAATTTGGGTAAACATTGCACGTGACATTGTATATTTAACATCAGGTCTAAGATTGTAAAATTAATGATGACTGAAACCTCATGAATTTCAAATTATAATAGCTAGTGGAAAAACATTAAAAAAAACTACGAATGAAAAAACTACGAAGTTTTTCTTTCCATTTTTAATTCTTTAGTCATTCTTCAACTGTTCGTGTATAGACTCTCCAAGTAATAAGTCTGCTGCGGTTGATGGTAGCTGTTCAGAGAAATGCTCTTGGTTCTATGCTTTCTGTGTCTTATTATTTGGCATCATGTTTTTCACCTTTATGACAATGTCTCCAGTAGTGACTTCAATATTCAGGTAACAATCTTGTTGTATTTTCTTTTAAATTTCGTATCAGAATATTGGAATATGAATTTATGATAAAAGTAAATCGCAAAAATCAATCAAAGCGGTAAAATTGAGATACATCTACCATTTGACTGTGATTATATCTCATTTACATTTTATCTAGATGTGTACCTGACAATCAACGATCCTTAGCGCTAGGCATTCAGCTTCTAATTGGCCGTCTATTAGGTAAGGCTAGCAATGCCATTCCAAGATTCGTGTTGGGAAGGCTCTGATAGTATTTCACTTTCAATAAATGAAAATAGGGAGTTAAGGAAGGTCCATACTTTTACGGATCCGGTTTTAATTTTACACACCAATATAAAATTCTGATTATCACTTATCTGTTGAAAAAATCTATTTGGATGATTGAAAATAATTTAGCAAGTATGTATTTGTTTATTTTAATGTAATTGAGCATTAAACATCGTTATTTATGGAAATTTTAACACTTTGCACTCTTTCCGTAGGAACTATATGTCATATGGTAATACACAGACACAAAATTCTTAATTGTCTTTATGGACCTAATGCTTTTTATTTTTTTTTAAACAAACTAACTTGAGATCTATTTTCCTTGATTTTAAAGCCTATATCATCTTTTTAAATTCAACTTTTAAAAATTTTTTGCCAAAAATGATTGAAAAATTGATATTTAAAATATGGGGGTATACGTGTTCAAAAGCCTGTTTTGTTAAATTTATCTGGTTGAACATAATGAACGATGTGTTTTTGTTAACCTTAGATATAATTCTTAATATTTTTAAAGAAAAAATGGCATCTAAACAATTTCGATTTTGAGAAATATTAAAAATTAAGAAATATTGAGATTTGTATTTGAAAGACGTGGGCAGATTCAGCATCAATTTGTTAATTTTTTCCAGTAAAGATTTCAAATATTCTCTTGGCAAATGAATATTTTTGATTTTCATAAGTTTTAACATAAATTACATGTGATTTGGTGCATAGCTAAATGAAATATGATATCTCACTTCTTTAAGATCAATTTTGCTGTTGAAGTTTTAGAGGTATGTACTCTGAGACATGTTGTATGAATATTCACCTGCAAAGATATGTCTTTTTTGGGTGTTTTAGTTAGTTTATGAATTATCTAAGGTATTTATATTAAAAAATTAATAGTTTGACAGAAAATTTTGAAAGTACGGACCTACCTTAAGAATCAAACGATTCAATGAATTTTAGTGACTTTACGATAATGTAAGAATTTAACTAATTAAGGAAGTTTTTGAAATGTTTCTTAATCCAGATCCATGGTGTCTCTCTCTCCTTATTCTTTCGTCCGCTAATTGTTTGCATCACGGCTGCGACTGACTTAAGTCGATAAAAAATAGGAAGCAACTGTTCCTGCACTAAGCGCTCGGCACTCTGAAGTAAAAGTTGCGGGCACTTCGGATAGGACATTAAAAACCGAGGCCCCGCGTCACGCTAGGCGTTGGCTTGATAAAGAAACCTCACTGCTCAATGGCCATAAGAGCCGAATAAACGTCTAAATTTGAAGACCTTCAGCACTATATGATGGTGTCTCTGTTTTTAGTGAGAAATTCTCAAACGGGACGTAAAATAACATACAATCAACATCTCTGTACGCACACTAATATAGAAGTTAAGGTAATAAATGGCATTGCTTTTTATTCCACAGGAACAACTCCAGGACCAGTGTTGCTTGGATACATTATTGACAGTGCTTGCACAATTTGGCAAGAGGACTGTGGTGAAAAGGGCTCCTGTTGGACATACAACAAACATGACTTAGGCATGCGCATCATGATTTGGTGGTTAGTTTTAAAAGCTTTGGGAGTGATATTTTTCTTCACTGCGTTTAAACTTTACAAGCCCCCACCAGAACAGGATAATAATCAAAGTGTGGAAGTAGCTACTATACATAGCAATACAGACGGAGTATCCACTAAATTATAGCAGAGTTTAGAGAACATTCTTAAAAATACATGTATAATAAAATGGAACATGTTTTACTGCATAAAACTATTCTTTAATAATAAATATGGCAATCTTTTGTTTGAAAAGTCTATGTTTGATAAAGTCATTTCAGGTACTTTGGTCTTCGTTTCGTTTCTTTCATTTTCAAATGATTCCGCAATTTTTGGACAATTACATAAATAAACGTTGCTATGGCAATAGATCCACCTACACTACCAGCCCCAATACCGGCTGCTTTAACAAGCTGGTCCAATGTCGCCGTAGGGTTTGTTGTAATCACCTGGCTTGGTTTGCCGTTTCCTTTACTGTGACACGTGCACTTCACTCTTCCATGCTTAGCTGCTATACGCTACATTTTAGAATAAATCAAAACTTGTACTAATTGTTTCGTTTAAAATCTTAGCTGGTGATCCTTCATGTAAAAATATGACAATAGACAAGGTATGTACGTAAAGAAGATTTCAATAATACTTGAAAATAAATACTCACTGCATCTTTTCCACCTATAAAAAGAAAATCATTTTATCTCTTTGAATCCAAGAAAATAGAGGCATTCAACATACAGTACACCTAACATCTTGAATTATCTCCTTTAAGTTCTGTTCTGTTTTACAAACTTTAGTTTAATGACAAGTGTACATACTAATTTCACACGTCTGTGCTGAGGATTTTCCTGATAAAGAGACCGAAGGCGCCGTCGTCATGATAGCTGATGTCGGCGATGAAGTTGTGCGTACATCTGTGTATATTACGAAAAAGATTTTCAAAAATAAGGCACCAGAATAAAAAAAAGTATTTACTGCATTTTTTAGCTTATTACATTTAAAATAAAGAAGATTGATTTCTTAATATTGTTTAACACTTGGGCGACAGTTTGATCATTTTTGGAGTTTTTTGCTTCTCTGGCGGCCAACAGTGAGCTTAATCTTTTTCGAAAACCCGAAAGGTCCAAGGGGGAGTTTAACAAGAAAACCCTTTTATATTTTATCTTGCCTAATCTATAGACTCAGATGTGTTTTTTTTCGATTGACAAATGTCTTGTGTGTACGCGAGTACTGTATCATATAAACTTGCTATACACTGTATATTAATCTTCTTCCTCAAAGAAATATGCAGATAACGACCAGTTATCAAGCTCAAAAGTCCATACAAATGTGGAACAGAACAAACACGGATCTATAAAACATCAGAGATCTGAGGAATCAACTGGGCCAGTTTCATCCACACTTTTATTTGATACAAAAGTTTAATGGATCAAACAATGTCCAATAGAAGAAAAACAAGAAATAGATGGACATTTAAAATTCATTTTTTTAGGAATATGGGGGCAAAATAAGACAAAGCTAATTATCCAAAGAACATCAGGGCACATAATTTAGATAAAAGCTTCCTGTGAGTTTGAAACGTTCAAGTTATAGGTCATGTTCTTACAGTGCTTCCTAAAACGATTTTTTAAAATAGTTACCCTACATTAATAATATTTGGTATATTTCGTTTCAATTCAGAGTTAAAAAGCAATTTAGCGATTTTAAAATGCTCACTTAAAGAATCAGTTACAAATAAACCGCAACTACATTATAGTGATATTCAATTTTAGCGATCTCAACACCCTGGCTAATGATGCCAAAATAAAATCCTCGCTAAAATTTCTAATAATACGGTATCAAAAAGTAGACATACAATGTCGATTTTATGTAACGATTTATGTATTGATTAATAAATAAATCGAACAAATTATACTCAGTATATCAAAACTTATGTTAGGTTGTATGTAGATCATCGTTTATATTGATCAGGTTGGACTTAATTGAAATATGCAAATATTCTGTGAACAAGCGAATCGCTGGAAAGAGCTGCATTATTTCAAGAAATTGTAATATTTTAAAGGACGTTATATGATTAAGGTATACTATGGAAACATTTTTCCGGTTAAAACCGTCATAAGACGGAAAATTGAGTTAAAGTTACCTATTTTCTCACAAAGATTCCCCGTATATCCAGTAGAACAGTTACAGCTGGCAGTATTACTGACCACATCAGAAATACATTGGCTGAAATGCTCACAAGGTTTTGTCTGACAGGGCCCTCCTATCACGAAAGAAAAATAAAAAAATAGTATACAAGTACTAATTAAAAACAAAATTTCTGCATTTTTTCTTGGCATTGAATTAAAGATAAATGGTTTTGAACAATCATCGTATTGACTAGCATTAATGCAAAGACCTTTTAAAAACAAATGAAATACAGACTTAATTCTACCTTTTGACTTGTCAGATGAATCCACTACCTTGATCACCAAACAGTGTTCCGTTCCTGGATAGCTATAAAAACATTTGAAATTCTTATAATGCAACATTCAAATCATTCACGTTTGCACTGTTCTGAAAAGCATGAAAAAAACCTTTTTTTCACATTTAGAAAATATTAAATAATATAACTCTTGAATTTCACTGAAGACTGAGGTACTCAATGCATGTTTGAAGCATTATAGCAATTATTTTATCAATTCATATTAACCATCATCAATTACTCTCACATTCATAGTCAAATAAAACATATGCTTTTATTTAATTTGTAAAATTTAGAGCAAAAATAAAGAAAAAAATTTAAAAAAACCATTACTGTCAAATAAGGAAAAAAAATGTGTTCACTATAAATTCAACCTAAATCCAGTTTACTTTTCCCGATGAAAAGATGATGATACATTATCATTTAAAACATAACTCACTTCTGTTGTATTGCTTTGAAACACAAGTCTTGTAGTCCTATTTCTTTTTGCTGAGGAATGATGGCTATGTTCCCAACACATTTATCATTAATTGGAGCAAGTGGTGTAAAAGCATGCAACTTTTCCAGAGTAGTTCTCTCAGTCTGTTTTATATTCGGGCTAAAAAAAAAACAACAGCATATTTCCTTTTTACATGAAACACTAAAGTTTAAACAGAACTTCTATTTACTTTATACTCTTTCTTCAATTTATAATTAGTGATTCTTGTTTGAAAATTGATTACCATGATGGAGGATTTAGAGTCTTTTCTGTAATTACTGGGACATAGCAGGTCTTATTCACCACGCAGTTAATAACAGATCCATCCGGATATGAAGGATTGATGATGTGATCTTTTATCTATATAGATTTATAGAATTTATTGCATCAAAGCAAACAAGCAAATGAAAATTTCAATTAATATTAATACAAGAGAGAAAACTTAGAATTGTTATATAAAGGATTGTACGCACTGTGTGTGGTGCTGTTACTGTCGGTGGGGCTGAAATAAAAATGGAACGTCTACATACATGACATTTAGCAACGTTAAAAAAAATCTTACGATTTAATACTAGTTATTTATTTTCAAAACATACCAGATGTGGTATAAATCTTTAAACAAATTTCATCCATGGTGACTCTGTAAAGAAATTCATTACAATCAGAATGAAGTCGAGATTTCAAACATAAATATATGGAACTTATATAGAATTAATATTCTGAATGGTAGTTTTAATCACGAGAATTGTAGGTTAAAAATAACATTACCCAGCAGTATTTCGGGTCTGTACACACATCATTTTACTGCCAACTTGAGTTGGTTTGACACAAAAATGAGCAAGCTTTGTATCTACGCCACTCAGCGTTAATGGACAATTTTGTAAGGACGCATTCTTAGATCCAATTGCTAAAGATTTGCTACATTAAAAAATAATATAAAAGCAGAATCAAAATATGAATTACATTAATCAGAAATAACTCATTTAAAGATCTGATTTATCTGTAAAATAAATAAAATACATTGATAGATTCTGCCCGGATATTGGTAATGGGAATTCACAGGGCAGATTCAAGACACAGTTGATATCAGTAGGTACACCGGTGTCCACAAATATAGTTGAATTCTGTAATAAATATTAAAAGCACTACAAAATATCTTATTTCATATTTTGGTGAATCATTGGAAAACAATTATCTTCATGAATCTTGCGAGAAAAATCACGCTGGATGAATTAAACAAAATGCTTTGAACTATGATTTTTATACATGCATGATAATTTCTTAAAGAGAAGGCTAACAAAGATTTAGATTAATTTGCATCTTAATTTAGAAGAAAAAACTATTCATTTCAATATTTTTCACAAAACGATAAAATATATATCAAATATATTTATCAAAAAAAAAACCCATTAAATTACCCTGTATATTTCATAATATTCTTTGTGAAATAAATACATGTATTATCTTTTAACACTAAATGAAATAGAAAAAAAACTCACTGCTGTTATATTTGCAGAAGGGTTTCTTGGTATTGGGATACATGAAACTAAAATAAAGAAAAAAAATTCCAAAAAATGACATTAATTGAATGACAATTCTATATAATTTGAAACCAAGAAAAATACGCCACCATTATTCTGACAGTTTCTTCCACTGACTCCCACCGGACAAATACACGTGAAGGACTGGTCGTTAGAAAAACAGTATCCTTTATTACAAGATACGTGTTGACAATGGGAAGCTGAAAAGAGAAACATATGCTTATCTTCTTATGAACAAATTTCTATAAAAAAAATAATCTGAATATCATAAACAAAAATAAAAATCCCTTACTTGTGGAATTGAGCGATGGATTAACAATGATGCATCTTTTCACGTTGGAACTATAATAAAAAATAACAAGAAGGGTTACATTCTTTCAATCGCAATTAAATTTTCAATATTTTTTGCAAAACAAAGATATTTTAGTTAAATGCAAAATGTGTTTTGTGTTATTAGATTTTTTTACTGGACAAGCATTATAAAACATAATGCCTTTTAGAATACAAGTAATACCTTTGGGCCCCAATGCAAATCTTCTTAGTTTCTGTGTGCTGCACCCGTGTGACGACGTCAGTGACACAAAGGTTGGGATCAAAGCTAGTCACTTTTGTACTTACAATGACTGTTCCTGATGTGTGTGGTAGCTCCTTTGGCTCTTCACTAAAGAATCACAAGAATGAAATCGAAATATATACATGAAGTTGATATTTGTTAATAATTTGCAATGTCGTTCCTTACCATTTACCACTGTGATCTTTTGAAGTATGTATCAGCAAATGACAGTCTGTGTTTTCTAAACATCGAACAGAAGAAGAATCGGGAAGTGTTGGTTCTTGTAGGCCCTGAAATAATATTAAACAGGTTATATTTTTTTCGCTGTAACCGATGTTATATTTTTAATCTTTATTCCTTTACTAATAAACACTCATGTAATTCTTTTATACGTACACCAGAGGGTGGCTTGGTAGGCAATGCAGATGTAAAATTGACTTTAAAGCAAATTTCATCACCTTTCAAACTACAATTCAATAAAACATTATAAATTTATGATCTCTACCACTAAGTCTCTTTTTTTAATTTCATAAAATGTAATATAAGAAGTTTCAATCAAAACAATCACTGCTCGGCAGATTATTACCGGCCGCCAGGTACTGTAGATCACTAAATTTTCGGAGATTTACGGAGACAGCCGACTGGTTGAACGAGACTATTTAAGTCGCTGTGCGTTTCTGCGGAGCTAACAATTTGAATAAAAATATTCAACATCATATCGCCGGCGTTTTAATATTAAACAATTATTTCTAAATGTTTAGGAAAAAGCAATAAGTAAAATTCAAAATTTTCGACAAACCCTGATATAACTATGGTTAGGAATCTAAAACAAAGACCGCGTTGTAAATCAACAATTTTACTTTCTCTTTTTAAAACAGGATCTGCTGTATTAATTTTATACATGGATGTTTTTCAAAAATATGATGAAATATTGATTTCTTAAAAGCAAAGAATATTAAGACATGTTGGTCCAGGAGACTAGGATAGAGCGCGTTTTACAATGTGCCAAACATTTTCCCGCCACATCTCAACACCAAAACAAATAGATTGTAAGAGAAGAAATGTAGTGGTGGATCTTGAAGGAGTTGGGGGGGGGGGGGGTTAACATCCTATAAGAGAGAGCGAGGAGCCCCACATGTTATATATTTGTTGCGTTTTTATTAAGGTTAAACTATAGCTAAGTTTAAACTTTAGTTTTGTACTTTTAATGTAAAAACTACTTAAACAGCAAGTTGTACCAGTCATAAAATGCATAGTTTATATATATTGCCTATACATGTAATATTGTACATGCATTATTCAACATTGTCGCATGCATTTTTTTTTTCATGTCACGAGGATATTTTAACAGATAAATATAAGAATTTTTTTTTTAAAACAGCAGATTTCAGTTTCTGAAGAATTTTTTTTAAAAAAAAACAGCAAATTTCAGTTTTTTTAATGAACTTCAACAGTTATATAAATTGGTTTACGATTTTTGACGCTTGCGTCAATATGTTTCTTGTATTACCTTTTATGAACAGTATTAATACATATTTTACGTTGACCCTCCTTTGTTGCCTTTAGTTTGATGTTTGTTTGATAGGTAGAATTTGAATCTCCTGGGAACGTGTCTGTTTTTACAGGATGGATAACAAAAGGACTGTCTGTATCAACGGTGGGGCTATGAAAAAAAGATAATCAACTTCAAAGATACTCTGAATCCAGATTTTTTAAAAAAAAAATATGCCTTTTGAAACATTTTCCTATTTTCTTTGAGGAATGACTATATCATAAAAGGATATCTTACATGTCTCCAGGTGGACCGGTAACGATTAGAGGCACTCCACAAGGTGTGCCAATTGAACACTGTATTACCTCCGGAATGGCAGTGTCCGTAAATACTGGTGCAGTGTTGTTTTGCTATAAGATTAAAACGATTATATTATGATCATGTTCTAAATCATTATCCATGCTTAAAAAATTATGAGTGGTACCTGCATTTGGTGTTCGGAATTCATAAAAAAAACTTATTATTTACCTTGCCCGTGTTCCCTTGGTTTACTGGGGGAGAAAATCGGCCTGAAAAAAATATACCGTTAAAAATAAATTAAATGGCATATGTGTCAGATAAGAAATAAAATGGTAGTAATTTGGTATAAAACAAACTTTTCTGGCAGGTGCTTCCTGTAAATCCAACAGGGCATATGCATGATGACTTTGAAACAGAGGTTGCGTCACATCGTCCGCCATTGTAGCAATGTTGATCTTGACAAGGTCCACCTTTCAAATATAAACAAGGAAATATACGTTTTACAAGTAATCTTTCTTGTGATTACAAGTACAGGGAGAACAAATTAGTACATTGCCATGCTAATATTTTCATAGGCATCAAGAATTGAAAAACTTCGAAAACTACCGAGCATACCAAATGATTTACTGCCATTGGTTACCGCCTGGATAATATAACATCTCTCATGCCCTACTTTCCTAAATTGGAAAAAGACAGAAAGATAACATTATACGAGTGTCAATTATTGTTGTTTTATATATAAAATATGTACGTATCATGCATGAAAAATAAAATGTGTGACACCTACTCTTCTTGTCTTGCCTTTATACACAGCGAGTGATTACCCGGTGTGCTGGGTTTAACGGACAAATCTGTGTAACACACTGAATGGGATGTTGTGACCGTCTCCGATGTGAAATCATGAATGTTTACTAACGAAGAAGTTGGCGTGTTTTCCACTCTTGGACTGCAATATAAAAATATTTTTATACATAAAGATTACCTTTTCCTCTAAAAATTGTGAACCCTTATATACTCCATTTCAATCACTGGTGTATATAATTAAAGAAAACACCATTTTATTTTTCGTTTAAATTATTCCTACCAAGATTGTGATCCTGGTGTTGGCTTCGTTACGAGCTGTATATGACAACTGTCCAGTGCACTTTCACATTGTAATACTGTTCCATCTGGCAAAGAGGGGGAGACTATTTCTGGTGTTATCTGTTCAAAATCAATGTACTTTGTTAAGGGCATCCTTTCAAGCAATCTATAAAATGCTTCTTGGGACTCAGTACAGAAAAAATCAGAGAGAATGATATTCAATCTGATAACCTCTTGCTACATTTGAAACCAATCTTTGACAAATGCTAATGATATACATATGTAAGCGATAGATGGATGAGTAAACCTTAGCTGAGATGTTTATTGAACAAATGTTCTTGTTTAAGATTGATTGTATTTTATTCATGGTAGTGAAAAAATCGAGGGGTCCATAGTATTTGGACTAAATGCAGGGTTCCTTTATGATACAATACAAAGATAATTAATTTTTTTCTCTAAACTTTTGTATGTCACTTACGAGTGGCGTTGTTGTGGACACGGTATTATCTGAAACACATTTTGTTCCGTTACAAAAAAAATCTTCCATACATTGAATTGTGAAATATTAATACCAGCATTATACTTCTAAAAATGAATTACTCAGTATGTCATTTGCAATTTTTTTTACCTGGTATGATCTTTACGTTGACGCAGATTTCATCAGTGTTCCTGCAAAAGTTGACAAACACTGAGAATAACAAGAGGCCCACGGGCCTTATAGGTCACCTGAGTATCATGTAACAACTTTCCAGCGATTGTATTTGGTTCGTGTTTTAATCCAAAAGCCATGAAATTCACAAATTTTGAAAGAGGCACCATTGCTTATCAAAGGGCAGATTTCAAAGCATTAATTTATTTTTAGTCAAAGTACCCTCCTGGTACCCCTGACCCAGCGGCCCTGAAATTATCTATTTTGAAAGAGGCCCCTTCTTCATTATAAGGCCAGCATTTTTTTATGTTTAGGTTTAGTTATCATGGTTATGAAATGAGAATAAAAAAGTCCCGAAGGAGAAGGAAATAAAATTTTTTTTTTGATAAATCAATTATTAACATTTGTACATTCTTTTTTTTTATCATATGCTATTCTAATAGGCTCCATACCACTGGACACATAATGCTTACAAATAGGAAAGTAGAACATGTAATTGCTTATTTCATCATCCGCCAGTTTGGGCCAGTTATATAAATTTTGTGATGTTGGTCAAAATATATTTTAAAAAATTAATTCTTTAAAAGTCTTTCAATATATCTTCATTTTTTAAATATGTGTTAGGTGAATGTGTAGACATTGTTCTAAAATTTACTTGATGCCTAAAACTATAATTCCTATCATAAAACAGTCAGGGAGTATTGGGGAGTAGGGTGAATATTTTTTCAATTAAGTGTAAAATAATTTTTTCTGGCTGATACAAATGATACTACATGCCAGTATATATTTGTATATTCTTGCCTTTTAATAGTTGAATTTTTTTTTATTTCTTCAGGTTATTGTTTATTTCTTCCTCAAATGGACTTAACTTCTCCCATAGTTTTATTCATTACATCTGATGCATAAGTAAACCTTTTCTGAAGAATGATGCTTAGACTGTAAGCTATAACATAGACCTAAACAATGTCGCTGGCAATATGCAATAACTACCACGGGCAGTTTAAAACCTGGGGAAGGAAAACAATTTACAGATACTTTTGAAACGAATACATAATTATCTCACAAGCATGTCATTGTGCAACAAAGTCGTCAGCATTTTATTAGTCCTTTGAACGGGTGAAACGTTTTGAATGGCACTCGTATCGATGAATTTTACACTAAACCAAGCTATCTTCTCAGATCTAGCTTTATTTTCAGGTATCACACCGGTAATTGACCAATCAAAATGAACTTAGTCAAATGTAGGTCCATATATATAAAATTATTTTTCTTTTCTTTTGAGGCGTTTTTCTATTTTCTTCCAAGCCATTTTTACAACTTTGGTACCTGTGCCTAGTAAATTTTATGTGCTTTGTGAATAAATAAAGGTTTTTGACAGGAACTATTTTTTTCAGGGCATAGGAGGCTACTTCCTGTGATGCACTCGAGGTGTTTATAAACAAAGTGAAAACACGTGGATTTGAGGGTAGCCCTGTTTGCAGATGGAAAAAGTCCGAAAATGCCGTGTGGGTACCCTGTTTTTTGGTGTCAGCTAATGTGACAGATAATGTTTAACACCTCCTGCTAAATATTTTTTCATGTAAACAAATACCTGATTTTTAACGATTTTTTATGCTATATAGAATTATATAGTGAAAACAATTACCGGTGTGATACCTTCATCTTAAAACCGGAAGTGCATGTTCGTAAATCTGAAATCTCGATCCCGACTCAAATTTGACATCGGAAAGAAAAAAATTGTTTTATTTTTTCCTGAAAATTGAAAACCTTGAGCGGAGGGTTTGTAAAACTGAAAATAAAATAATTCCTGGCCTTAAATATGTAATTAGATCATTAGCATATTAACCAGGAGCAAAGGATAAGATGTTCAAAGAATTCATGCATTTCACTATATAATCATTAGAGCCCCACCCTAAAACAAGAACCCCTTGGGACCATAAAATTCACAATTTTGGTATAGGCACTCTTGCTCATCATAACTATGTACTTAGTTGGTTTATGTTGGTTTATTTAATACCCAGGAGCAGAGAAGAAGATTTTCAAAGAAATAATGCATTTTCACTACCTACTTATTTAGCCCCGCCCTAGCACTAGAACCCCTGACCCTGGGGCCATGAATTTCACAATTTTGGTAGAGGACTCAGTGCTGATTACAATCATACCAACAGTTTGACTGCTTGATGTCCAGGAGTAAAGAAGAAGATTTTTAAAGATTGCACTAATTTTAGTGGTTTTGGCCCCACCCCTCAGGCCCCAGGGGGGCAGGGATCATGAAATTCACAATTTTTGTTCCCCTTTACCCATAGATGCTATATGTCAAATTTGGTTGAAATTGGTTCAGTGGTTTCAGAGAAGAAGCTGAAAATGTTCAAATGTTAACGCACGACGCACGACACACGACGCACGACGACGGACGAAAACAGATAGCAATAGGTCACCTGAGTTTACTCAGGTGACCTAAAAATAAATAAATAAATAAAAAAATATATAAAAACTCTAATAAAATTGTTAGTAGGAAAATACTTACGTCAAAGAATTTTTTGTTTGAACGCAGACTCGTTTTGTTCCGGTTTGTGATGGTATGACATGGAATTGCGCTATGGATTGATTGACTGGTTTTGTGATATCTATAAGATTAATTTGTTTTGGCTCGACTCCTTTATCCAAATGTCCAAAAAGTAAGGAACTCCTGTTTTATAAAAAGGATTCTTTATTCTCACTTTCTACAACAAAAGGCATTGACGAAGAATATACAAAAAATTATAATTGTTATGCCTTACTTATTCACTGGACTTCCATGCACGGGTATCATTATAGGGCAATCTTTGTTCAGCTGGCACGTTATTTCTTTTGGTAACATTGTGTTCACAAATATTGGTGAAGACTGTAAAAATATGTATTTGAAAATATATTTTTGACAATTGATTTCGAGTTAAAATTTAATTTCATTTAAGATATTCACTTACGTTTGAAAACTTGTTAGATGGCCGTGGTACTGGTATAGGTTGTGCTGAAATACAAAAAGTATTGATACTTTTTTGTTTGACCTTGTTTGTCTTTTTTAATTTATATCCACGCTGTGTGTAAACTTCCTTTGTTATTTTAACCAACTTTTTAAAAGTTTATAGAAGTAAACTTACTTGTTTTTTCACAATGCATTCCTTTATATCCAAGTTTGCATATACACACGTAGGAAGTGGAAGTTGACTTGCAATAGCCATATGCTCCACAAGGTTTACTATTGCAATGTGATTCTAAAAAAGATCAATAAAGAGATTATTTATCATTTAAAGTTCAATGTTATTATTTTAGGAAATGTCCATCAGTTTATACATTTTTTTTCATAGTTGAGATTCTTACTTGTTAAATTTGTCACTGCATTCACAATTATGCATCTTTTATCTGCGGATCTGTAATAAACAAGAGGCCCATGGGCCTTATAGGTCACCTGAGCATTATGCAACAACTTTCCAGTTATTTAATTCGATTCATGTTTTAAGCAAGATGTTACGGCATTCACAATTTTGAAAGAGGCACCATTGATCAACAATTCAACATAACAATACACTCAGCAGTTGCTTAGCTTGGTTACTTAATACCCATAGGCAGGGTAGGGGAACAAAAAATGCATTTCAACTAATCAGTAATATTCCGCAATAATCAGTAGTGCCCATACCACACATAAACCCCTGACTTTTGGCCTAGATCCACACACTGCACAATTTTTGAAAAGGTATCCTTGCTTTTCAAAAATATTTGATTAATATCAAGGAGCAGATTTCAAACAATTCATTCATTTTCAGTATACAAGTACAGCCCCACCCTCTATGGTACCCCTGATCCTGAAGCCTTGAAATTCACAATTCTGCAAGATTAGGGCCCTTGCTCATCATAACTATATAGGTAGTTCATCTGCTTCATACCTAGAGACAGAGAAGATTAAATGCATTTTCACTATATAATCAATAGAGCCCCACCCTAACACCTGACCCCGGGGCCATAAAATTCACAATTTTGGTAGAGGCACTCTTGCTCATTATAACTATGCACTTAGTTTATTTAATATCCAGGAGCAGAGAAGAAGATTTTCAAAGAATTCATGTATTTTCACTATATAATCAATAGAGCCCCGCCCTAACACCAGAACCCCTGACCCTGGGGCCATAAAATTCATAATTTTGGTAGAGGCACTCTTGCTCATCATAACTATGCACTTAGTTAGTTTATTTAATACCCAGGAGCAGAGAAGAAGACTTTCAAAGAATTCATGTATTTTCACTATATAATCAATAGAGCCCCGCCCTAACACCAGAACCCCTGAACCTGGGGGCATAAAATTCACAATTTTGGTAGAGGCACTCTTGCTCATCATAACTATGTACTTAGTTAGTTTATTTAATACCCAGGAGCAGAGAAGAAGATTTTCAAAGAAATAATGCATTTTCACTATATACTTATTTAGCCTCGCCCTAGCACTAGAACCCCTGACCCCAGGGCCATGAATTTCACAATTTTGGTAGAGGAATCAATGCTGATTACAATCATGCAAACAGTTTGACTGCTTGATGTCCAGGGGTAAAGAAGAAGATTTTTAAAGATTGCATTAATTTTAGTGGTTTTGGCCCCACCCCTCAGGCCCCAGGGGGGCAGGGATCATGAAATTCATAAATTTTGTTCCCCTTTACCCATAGATGCTGTATGCCAAATTTGGTTGAAATTGGTTCAGTGGTTGCAGAGAAGAAGCTGAAAATGTTCAAATGTTAACGCACGACGGACGACGCACGACGACGGACGAAAACAGATAGCAATAGGTCACCTGAGTTTACTCAGGTGACCTAATAAAAATCGGTAAAAGAAAGATTTTGAAAAGCTAATGTTAGCATTTACGGTAAAAAACTGACTTATGATACCACTTTTTATCCGAAAAAAAAATTATTAAGGAAAATTGAACTTGAAAAGACTACGAAATCAAATGTAATTACATCTTGGAAAGACATGTGGAGAAATGTTGGATTGAAACATTAAACAAAACAAGCAAATAAATGTGTCAATTTTTATAATTTATAAAATATATGAACAACGTACCCATTTACTTCAAAGCAAAGTTTCTTTGTTTCGTTATGTTTAACAATCGTTGCAATATCTGCTACACACAAAGTGTGATCAAATGTTGTCAAGCTAGTTGTGAGAACTGCAGTTCCGGATGAGAATGGAGCTTGTCTTGGGAGTAAGCTTAAATAATATAGGTAGAAAATTGAACACATTGAACATTAGTAACAAGATTAGAATCGGCAGAAGTCTATTGTTAGAAAAAAATCATACTGTAGATGAAGCCTATGAAAACATTAAGCAAATAAATCGTCTAAATGATCAAATAAATAAACAAGTGTATGATTAAATTTAATAAAGGAAATATTATCTATTAGAAACATCATACTTATTTGTACTAGAAAATTTATGCACTTTATTTCAAAAGGTTAACAAGAGGCCTATGAGCCACATCGCTCACCTGAGCACATTGGCTAGGAAATAAAGCAGAAATCACCTCAGTATTGAGAAGTTTAAATGGGGGAGGGGTGTCTGGAATTCTAAACTACCAACTACTAGATGATTGATGATGCTTCCATAAAACAAATACCTTTGCTGCTATTGAGCAGATGATTTTTTTTCCTATTTATTCATTTGACTCCCCCCTTGTGGCCCTGTCCTAGCCATGTGAGCCCTCATTTGAATCAGTTTGACTTTGTACTACCTAAGTATGCCTCCATACCAATATGATTGAACATGGCTTTCCTCTTCTTGGGAACAAACAATATTTTTTTTTATATTTCTAGGCCAAACTTTGATCCCCAATTGTGGCCCACCCTATCCAACCCTTACTTCCTATTCATGACTTCAACAAACTTAAAACAACACTACGTGATGATGCTTGCATAAAGATATGACCAATCATGGCTTTGTGGTTCTTAAAAAGAGTTTTAAAAAATTCTGATATATTCATTTCTATGGAAAATTTAAATCGTCCATTGTGGCCCCGCCCTACCCCCGGGGGTCATGATTTGAACAAACTTGAATCTACTGGTACACCACCTGAGGATGTTTTCACATAAGTTTCATCTTTCCCGGCCCAGTGGTTCTTAAGAAGAAGATTTTCAAAGATTTTTCCTACATATTTCTTTGTAAATCTTTGATCGTCAGTTGTGGCCCGGCCCTAACCCCGAGGGTCATGATTTGAAAAAAAAATTGAATCTACACTACCTGAGGATGTTTCCATATAAGTTTCATTTTTTGGCAAAGTGGTTCTGGAGAAGATTTTAAAAAAATCATATATATATATTCCTATGTTTAACTTTGATCAGCCATTGTGTTCGTGCCCTACACCCAGGGGTTATGATTTGAACAAACTTGAATCTACACTACCTGACGATGCTTCCAAACGCGCGTTTCATCTCTCCTTGCCCGGTGGTTCTGGAGAAGTAGATTTATAAAGATTTTTCCTATATATATTCCTATGTAAAACTTTGATCAGCCACTGTGGCCGGGTGGTTCTAGAGAAGAAGATTTTTAAAGATTTTCCCTTTATATTCCTATGTAAATCTGTGATTGCCCATTATAGCCCCGGCCTACTCCCGGGGGTCATGATTTGAACAAATTGATTCTACACTACCTGAGGATGCTTCCAAATGAGTTTCATCTTTCCTGGCCCAATGGTTCTGGAGAAAAAGATTTTTAAAAGATGTCATTAATTTTTCATTAATTCATAATTATCTCCCCTTGGAAAATGTCTTGGCCCTTCATTTGAACAAACTTGAATCCCCTTTATCCATGGATACTTAGTGGCAAGTTTGGTTAAAATTGGCCCAGTGGTTCTTGAGAAGAAGAGTTTACGACGACAACGACAACTACTACAACGACTACAAGGAGAACGACAGACAACGGACAAATTTTGATCAGAAATGCTCACTTGAGCCTTCGGCTTAGGTGAGCTAAAAATACCAATTGCCATTGTTATCCATTGGAGCATGCAGTAGCACGTGACATGTTTTATTTTCTAAACAATTGACAGACGACATATCTGGAATCGTAGGTTCTTGAAATTTCTGCAAAAGAAATGCACTAATATTTTTTAAACGGACAGGAATACGGAACACATAATAGTTTTACACTTATATCTCTACATACCACATGGCTTCCTGTCGATACTGTTGTAACTGGTGATGTAAAATTGACTTTAAAGCAAATCTCATCCCCTTTCTCTCTGTAATTCAATAGATCATTCATATTTAGTAAAAGAAATAAACAAGAAAACAAACAGACAAAATATCCATTAACTTGAAAGGGATATAACGAGGGATGTCCTGCCTTTGCAATGGATATGAAAACAAATATACGAAATTAAACCAGCGTCCTCAACATATAATCAAACTGTTTTGTTTATTTTAATGAACTAAGTTAAATAGTTGCCGTCTACATGTACTTATTGTATCTCAATGAATTCAAATGTATTCATTTTACCTTATCAAGTGTTAAACAAAAATCAAAATTGTTTACTGCTCAAGTTATTAGCATTTCATACCAGAAATCTATTCGAAATCGACACACAACCGGTAAAATCGATGTTAACATTTACCTATTGTCTACGATGTGAGTACAAACAGTATGAATTCCTTCTTTTAAACTGCTCATTTTTATATTTGTTTGAAATGTATCATTGGTTTTTCCTGGATAAGTAACAGTCTGTATGGGATGGGTGACCAAAGGACTGTCCGTATCAACTTGTGGACTACAATACATTAAATGAGACTATGAAAGCAATCTCTTCATAAATTTTATTATTCCATTTAAACTAAGTAATCAATTAAAAAAGATAACTACAATTACTACACTACATAAACTAAAAATTGTGTATAGACTTACATATTTCCTGGCTCCCCTTTTATTATTAAAGGAACACTACATGTGCTGCCGGTGGGACATTGAATGATATCTGGTATAGCTGTTTCCGTAAAGATAGGCTTAATAGTGGTTGGCTGACAAAAGGAAAATACATGGTATCTTTTTTGTTTCTACAATTTGTATTTTATTAACGTTTGGTCAAATCATTTCAACCTTATTGGACTAATTTGAAACAACATTTACATTTGGATATTTATGATTCCTTTGATTTTAGACGTCCTTGGTTTTGATGTGAATAAGAGAAAACAGATATCCTTACTGATATTTTAATTAATAGCCTTTAGCCTTTAATTATCTGTTAACTATTGTTAATATTGTTTGTACCATTTTCACATATTATTCCAATTATTATATTATTTTATAAACTAAACCGTACAGAAGTATTTGACGGTAGATCTATATGATAAATGAAAAACACATAAATATAATTATGACCCCTGGTTTAGATTCTTTGTACCGGGGTATGATTGAAATTGGATCACACTGTATAGATTTCCATTTTTTTTAAAACCATATAGTACCGCTAAAATGATATTTTTAATTATAAATAAATTTCCGACCGTAATAATAGGTTTATAATCGAACAGTTCTTTTTAAAATTATATTGTTGACTAAAGCCCATACAAAGATGGATTTCCTCTACCTCTGATATTGCATTTGAATTCAACATGTCTTACCACCGTTGGTCCAGGGAATGTTGGTGAAATGCTGACTTCTAAAAACAGACAAAAAATGTCTTGACTTAAGAATCTTGCATACAAAGCTTAATTCAAATAAAAAGATTGATGAGAGTCTTCAAAAACGCGCATTGAATGATTTAAATAATCATTATCCAGTTTGTTCGTCAGATTTACAAGGGTATCGACGAAGTTGGAAACATAGGATTATTTATGTACGACGGGCTTTATCCGTTGCTACGTTTCCAACTGTCGATGATGTCCCTAGCATACTCAGCTAACTAGACAATGATTTCTTATACTTCTATATGTGAAATAAAATTAAAAATTTAAATTGGAAAAATGATGTCTAATACACACGATGCATCCAATGTCAATTCCAATAGTCACCGCCCATGAAGTCAAACACAAAGACAGCTACACGAGATTGACATGCATATCTTTCAATTGGCGAAATTTTACATTCAGATTTAATTATCAAGAAATCAACTCACATAACGTTCAAAGAGTTATCAAAGAGAAAACATTCAGATATGTAAATATTTTAAAATTATTACTGTGTGATAGGCATTTTGTGTCAGAATATCCGACTGGACAGATGCATTGAGCGGTTGAAGACACAGGGTCAGTTTCACAGTTTCCTCCATTATGACATCGCATCTGTTGACAAGGACCGCCTAAGTAAATACATTTTATTTAATAATATATAATGTCCACTCGTTAAAACATACATTCAGATTGGTCAGATGTTGCAGCAAGATCCTTAATGATACCTCCTTTTATTATCAATTTTAAAAGGAATTACCTACCAAATGTCTTGTTGTTATTCGTAACAACATGGACTGTGTAGCATTTTATGTCCCCGCTTGCACTGAAATTGGGAAAAATAGATTCATCAGTAAAAGATATATAACATTAAAATTATTTATAAAATAATTGTTTCCAAATGATTTTTATTATATACGTTTTATTTCCGACTCTGACACATAGGGTATGGATTCCTGGTACTTCCGGTTTTACTGACAAGTCCACGTGACACAGTGATGATCCTTGACTATTTTCAGATGAAAACGCATGAGTATTAGATATGGAAGAGGAAGCCGTGTTCTCCACATCAGGACTGCAAAGTGAACCAATATGAAATAAGCAAGTGATTATTATTCACCAAGTGATTTCCGAATAAAAATGCTATATTTAACTTGCAAGTCTTGATAAGCAAATGAAAGAATTATTTGAAATAGAACCCATAATTACTAAATTTATATGCAAATTTTAAAGTATGCTTTATTATCCATACCATTTGCTTGAACCAGGTATTGGAGTTGTGTAAAGAGGTATATGACAACTCTTCTCTCCATACTCGCATTGAAGAACAGTGCCGTTTGGCATCGAAGGTGAGGTTATCTTTGGTGACATCTATAATTCATAAGGTGATTTACAGTGAAATTTACGGTTTTCTTATTCACTTAGAATATTCATTTCAAATGACCGAGGAAGGGAAAGAAAACCTAAAACCAAAACCAGGTTCGGGAAATGCTGAAATGATATTGACGAGATGAAATAAAATGTGGAAAATAAACATTTTCACGGAAATTTGGAAAAGAATCTCTAAATTATTTCTCAATTAATACATGTTTCAGCTGTGTTGTATAGAGAGTTTTTCGCATAAAAGACTATACTTCACCAATGTGACTCTGTATCTAGAAGAATTGTTATATTGTTACTTCCTTTATTAGCCTTTCTTTATCTCAGAATCCTGGTATTAAATCACGATACCCCTTTCAAACTTAATTCCCTTGTGACGTTGGACCTTGCTAATGTACCCGAATCACTGCCTTTGTTATATACAGTAGAGGTCCCTTTTCTCTATCCAACAAAAACTTGAATTTATAAAACTTCGTTCAGGTTTCCCATTAAGAACTAGTAAAAACTAAGGCATGTATCAGTATATTCTTGATAGAAAATTGAATAGCAACATGCTTCACACTTATTTTAAAAAGACATTCATTTTCACTATTTGACGGGCTTATTTTCTGTACATTAATCTTACTGAAGGAAAAGGAAAACTAAGAGTTTTGCTCTGATCTTTTATAATTTCAACCGAGAAAATATCATTTGCAAAAATTATCCCCTTTATTCAAAGAATACAAAACACTATTTTACTGTTGAAAATAGAAATATAACAACATATTCAATTCAAGAAAAATTTTAGGCGGGTAGACAAATTGTAACGGATACTGAATTAATACTGAATTAATTAAGAATTGTTTGAAGAAATAATTGAATGCATTTTTCTACTACTGCTGACCACCCCCTCCCCCTTTTTTTTTCGGTAAAACAACTTTCACGGTTACAAGTAAACTTAGTAGTACTGTTGTAAAAGGACGAAATTATCAAGAAATTCACCGTGTACTTGTATATGTGTTTATATGTTTTGCTTTATATATATATAGTTTGCTTTGTTTACTTGTGAAAGCCAATAAAAAAAGGATTGTTTTCTGCAACAAATTATTATTCAAAAACCTGTCTAAGGATATTGTCAGAATGAAATGCCTGTAACATTGAACTTTTTAAGATAAAGACAGAAAAAAAACCATTTTCCAGATTCTTGAGGAGATTGATTCTTTATATACTCGTAATTATCTGTTGACCATCATTTGACTTTGCATTTGTACTCACTGTTGAAGGGGGTGAGGTAGCCGTCACGTTAGGAAGAATTATTATTTTTATGCAAACTTCATCTGTATTCCTGTAAAAAAAAACAATTACGATGATACAAAATAGAGTGAAATATCGCCATTTCGGAGTAAAACAACAATAATCAATCAATCAATCAATCATGATACAGATACAAGAATATACGAAAATAATTACGTCATCGAGTTCCTGGTCTGCACACAGACATGTTTGGTGCCCGATTCTGATGGTAGCACATGGAACTGTGCGATGCTTTGATTTAGGGGACTTGTTATGTGTTCTAATTCAATATTTTTGGGGTTTATTCCTTTATCAATATGTCCAAACAGCAGTGAACTCCTTCGAATAAATAGAGATAAGTTTTAAAGATACATGCTCACAACTTTTTTTTTTAATTTGCGTTGAAAGTCATCAAGAATTTTTATTTAAATAAACATTATTCATGTAATTTATTATCACGAGCCTTTATTACCTATTCAGTGGCTGACCGTCCACTGGAAGGATAACTGGACAATCTTGTGCCAAATAACATACGATTTCTTTTGGTAACATTGTATCCACAAATATGGGAAGTTCCTAAAAATAATGGACATTCACGCGTATTATTAGATATTTCAAAACTGAGATATTTTATAGAGAGAGTAAATGATCAACCTTTGTATCTACTTACATTTGTTGAAGTTGTATTTTGTCTGGGTATTGGCACAGGCTTTACTGAAGATGAAAAGATAATAAGCTTATGAATGCAGCAGAATGGAGAATGAAAGAAATGAGGTTGAATTAGAAATGATTAAAATAGAAGACACAAATTTTTTTATTTTTTACTTTACAATTTTCTTATCGTACATGGGGTATTTGTTATCTTTTTGGCAAAGGTTTGATTTCAATTCATCAAAATTAAAAAAACTATCAGAAGATAAATTGTCAAAATGTTCATTAACTCATATTTGGTATGGATGCATCTTAAAATTCACACACATTTATCATGATTATTTGAGGTGTCTTAGACGCGTATAACCTGTTTTATAATGAAAATGGGAAACCTTTATTGTGTTAACTTTTCATAACATAACACGGAATGCTATAAATATATACATTGAAACGTTGAATGAGTATGATAAGTATATAAAACATTATAATGATTCTTTAAGGATAAGAGCAGTGAATGAAAAATTAGTAGTAAATCTCTAAAATATAAGACCTATTTATTTCAAATATTATTCCTTTTTAATGAAAAAATATCAAAAATACTCCTGACACCAAAATAGCACAATATACGGTAAACATACTCTAATCCAGCTTATAATTACCTTTCTTTTCACAGTCCTGTCCTTCTAAACCAGTCTTACAGACACAAGTGTGATTGACATAATCAGAAGTCCTACAAAACCCCTCCCCCTGACATGGATTTGGATTGCAGGGGGAACTGCCTATATGAATGAAGAGTATACAATATACTAAAAAAAATAACTGTTTCGCAGAAAATGTAGGAAAAAAATTTCGAAATAGTTACATTAACTACAGACATTAAGAAAGGATTCAATCATATTTTACTTATTTGATTTACATAAATGAGTACAAACTTGTTATGTTTTTCACTGCATTCACCATAATGCATCTTCTATCAGAACTGTTGAAAACAAAACAGGGATTCATGATGTGCATACAGATTTCAAAGCATTATGATTTTGAATTACTGATGATTTTTTTCGAAATATGAAAGTCATAAGAACCTGAATGTTTCTACACATATCTCTTTATTCTCCCCAGTCTTAACTAGAGTTGCCACATCGGTAACACACAAAGAATGATTGAATGTTGTCTCAGTTGTCTTCAGAATAACAGTTCCGGAGGTAACTGGCGACTGCTGTGGAATAGTACTGCAAAAGAAACATTTATACATTAACTGTACGTCCCAACGAACTTTGCTACAATACCATAATAAAGGACAAGATAAGGTAAGACCCCCTTTTGGCCCCTGATTTCGGGTGTCTTTCGGAATGATGCAATAATTTCAATAAAAAACCTGTTGTTACCCCTGCCACAAAATTGGTATTGGTTCTAAGTTTTCGAATACACACAGAGGTCACAGAGAGGTAAGAAAATATGTCCATTTTCTCATTCTAATGCAAATTTTAATCGATTTCTCAGCACATTTTGTTTCGGAAAATATAGAGCACAAGCTTGCCTACCTACCAAATTTATATATTTTATACACTAGTATCAGATGCAGTTTATGTGCAGAAATCTCGGATAGGCAAGCGCGTGCTCTATATTTTCCGAAGAGAAAAGTATCTTAAATATAATGAAAGTCCATCAAAATTGACGAAAATCGGGAAAATATCCTACTTCTGCACCGTCTAGTGGCTTCCATATAAGCTTTCAATCCAAGCATCACTTTAAGTTCTTAACTACAAACTATCACAATTTTACCAATGTTCTGCTTTTTACATCAAATAAGGGGCCAGTTTCGGCCGTTACCCTACCTTGTCCTTTCAATGGTTTCTGATTTTCATCTATGACTACACAAGAACTTGTAGGAATTATACTCACCAACTATCATTGATAAACTTTGCAGAATGTATAAGTAGATGACAAACTGTGTTTTCTATGCAGACGACCGAAGACTCGTCGGGAATGGTTGGTTCCTGGATATTCTACAAACACGGTTAAATGTTTTTTAATATACCCATTTTTTTAAAATTGAAAACATACAAAGAATTATTTTTTAAAACTCTTTGAGATCAATCGCATAAAAAAGTATAAATTATTTTATATTTAGATAAAAAGAAACACAACCCCTCTGGAATACGTTATAAGCCGTAAAATCAATATGTACCTTTGTAGAATTAGCGGATGGCGTTTGCTTTGAAGTAATATTGACCTTAAAGCAAATTTCATCTCCCTTTGTTCTGTGAAAAAGATTTAAAAATTACATCATTAATAAGAATACATTTACGACTATATGTAAATCTTAGATTTCTTAATGTTTTCTACATTTAAAAGTTTTGACATACCCGATTTGCACACATATCCTTTTCAGTTCTTCCTTGGTACCAGATACTTTTATATTTGTTTGGTATGTACTATTTGAATGTCCAGGATAGTTCATTGTTGGTATCGGCTTGTAAACGAGTGGACTGTTAGTTTTCACCTCTGGACTACAAATAATTCAATATACAATACTGTAAACCAATTTTTATTCGCGTGCGAGATATTTTCGCAAGGTTCACGAAAACCTCGTCATCAAGAATATTTCTCGCCACGAACCGGTCCTTAAAAGCTTGATCGCTCAAATTAATCATCGCGAATTAGTTTACCCCCAGTAAATTGCAAAATAAAGTCGTCGTGGATTTTGATTATATAGAGACTTGATATGGTGTTGTAAGTTACAACAGTAAGGATACATACATATCACCTGGAGGTCCTGTGATTATCAAGGGTATACCACACTCGGTATTGATGGGGCACTGTATGACATTTGGAATGGCTGTGTCCGTAAATTTATGGGTAGGTACTGTTGGCTGTTATATTTGGAATATGAAAATTAAAATCAATGTGGTTTCTGATTCGTCAACTTACAAGAACTGACGATTGTGTCTTCCTTAAAGCATGTTTTACAATGTGCAAGATATCATATAAAATTATCATTAAATTATCTTCAATCTTACCGTGGTTGTTCCTGGAACAGTGGTATCTACAAGCACCGTAAATGTCATTAATATTGCCATGCATATGCAATCAACATCAGCCACATTAGAACAATACGAAGGATGATGAATAGCTTTGTAAATGTCATTTATATTGCCATGCATATGCAATCAACATCAGCAACATTAAACAATACGAAATATGATGAATAACTTAGTATTTGTCATTTATATTGCCATGCATATGCAATCAAAATCAGCAACATTAAAACAATATGAAAGATGATGAATAGCTTTCAATAAGTAACAATGTGTTTGTTGGCTTGATGTCTACTTAATTTCACACATATTAGGACGTCAATGATTGCAGATGGAATTGCAAATGACAATGTAAGGTAACGGCCAAATCTGGCATCTTATCTGATGTAAAAATCAGAACACTGGTAAAATTGTGATAGTTTGTAGTTAAGAACTTAAAATGATGCTTGCTTTAAAACCAGCACTAATTCTGATTCAAAGCTTACATGGAAGCCACTATAGAGGGTCAGAAATAAGACAATTTTCTGAATTTCATTTTTTGAGATACTTTTCTCTTCAGAAAACATAGAGCACAAGCCTATCTGAGATTTTCACACATAAACTGCATCTGATACTAGTTTATAAAATACATGTATATAAATTTGGTAGATAGGCAAGCTTGCAATTGTGTTCTATGTTTTCCGAAACAAATTGCGCTGTAAAATCGATGAAAATCTTAATGAAAATGAGAAATTTCAAAACTTGACCTATTTTCTGACTTCACTGTGACCTCATTGTATTTCAAAACTTAGAACCAATACTCAATTTGAGGCAGGGGTGACAACAGGTTTTTATTTATAAACTGTTGCATCATTCTGTAAGACACCCAAAATCAAGGGCCAAAAAGAGCTCTTACCCTTGTACTTAATTTTATTCCAAAAAGTTATGCATGAGGAATATTTTTTATTCATTAAGTAACAAGCTTAAATCTAAAACATCATTACTTGTCGAACAACTTGAATCCGAAATTCCAACTGGGCAGATACATTGAGCAGTCCATGATACAGGATCAGCTTCGCATCTTCCACCATTATGACAATGTTTCTCCTGGCAAGGACCGCCTAATTCGAATAAGAATGAAAAATATCTATATGATGCAGAAAAAGAAATCTGTGAGCCAATGCTCACTAGTAGTACCCCCGCTCTGATGTAAATAAGCACTATCATGTTAATATACACAAGTTAAATTACAGGCAGATGCACAGAGTAATATGAAGTTGACATTAGATTCATTCAAAATTAATCCCACCAAATGGAATGCCTTTTCGGCTACTTAAGCTGCCTCGCAATAAACATCAGCTTATCTCGATATTAAGTGAGGTCCTCGTTCACTGAGATGTTTTTGTGTCCGGATGTTCTTTAAATTTCGCCCACTATTTAATAAGCCTAAATTTAAGATCAACACTTTTCATCTTGGCGATGATCTGCTTGGGACCGTTACGGTTGTTGTTGTTGGGATTCCCAACTCGATGAGACACTTCGATATCACTTGACTGGAGTGGGATGCCCGCCCTAGCCGATGCTTCAGGAATAAGAGATGAGGTATCTCATTCTGGTGTTCTGGTATCCTGGATACCCGGACCATGGGGCGTCTACCATATTGTTCCAGCTCGTCGAGCTGGCGAACAGGTTTTTGTTTTCTTTTTCCAGGCTAGTTATCCTGCTTTGTAGTGGTTCCAAGGCTTTAGCTACTTCGGAAACCACCAGTTGAGAAATCTCCACATGTAACGCCTGTTTGACGGCCGCAGCAATCCTCAAAACATTATCCTCACCGAGAACAACTTGTGGAGGTGCAAAAGCGGGACTTGGAATACCTGGGTGGCCAGGTATGAAAGGTGGGTGCCCGTATGGAATCTGTTGAACTGGCGTAGACATGTGAGGGAATGGATGGGATTGCAATGGGTTGGCATAACTTGGGCTGGTGGAAAGAGAAACCTCCTTCTGCTTTTTAGGGGATCGAGAAGTTTCAGAGTTTGATTGAGATAGGGCACTCACATTTCTTTTGCTGTTTTCTTTACTATCACCCGTTGTGCGGTTTTAGTATAGATGAAGTTTAAATGGAACACTCAAAGCACACACTGGTTATATTTGTAATGCAGTGGTAATATCAACCAAGGTATTCATAAAAAGTCATAAAAAATATGTATATTGGACGAAGTTGGAGACTTATAGCGTAGAATGTCCTTATAAATGATTGAAGTATGTATTCAAGAACATCAGACGATGCAGCATAGAAGAACATAGAAGAGCATAAAGGTAATGAACTATAGCGCACTGACAGTGTTAAACGGTACGTTGAGTAGATCTCATGGACGCTCACTATGTATACAAGTTCAGTAAAAACTGAATCTAAAGAAAAAAAAGTTCACCAATTCTTCTCTCAAAAATGATGTCTCCAACTCTAACTATCACCCATCACAACATACCACAATGCTGCACGGAATTAATTACATACCGTATAAGTGGAAATTTTAGCGAGACGCAAATTTAGCGATTTGTCCTTAAAAACTGGTAATTTATTTTTAGCGAGATGTTATTTTAGCGATGTTAAAATGCACATTAAAGAAGCTATTACAAATAAAACACAATTAATTTTTAGCGATATTCAATTTTAGCGATCTCGGCACCCTCGCTAATAATGCCAGAATTCAATCCTCGCTAAAAATTCTACTTATACGGTATCTTACGGATCTGTGCAAACCTTGTGTACTACCCAACAAGGGCAGCAACTCGTAAAAAAAGTAATGAAATAGAATTGCTCCAAATATTCAAATTTTATAAAGTTTTAACATTGAAATCTGCTTTATTTTCCTTAAAATGTACTATAAGAATAAATCAGGTCATTTAAACCCATCACATCATTAAAAGAAATATCAGGTCTTTAGTACGAAATCATTAGGTCATTTTTTTTCTTAAATTCTGGCAAAAATATTTGTCTCAAAACCATTTCAAGTGTTTAATTTTTCTAAAAGAATTAAACAAAGTATCATGTCATTCAAAACCTTCAATTGAAAGTCATGAGCATTTATAAAAATATCAGGTCTTCACTAGAAATATCAATTAGGTCATTCAAAATATCAGGTCAACAAGTTTTTGTAAGAACATCTTGATACACAGAAAAAATTCTCTTGTGTTATCTCCTAAAACAGTATTTTAGTATAGTATCATCAATAATTCTCTCCCAAAAAATTGAAATATAATGTTTAAATTGATAATTTTATGTGATATTTTTTCATCAGGTCAAAATATCAGGTCTTTAGTATATCAAGTCTTTAGTATGTTCCTTGTTACATGTCATTGACTGAAAAAGAGATTAAGTTTATGTTATACAATATAAGTTACCTACGTCACAATGAATAACGTCAAGAACGCATTATTCCATTTGGCGTTACTTTTAAAATATGCCCAATCTAAAGACATTTTTGAACGAAAAATGGTCGTATTGTCTATACTTAATTATAGGAAATTAAATTACAAGTAGAAATACTGAATTTATCGCTTGAAAGTATACACTGCAACCGAAATACCTTTATTTGCGTTGAGTGATGACACTATTGGATTTGACAATTGAACAATTTGAATCGTGGGTTTCATTCTACAAAACATGCGTTTTAATTGGTTGATTAGGACCATCCTTTGCCTATATAAGTTGGAAAGCGTCCAACGGCCTTGCAATTGTCGAAAACCGATTGACTAAACTAGAAAATCCCTTTTTAGCATGTGATATATTCCTTTCGCAGACGGTACATGTATATCGTTCGATGACACACATTATTCCCATTTTATGCTACATGTAATTATGCCGATTTTCTATATTCACGGCATTTCCCATTCTCGCAAACTTGGTGTTGCAAACTGAAAATGAGTACAACATACCAGCTAATATCGAAGCACCTGTTGAAAAAATATAAATTGTGTGGTAAAACATCGGATTTATTCAAAAGTTTACCAGTTTACCGTTTTGTTGTCACGACTGTCAAAAATGTGTATGTGCAATCGCATACCTGTTTAAACTGTCGTCATGGCAATATTAAAACAAGCGATCAGAAAAAAATCGAAATCCTTGTTAGTTTTTTTTTCATGCAGTGCACTCTTTACTGTAATGCCGAGTATAATTCATATGTTCACTTTAAAATAATTAATATCACTTATATATTTACCAAATCTAAATACGTTTAATTTAATGATGTACTGAAGAAAAAACGGAAAAAACGGCCGTGTTTTTCAATTGCAAAAATATGCCCCGGGTGACGTGCATCATTTTAAGTCAACTTCTGCCAGTCCTAGAACAGATTTTATATTTCAAGATCATTATACACAAAATAATTTGATAAGGTATTGCATAGGTCCACTAAATACTTCGCTCAGTAAGTAGGGGCCTACCACTTGTTTGCCCGTTTTCTACAGCTGTTCTATCTTTCTTGGAAACATTCCATGAGAAAGTGGGCGGGCCTATAAAAAAGCACCAATCAGATTCTTTGTTGGATTTCGCAATTGTATTTCAGTCAGATTCATCGGTGTCGTCACTCAACGCATCAGTGTTTCCTTTCAAGCAAGATTTGCGATAATAGTTACCCAAGTTACACTAGTATAAAACGTAAACTGTCCCAATCCATGTTTATACAGTATATCCTAGGTAGCTATAATATTCATTCCTCAAATATACTATGTCCTCACGTTAAAACATTCATTCAGATTGCTGAGATGTTTCTACAAAGATTCTCAATGATACCTTTATTATCGATATAAGGAGTTACCTACCAAATGTCTTGTTGATACTGATAACAACATGAACTGTGTAGCATCTTATATCCCCGCCTGAACTAAAAATAAGAAAATATATACATCTGTATGAAATATATAACATTAAAATAATTAACAGAATAATTGTTTCCAAATGATTTTTATTATATACGTTTTATTTCCGACTCTGACACATAGGGTATGAACTCCTGGCACTTCCGGTTTTATTGATAGATCCACGTGACACAGTGATGATCCTTGATTATTTTCAGATGAAAATGCATGAGTATTAGAAATGGAGGAGGAAGCCGTATTTTCCACATCAGGACTGCAAAGTGAAACAATATAAATTATGAAATTGGCTTTTGTTCAACAAGTGTTTCCGAGAATTGCTATATTCAACTTGCAGGTCTTCAAAAGTAGAAGAATGATTTAAAACATAGCCTGATTTATTGAACTATTTTAAAGCGGGCTTTATTATCCAAACCATTTGTTAGAACCAGGTACTGGAGTCGTGTACAGAGGTATATGACAACTTTTCTCTCCATACTCGCATTGAAGAACAGTGCCGTTTGGCATCGAAGGTGAGGTTATCTTTGATGACATCTATAATTCAAAAGGTGATTTACACTGAAATACACGGTTTTCTTAATTATTGTTCATAAAAAATGACCGAAGGAGCGAAAGAAAACCTATAACTACCATCAGGTTCGGGGTGCCGAAATGATTTTAACGAGATGAATTGAAATGTGAAAGATACACGTTTTCACGCAAATTTTGAAAAGAAAATTTTCACCTCAAGGAAAATTTTTTAGAATGGTAGATAAACATAAGAGATACTACATTTATTAGGAATAGTTTTCTAAAGCAAACGTTTTCGAATTTAGAAATCTGTCTAAGGATAATGTTGGGAATTAATGTACGCGACATCTCACCTCAGATAAATGAAAAAAACATACTTGTAGATTTTTGAATGGATTGATTCCTAAGATAATTATCTGTTGACCATGATTGTATTATGTTTTACTCACTGTTGAAGGAGGTGAGGCCGTTGCCACGTTGGGAAGAATTTCTAATTTGATGCATACTTCATCTGTATTCCTGAAGAAAATTGTCATTGACAAGCAATTCGAGTTTTTGATAAAATTGTAAAATTCTTTTACGAAAAATTATCATTCATACACGTATTTATTATCCATCGCAATTGATCTTGATCAGTTATATAAAATTCTTGACATAATTACTTTTGTTAGAAGTGTAAATATTAAGGCAATTACTATGAGACAGACACATGTATATACGAGAATAATTACGTGTTCGATTTCCTGGTCTGCACACAGACATGTTTGGTGCCTGATTCTGATGGCAACACGTGGAACTGTGCAATGCTTTGATTTAGGGGACTTGTTATGTGTTCTAATTCAATATTTTGGGGGTTTATTCCTTTATCAATATGTCCAAACAGCAATGAACTCCTTCAAATAAATAGAGATGTTTTAAAAATACATGCTCACAACTTTTTTTTTTTAATTTGCGTTGAAAGTCATCAAGAATTTTTTTTGAAATAAACATTATTCATGTAATTTATTATCAAGAGCCTTTATTACCTATTCAGTGGCTGACCGTGCACTGGAAGGGTAATTGGACAATCTTGTGCAAAATAACATACGATTTCCTTTGGTAACATTGTATCCACAAATACGGGAAGTTCCTTAAAATAACGAACAGTTGCGCATGTTATTAGATATTTTACTGAGATATTTTATGAAGATAAGCAATTGATCAACCTTCGTATCTACTTACATTTGTTAAAGTTGTATTTTGTCTGGGTATTGGCAAAGGCTTATCTGAAGATGAAAAGATAATAAGCTTATGAATGCAGTAGAATGGAGAATGAAGGAAATGAGATTGAATTAAAAATGATTTAAATAGAAGACACCAAAAAGAACTGCGAACGATAGTATTGTTCTCCCGCCTACCTCCAAGTTAATTTTCAAAATGTAATATATTCGATGAATTTTTAATATTTTTTTATAGATAATGATATGGATTTTCATAAAACATTACTTAATTGGGAAAACAAAGAGAGATAACCTTAAAATTTTGGTAAGACTTGTGTTTTTCACTATAGAAATCAAGGGAAAACGGAAAATATTTTTAAAACATCTTCGCCCCCCCCCCCTCCCGTGTCACTAAAATTCCTTTTTACAGGTAATATGGAATGTTATTTCACAAATTCATACCAAATATTTTTGTGTGACTCGGGGTAACATGTGTTTATTGACAAAAAACGATGAAAATGCTTATTTTCCACCAATTTCAAAGCGAGTTACAACTGAAACAATATATTTTATGCATATATTTATATATGTATAAGAAAAGATATAAGGAACATTTAATCATATTCAAGACTATTTCAAAATATGGTGATACTTGAAACTCCGATTTCACTGGAAAATATCGTCTAACCCCCTTTTTTCAAGAGCTGGAATTATGGATAATTTACTGTTTAGTGCTGGTATTAAGACAATTCATCAATTACCAACGAAGATTTTATGGCCAAATTGCTATTCATATTGAATTAAATGGTTCCAAAATGTAGGCGGGAATCGATAGTAAGCGTGCGTATTTCTTTAATTTTTACTTTACAATTTTCTTATCGTACATCGGGTATTTGTTATCTTTTTTGGCAAAAGTTTGATTTCAATTCATCAAAATTAAAAAAAACAATCAGAAAATAAATTGTCAAAATGTTCATTAACTCCTATTTGGTATGATTGCATCTTAAAATTAATACACATTTATCGTGATTATTTAGGTGCAATAGACGCATATAATATGTTTTATAGTGAAAATGAAAACCCTTTACTGCGTTAACTTTTTGCGACATAACCAAGAATGCTATAAATATATACATTGAAACGTTGAATGAGTATGATAATTAAATAAAATATTATATTGATTTTTTAGGATAAGAGCAATGAATAAAAAATTAGTAGTAAACCTCCAAAACAAAAAATATGTATGAAATAATGCCGACTCAGCGTAAAAAACCCATTCAATCAATTAAAACATAAGACCTGTTCATTTCAAATGATTATTCCTTTTAAATAAAAAAAAATTAGCAAAAAAGAAACCTTTGACGCCAAAATAACACGATATACGGTATACAGACTCTAATCCACTAGTAATTACCTTTCTTTTCACAGTTCTGTCCCTCTAAGCCAGTTTTACAGACACAAGTGTGATTGACATAATCAGAAGTTCTACAAAATCCTTCCCCCTGACATGGATTTGGATTGCAGGGGGAACTGCCTATAAATATGAAGAAAATACAATGTACTGAAAATAATTGTTTTAGAGAAAATATGAAAAAATCAGGTAATATCTGTATTAACTAAAAACATTTTGGAAACAATTTAATCATAATTTACTTATTTAATTTACATAAATGGGTACAAACTTGTTATGTTTTTCACTGCATTCACAATAATGCATCTTCTATCAGAACTGTTGAAAACAAAAAAAAAGGATTCAAGATGTGCATACAGATTTCAAACAATTATAATTTTGTCGATTTTCGATTTTCTGTATTACGGATGAAATCATTTTTTGTGCGCAATATAAAAGAAAGTCATAAGAACCTGAATGTTTCTACACATATCTTTTTATTCTCCCCAGGCTTTACTAGAGTTGCCACATCGGTAACACACAAAGACTGATTGAATGTTGTCTCTGCTGTCTTCAGAACAACAGTTCCGGGGGTAACTGGGGACTGCCTTGGAATAGTACTGCAAAGGGAACATTATTACATTAGCTATATGTACCAAAGAACACTGCTACAATACAATGATAATTTCAAAGGTTTCTGATTTTCAACTAAGATTACAACTTTTTCTCACCAACTGTCATTGTTAAACTTTGCAGAATGTATAAGTAGATGACAAACTGTGTTTTCTACACAGACAACAGAGGACTCGTCAGGAATGGTTGGTTCCTGGATACTCTACAAAACCAGTAAATTTAGTATTATTTCATATATCCATGCTTTTTTCTTTTAATTGAAAACATAAATATTTTTTTAAATCTTTGAGATCAATCGCAGAAAAAATACATTATTTTATATTTGGATATAAAGAAACACAACCCCTCTGGAATACGTTGTAAGCCGTAAAATTAATATGTACCTTCGTAGAATTAGCGGATGGCGTATGCTTTGAAGTAATATTCACCTTAAAGCAAATCTCAGCTCCCTTTGTTCTGTGAAAAAGTTTAAAAATTACATCATAAATATAAATACATTTACGAGTATATACAAATCTTAGACTTCTTAATGTTTTCTACATTTAAAAGTTTTGACATACCCGATTTCCACACATATCTTTTTCAGTTCTTCCTTGGTACCGGATACTTTTATATTTGTTTGGTATGTAGAATTTGAATGTCCAGGATAGTTTATGGTTGGTATCGGCTTATGAACGAGTGGACTGTTAGTTTTCACATCTGGACTACAAATTATACAATATACAATATTTCTTACAATTCGTAATTTTTCACATTTTTTACAAATGAGAATCTGTATTTTCTAGGGTTTTGACGTCTTAATTTTGATTATAGACTTTACATGGTGTTGTAACATGCAACAGAAAAGATACATACATGTCACCTGGAGGTCCTGTGATTATCAAGGGTATACCACACTCAGTATTGATAGGACACTGTATAACATTTGGAATGGCTATGTCCGTAAATTTATGGGAAGGTATTGTAGGCTGTTACATTTGGAATATAAAAAATAAAATTCATCATTGTATCTCTCCGGGAGTGTGGTTTAATTTAAAAAAAACCTTGTTGATAATAAGAACGTGCTGTTGTGAAGATACATTATACATGTATGCTTGTGTCGGGTAAGCAAGTCATCATAATTAACCTATGAGCCACAATTCATGAAGATACGTCAAGTTTTACAATGTTCAAGATATGATATAAAATTATCATTAAATTATCGTCAATCTTACCGTGGTTGTTCCTGGAACGGTGGTATCTACAAGCATCGTAAATGTCATTAATGTTACCATGCATATGCAATCATCATCAGCAAAATTAAAACAATGTCAAAGATGATAAATAGCTTTTAATAAGAAAACAATTTCTTTGTCGGCTTGATGTCCACTTAATTTCACACATGTTAGGACGCCAATGATTGCAGATGGAATTGCAAATTACAAGACAGGGTAACGGCCAAATCTTGCCCATTATTTGATCAGAACACTGGTAAAATTGTTATAGTTTGTAGTTAAGAACTTAAAATGACGCTTGCTTTAAAACCAGCACTAATTTTGATTCAAAGCTTACATGGAAGCCACCAGAGGGTGCAGAAGTAGGAAATTTTCAGAATTTCCTCAATTCTGATAGAATTTCTTCATTCAATGAGATACTTTTGTCTTCGGAAAACATAGAGCACAAGCCCATCTGAGACTTTCACATAAAAACTGCATCTGATACTACTTTGGTAGATAGGCAAGCTTGTGCCCTATGTTTTCCGAAACAAAATGTCTGTAAAATCGATGCAAATCTTAATGAAAATGAGAAATTTCAAAAATTGACCTATTTTCTGACTTCACTATGACATCTGTGTATTTCAAAACTTAGAACCAATGCTCAATTTGTGGCAGGGGTGACAACAGGTTTTAATTTATAAGCTATTGCATCATTTTGTAAGACATCCAAAATCAAGGGCCAAAAAGAGCTCTTACCCTATCTTGTACTTAACAACTTAATTCAAATGAGTTATGCGTGAAGAATATTTTTCAATCAATAACCAACAAGCTTAAATTAAAAACATCATTACTTGTCAAACAACTTGAATCCGAAATTCCAACTGGGCAGATACATTGAGCAGTCCATGATACAGGATCAGCCTCGCATCTTCCCCCATTATGACAATGTTTCTCCTGGCAAGGACCGCCTAATTCGAATAAAAATATAAAAAAAAATGTATATCATGCAGGTAAAAAATCAAAAATCTAGAAACTGCAATAATTAAACGGAAATGCTTACCAAATGTCTTGTTATTGTTAGTGACAACTTGGATAGTGTAACATCTAACATCACCATCATTACTGCAAATAAACAACAATATCAATAACCTTCACGCAAAGACAGAAGGTTTTTAGTATGATAATAGTTAAATATGCATCGAGTGAAATAATATTAGACATATACTTCTTATCTTTGGCTCTGACACATAATGTGTGATTTCCTGGCCTTTTCGGTTTAACGGACAAATCCACGTGACAAACAGATCCAATATTATTCAAAGAAGAAAATGCATGGACATTTGGTGTGGAGGAAGAAGACGTGTTTTCAATTTCAGGACTGTAGAAATTAAACAATATGAATTTATTAATGGATCAGAAAAATAATTTCTTCTTTTTTTCAATTCAACATGTGTGGCAACTCTCATGATTTTCATAAAAAGATAATTAACAGTAACCAATGCCTCAGAGAAAAATGTGTGAATTTTGAAATTTCCTATTTCTATGTAAATTCAAAACAATTACAATTTGGGTAATGTTGAATGAAAATATTCCTTTTACAATTACATAAGGAGAAAATGCACTGCAATAACATTAATCATTAATTGAATAACTGAATAGAATAGCACCATTTAGTTGATCCTTTGGTTGGTGTTGTGTAGAGAGGTATGTGACAACTCTCCTCTCCTAACTCACACTGGAGAACAGAACCATTGGGCATCGAAGGTGAGATTATTTTAGGATTAATCTAGAATGAACATTTTTTTAATGAAATAAATAGCAATTATTTTAAATATAATAAATGTACATTGGTTTCATCATACATTAAAATTTTCTAAAATACTCACTATTGAAGGGGTTGTTGTGGTGTGATTCGCAAGAATTTTGACTTTGATGCAAACTTCATCTGTATTTCTATATAAGAAAAAAATGACCCCACTTTGAACAAAACAACTAATTTTTATATTTGACTAAACATTATTTTAAAAAAAACCTTTGATTTGATATGATTTTATTGTGTATTGATACAGTTTAACACTGTTAAATAAATAATTAGAAATGAACTTACATGTTTAAGTTTCTGGTTTGAACACAAACATGTTTAGTCCCAGATTCAGATGGTATTACATGGAAGTGCGCGATGCTTTGATTAAGAGGGCTTGTTATGTTCTCTAGTTCGATACTTTGAGGACTTATTCCTTTATCCAAATGTCCAAAGAGAAGTGAGCTCCTTTAAAATAAACATGAATAACATTAAATGTGTGTACCAATATTGAACTGGAAGTTAAACAGGTGATAAAACTACTAACATCATGCATTTTGATAATAAAAAATCAATAAATCCGATCCAATAAATAAATTTCATACTCATTTACAGGATGTCCATCTACTGGCAAAGTAATTGGACAATCTTGTGCTGTATAGCACACAATCTCATTCGGCAACATTGTATCCACAAATATAGGAGAAGTCTATAATAAATTCACAAGATATAAATGTTTTACATGTAACAAAAAATTATCTATATCAATTATGAAGTGATTATTTAAAAGTTATATATTCAGAAATAAGTAAATTACTTACATTTGTTGAAGTTGAATTTGTGCTTGGTCTTGGTATTGGTTTAGGTTTTACTGAAAAAAATAACATTTTTTTAATGGAGTCTTACGATGGAATAGAATCTTAACATTGTGGAAGTTATATTGATTACATAATTCAAGATCGTAACCTTTGTTTCATTATCAAGGAATGTTTCGTAAAAATGGATTAATTAATTTAATTTAATGATTAATTTATTATATATAATCCAAATATCGTTATGCTCAACAGATTTTGTTGTGTTTTTATTTACCTTTCTTTTCACAATTAGGCCCTCCTAGACCAGTCTTACAAACACAGGTGTGATTGACATAATCAGAAGTAAAACAAAATCCGTTTCCTTGACAGGGATTTGGACTGCAAGGTGACGAATCTAAAAAGCCATTGATGTAAACAATTTAAAAAGTATTACTATCAAATTTAATGTAGGAAACACCATATAATGAAGAATAAAAATAAAAAGCAAATAATTTTACCTTATTAAATAATCTGACATAAAAAACATACTTGTTAAGTTTTTCACTGCATTCACTGTAATACATCTTGCATCTGAACTGTTGAAAAAAATCACGTACATTATATGTATCAAAATTAGAAAGGTTCATTGTTTTTTTCTTTCATTAGAATGATCAAAATGTAAACATAAAAAACATCAAAATAACCTGGAAGTTTCTACACAGATGGTTTTTGTCTCCCCTGGCTTTACTAGAGTTGCTACATCAGTAACACAAAGGGATTGGTTAAATGTTGTAAGATCTGTCTTTAAAATGTTCGTCCCACTTGTTACTGGTGCCTGCTTGGGAAGTACGCTTAAGAGAAGGTAAAAAATGGAAATAAAATGTAAGGCAAATCACAAATACTAGTTTGAAAGTTTTTGGTATCTATTTTTTAAAAATAAATGAACATTAATATTTAGCATTTTGTTATAAATTGGATATTAACAAAATTGTAATAAGAAATTCTTACCAACTACCATTGCTTTGCTTTGATGAATGGACAAGTAAGTGACAGACTGTATTTTCCAGACATTTTACGGAAGACAGATCCGGAATTGTGGGTTCTTGGATATTCTAAAAAAAAAACATCTTTCAACCACTGAATTACCTTCTCATGCTAAGAGAGAGAGGGGGGAGAGAGGGAGAGAGAGAGAGAGAGGTTAGGGTGGCCCGGCCGCACTTTAACAAAAAATTACTATAGTTAACTATAGTGACAATTTTGACATTTTGATTTTCTATGAAACTTCACTCTAGAACTTTTTTTTGAAGATTTAAAGCCTTAATATATCTTAAATAACATACTAATGATGTACTTCTTTTCATAAAATATGTAAAAATACAAGGAATACTTCATTTTAATTTCAGAAAAGTATTTGTAGGAAGTTTATAAAATAAAATATATCTATCCGAAATTCATAGTAAAAATACTTTGATTTACTACAGTGAAAACTTTGATTTACTATACTTAACTATAGTACTCTTTGTTAGGGGGGTACTGGACTATATAGATATGTCAGTACGAAATGTAAAACTGAATATTGTACCTTCATTTTTCCAGAGGATGCATTCTTTGAAGAAGTGATGTTTACTTTGAAGCAAATTTCATCTCCATTTGCACTATAAAATATGTAGAGAATGAGTTGAGAAGTAGAACGAGCAAATTCACTTACACATTAATCAGAAATTTCTTTGTCTACTGTAAAGAAAATGACATACCCAATATGTGCACAAATATCTTTTATTCCCTCCTTAGTACCGTGAACCTTAATGTTAGTTTGGTAAGTATTGTTTGTAGGTCCAGGATAGGTATAAGTTGGTACATGTTTGTCAACAAGAGGACTATTGGAAGTTACATGTGGACTGCAACAACATAATACTCAATATTATAAACGGTCTTTAAACATTAAAATGTATGTGTACCTTATTTTGATTTAGTGAAAACTTTAAAAACGTTGATTCTGAAGAATTATATACCAAAGTCTTTAAAATGCTAGAAGAGATACCTACATATTGCCAGGTGGTCCTGTTATTATCAATGGTATGCCACATTCGATGTTAATAGGACATGATATAACATTTGGTACAGCTGTGTCCGTAAATGTGTGTTTGGTAATGGTGGGCTAATAAAATTACAAAGACAACCCTAAATCACACTAAGACAATATATATCTTTACATTTATTTATGTAATATACAGAAATAAACAAGACAATTTACTTGTAAAAAGCACCGCTCTTTCTATTTAATAACATAATGGGAAAGCTTGTTGTAATTTATTCAATGGTATTATGCTAATTCATGCTTGGATATATCTTAAATATACACTATAATATACGTACAAGAGAAGTGTTCATGGTTGTAAAAGTTGGAGAAACATTGCCTAAAAATAATGAAAACATTTGAGAAAGAGTAAAAAGGGATCTTAACAAATTAAAATATACAAAAAAGGTTTTAGATAAAGTACTGGTGTGGATAGATGTTTATGCAAAGTAATAAAATCGTACATAAAGTTTTATCCATTTTATACTTTATATGGTTGTATATGATTTTAAAAAAAGAGCACTTGGAACATAGTCAAGTCATTTAACGATAAGAAATTCTGAAATAGGTCATTCATCGCATGATTCAATGTTTGTTAATTTTGGAGTGAGGGATGAAACTTACTAGTTTGGCAGTTTATATCAGAGAATCCTACTGGACAGAAACAAGTAGCAGTGGAAGTAGTTGGATCTGCTTCGCACCGTCCTTTATTGTAACAATGGTGAATCTGACACGGCCCTCCTTCAGTCAAAGACAATGGCATCATAAATAATGGATAAAATTTACCAAAAAAAACAAGATATGCAGTAATTCTATACGTGTTTAATAATTTCTGATTAATTTAAAAATTCCTCCATACGATTATAGAGGATAATGTTTGTTTTAATCAGCGAATTATATTAATATGATCCTATTTGCAATTTGATTTTGGCTGTGTTTTATTTTCTTTTACCCACCTTTTTTGATGACAGGCAGCAATGTAGCGCATTTTCATGTATGTTAGATTTTTTAATGTTTAGAAGGGGCTCAAATGAAGATTAATAGTATCATTCATTACTACGAGTGTGGAATAGTGAAATTCCACCAAGGGGACGAGATTCACAGTCTAAGACGAGGCTTTGTCGAGTCCTAGAACGTGAATCTTGGCCCCGAGGTTCAATTTCACCATATATCCCACACGAGTATGTAATGAATGATTATTTTTCTCGCATTATTTTATCCAAAATAACGGTCTGTCAATTAAGTCGCCATAAAGCCAAAAATATATTCTTTACTTCAAAAGTAAAAGTACGACAATATTTTGAACGAAAATAAGTTTATTTTAATAAGTTAAAAAACAACATTTTAAGTTTGTGTGATATTTTTTAACATTGTTACAATTTCCATATATAAAGAAGGAATTTTTACGTTAAATATCGTTTGCGGCGTAATAATACACAGTGTAAGACAGAAAAATCTCACACTGCTGTCTCACACCGCACAAGTCAATCCAACACTGGTGATTATGCGAGAAATATGTACACTTTACATGGCAATATTCTTCCATGTTTTGAATTCTTAATTAGTCTTCTGGTTGATTCCCCTTTTTTTCTATGTATATCATGTTACAATGACATTATGGTAAGGGGTCAGATTGTGCAATATTGTGAATAAGATATGTAATACTTTATATTTAAGTCCCCTTTCCTGGCCCCCTTTCTTGTATTGTAAATATATTTTACTACTTTTCGTCACTTACTTCAATAAATAACATTTTTTTCACTTCAACAATGTCGTTTGTTTTTGTCTGCTTTAACAAAAAAGAAATGTTCAGTTGTCTGGCAGGAGAACTAAGGGGCATAAAATACGTAAATTTACACATACTTTTTGTAACAATTTTTATTAATTATTATCGAACTTGTATTCTTAACCTTCACTTTTTTTAAATCTTAATTTCTTTTAACCACTTTATATATTCTTACCATAAGTTTTATTGGTGTTTGTTACTACATTTACCACACAGCACCGTTGATCGCCTTTACTGTCAAAACATTAAAAAGAATAAATCCAATGAGAATCAAATCCAGAAAGCTGAGTTACACTTAACAATTCAAATCAATTTCAAATATCGAGTATATACTCTTTCCTTGAATTTTTAAAGAAAATAGTTTATTACAGAATGATAAATTGACGAATGAAATTCGACAGTTAGTTCTCTGTTTACCAACCTGTTGTCTTGTGCTTGAACGCATAATGTGTGATTTCCTGGTACCTGTGGTTTGAAAGACACATCAACATGGCACGTATTACTGGAGCTCGAAGGATGATCCGAAGTAAACGAATGCACCTTTGTAATTGACGATGAAGCCATATTTTTTATATCTGGACTAAAATGATGCCAAAGGTGATTTTAATTTTTTATTTATATACTAACAAAGATGACTGTTATAACGTACAAACTTATTAGAAAGAAATGCTAATGCATAAACTTCCTGGTTTATTTGTATATAGGTTAGGATTATGTTCATAGGTTAGGACATGTAGAGACTGACGAAAAATCTGGATAATATATGATAATGGCTGGGGATGTCTCATCTATCTGATCTTAAAGAACCATAAGACGAAATATTTAAAACTTTATCATACCAGTTACTGGAAGAGGGCGAAGGCTGCGTTACAAGATGAAAATGACAAGTTCCTCCAAATTCACATTGTACAACTGTTCCAGTAGGCAAAGAGGGCTCAACAATTTTTGGTGTGTTCTTTTGACGGGAAAATTGAAAAATAAATTTTAAAATGCATCTTAACTTATCTAGAAGTTGCAAATTTACAACAATAAAATATATTACATGATTAAAGATACTCACCGTTGGGGTACTTGTTGTCGTCATTAGTACTGTAAACAGATTATTGGACAAATAAGATGAGAGAAATTACTTTTGAAATTTTTAAAAAATATCTTTGCTAAACAAAATATTTTTCAAAAATTTTATATAATAATGTTTGCGTACCTGTCTCCTGTGTCACCAACACTTTTAAACAGATTTCATCCGTATTTCTAAGGAGATATACAAAATAAAAATTTGATTTAAAAATGATGATTTGGAACTAGAAACTTAAGATAAGAATTGTGTTGCAGTATTATAAATACAAATATATTTAATCTCACAAATCCATTCTTAAAAATATTTTAATCATATATTCAGAAATATTCTATGTCATATATTTCATTTTTTAAAAATCTATTAAAATGTAGGTTAAAACATACGTATGAAGATTTCTAGCCTGTACACAGACAGATTTTGTGCCTTTCTCTATTGCTTTAACATGAAAATGTGCTAGAGTCTGATTGTTAGGCTCTGTAATATTCTCAGCAGTGATTATTCCTGGAACAACTCCTTTTTCAAAGTGTCCAAATAATAGAGAACTCCTAAAACAAAATTAAACATAATGGTATGTATTGCAATGTTAATTCTTTCGATTGATAGAAATATCTTTCTTTCTTTCGAAATTCAAAGTCTACATTATCTTATTTATGTGTATTTGTGTCGATGAAATTCAATGCGTGATGTTACAGTCACGTGACCAAACATCATAGTGTCAAGTACTTCTGAATGCAGTTGAAAAAAGGATGGTTAGCCTCAGGTGAAAATAGAATATTATAATTTTGATGGCACATTAATTTATTACTTAATGAAAAAAAATAATAGCAGTTTCCTTACTGATTCAAAGGGTATCCAAGAATAGGCATTGTAATTGAACAGTCCTCCATCAAGTGGCAGTGTATTTGTTTCGGCAATACCGAATCAACAAATACTGGATTCGGCTAAAGAAGTAAAAGAAGTAAAAATTTTGATTTTGCGAAAGAGATATGAAAAATACCATGTTCACCTTTGTTAAATAAATCTGTTGTAATTTGGAAAAGAATGTCAGCTAAGGAAACACCAATAAATGTGTGTATATACTTACAATCGTTGAATCATTTTTCTTCCTTGGAATTGGCAAAGGTGCAACTTAAAAAGAATGCATAATCAAATAATTAGAATTAATAATCTCATAAGAAACCCCGCCAAAAAATTCAAGTGTGTTTAAAAAATGTTTTACCTTTATTTTCACAGTCTTTTCCCTCGAATCCTAGTTTACATAAACAAGTGTACTGGGTGGAGTTGTCAGATTCACAGTAGCCATTCCCGTTACAGGAATGCTCATTACACGGAGACCCTTCAGAGTTAAATTTTAAAAATAAAACATTATTTCAAAATTGAATGTATGAATATACATGTATTTCAATAAATTATTTTCATCATAATACATGTTTGCTGTGTTCAATTGAACATACATGTATCTGATAATCCAGGATATTTTAACTTAAGACAATACCTTGCACATGTTCCACTGTATTGACTGTCACGCATCTTTTCTCTCTGTCATAACTACAGAAAATATTTAAATTAAACCAACTTTATTTTATGTTAAATGTTAGAAAGAAAAATTATATGAAAAAAAATATTCACTTGCCTCACAGTTGTGCCATCAACTTGAAAGCAAACTGTTTTGCTCTTGTCCCCTTTGTGGGTTACAGTTACAATGTCTGCCACACACGTGTTGTTGGTTTGATATGTTTTAACTACCCGGGCATTTGGAATAATTGGTGTAACTTTCGCAACTAAACTGTAAGAAATAGTCAATCATTCTTAGTGAGAAAAAACACTCAAAATCTGTATTTTAACGTTTACATAAACAAAATATCTAAAATGCAAAAGTTTAATAATAGACATTACCAACTGCCATTGCTATACTTTTCCAAACGTATGATTAAGTGACAAGTGGAATCTTCCTCGCAGTTTACCGATGATCCATCTGGGATTGTTGGTTCTATCATGTTCTGTGTATGGAACATATTTCCAAGCAATTTATTTTTTTTTTTTTGCTGTATTGATTGAATTATATCATATTGAAATTTTGAATTTTATAAAGGTTAAAATAAAAGAACAGCCTTCTTTGAAATAAAACTTTTACAAATCACTACAGGTTTAAAAATGAAATAATTTGAAAACTTCCAAAGGAAAGATTTTATTTTAAAAACGTCCTGTATATCATAAATTCATTTTTTCCAAATTCCCAATTTACTAACATTTAAAAAGATATTTGGGAATGTAAACTGGAAAACCTTTACTTTACCAAAGACATCTTTTTATGTTTTTAGATTAAAATGTCTATAATGTTTCTTTTTTAAGCTTACAAGCAGTAAATTTACTCACAAAGTGAGGAGTTTTTCCATTCTCCAGAGAAGGTGGTTTGTAGGTGGAATCTGTTACATTCACTTTGAAGCATATTTCATCGGCTTTATTTCTGAGGAAAACCAACATTATTTTACAGAAACAGACGTACAGAGAGGTATGTTAAAGATTAGAGCCAAGAAAAACTCTTAAAAAAGACTTAACACATCTTAAATTGATATTAATCAAAAAATTAAATATTATACACACCTTTTCAAAACTGTATTAACACACACAGTTTGTATGCCAGTTTTGTTGCTTTGAAATTTTATACCAGCGATATACGTTCCATTTGATGAAGGAACGTTAATAGATTCTATAGGCATCTTAATGATTGGCGAATCTGTATGTAGGCATCAAGAATATTTTCAAAATGACTGGCAATGTTTCTGCTGATTTTGTTGTAGGTAGGCAGCAAAAGGTCTACAAGACATTCGAATACAAAATTTTAAATTTTTAAAGGTGACACAGACAAGTTATTATTTTCTCTATAATATTACAACTTATATATTTTAATAGCATTTCACACAAAAATTAATTAAAAATCTTATTTCATATAAAAGATATTAAAATTTCAAAGCTGATTTTTCTTTCACAAATTAATTTTATCTTTTAGGCCGTTTTGTATAAAGAAAAATATTAATACTATAATCCAGCAAATTGGTAGACATGTTCGAAAGCAAAACAAACACACAATATATTATTCAAGACATTGAAATACAAAATTATAATACAAATACAAATATTGCCTTTGATTTTTATAGCATTTGTGTGATTTTTTAATGATGTACCTTGTATATGGGTCTGCCTTCACAAGAAGGTTAATCCCACATTCTGTATTAACTTTGCAAGGTAGAACTTCTGGTATGGCTGTATCAACAAACTTTGGAGTAATATCGTGTCCCTGGGGTTTAAAAAAAAAGTTGTGCCCACATAAACATTTTTGACATTTTGCAAAGTTTTTAACGATGTATAAGCATTTTTAAAAAAGGACAAATTTAAGATTTTAAAGTTTCTGAGGGCAGTGAAGGTTTATTGATAGCATCAAGATTAGCAGGGAAAACAAACGTTTATCTTTCATTAACATTGAAATTATTGCAAAAGATGTTAAATACATACAGGTGGTGAATATTGAGTATGATTAGTTGGTATAATGCCTCCATCTAAAAAATAAAAAAGATTTATTTTCACCAAACCAAAAAAAACCAGTCTTGGTTAATATTTTAAGTATAAATTTATTAAAGAGACGAACCCAATGAACAGAATTTTCCTGTATGGCCACCGGGACAAATACAAGTAAAGTTCCCTTGCAGATCCCCGATGCAGTATCCCGAGTTTAGACAGGTGACATTTGTGCATGGTGATTCTACAACAGGTACACAATTTTTACTATAGTTAATTATTAAAACCGTTAAAAATTTCATTTCATCAACATCTAGAGAAAAATTTCATACCATATGTCTTTCTATTCACAGCGAACTTAAGGCAACGTGTTTCCCCAACAGTGCTAAAATCAAAATGAAAATGATAAATTAACATCTCAATTAAAAGGATTTGAAAAGAAACTATTGAAAAATCGAGAAAATAATTTACAATTTGAATTTTTATCATTTTATGGTAGTCATGAATCATCTATGCAAGTGACGTTCTTTAGTCAAAATGGTTATTATTTGAGAATAATGTTTACCTCTCATCTGCAATGCTTAAACATAAAGTCTCCGTTCTATTTCTCTTGGAGTACACTAACACGTCAGTTTGACAGGTACCATTTGAGTCAGGTGTAACTCCATTCATGATATGAGTAATTCCTGGTATTTCCTTACCAAACACATTGTTACTAGAAAAATAACACTTATTTAAAACAGAAATTTAAACCTTCAGCAATCAGTTATTTATATACTTCATTCATATTAATTTAGTTTATTTAAAAATTACTTTGATTCACGATTTGAATATTCTCGATGACAAACATATTCATCCGGCGTAAAGAAATGACAGTTGTACATAATGATTTCAAGAATCAATATTTACAAAATAGAATCACCATTATGCGACATTCAACAGCATTCACTGAATTAGCTAGCTAAAAATTTATTAGTATTCTAAGCTAAAACTACCTTAAAGTTTTTAAACCTCATGTAATTTTAATGGAATACACCTCCTTACCATTTTCCAGACTTTGCTTTATGTTTCAGGAGAAGATGACATTCTTTATTTGGATTGCAATGTAGCTCCGTGTTTGATGGAAGAGTATTTTCAAAATGAGGTTTATTCTGCAGACAAGAAAAAAAAGCAATCCAATCACATTCATTGTATCTAAATTTGAAAACTGTTTACCTACAGGAAAAGTTGGATATTTTTAAAATATCTCTACGCTACATACCATAACAATACTTCCTATGGTACCGTTGGAACCTGAATACACAATAAAAGATTGATGACATGCAACTGACATGATTTTGAAAAAGAAAACATAAAACTGTATATTAAAAAATGCTGAAATAACACACCTTTTTCCACGACCTTGATTGTAACACAATGCTCCGTCATTCTGCTCACTCTAAAGATGTTAAAAAAATCAAAAGATCATTAACATAATAAACATTGTAACGACAATGATGTTATATGATGATTTCCACATATTTCATTTAAATTGAATAGCCAATCTAATTATTCATGTTTGAGCTTTGTGAATTAGAAAAATCAAAGAAATTGAGCCATCGTACTTTGTAAACTGGAGACATGCAATGAAAGTTCCTTTTTCTTTCCCTAAGATATCTATATTCAACATTCGGACATCAGGTTTTAACTGCAAAGGTTTCAGTATGGTCGAGATTTTCATCGACAGTTCATTTGACACAAAACCAAAATGAATGTCCCTAAGAAGTTAAATAAAAAGAAGTAAAATCATAACGTGAGTAAAATACATCAATTATATGATATTATTATAGCACTTATAATGGTGAATCATTTTAATTACATTCTCGATTGGTATATTATTTTTGTTGCAAATGATGCGAATTTTGTTCAGTAATGCTTAATTGTCTTTTAAATTTTTCATGAAAATATTGTGGAATATAAAATAAAAAAAACGTTAAACTGTGTATACTCATTGAAAAATGTACAAATTCATGACAAAAGTTTGATATAATTTTAACTGTTAAGTATTCTTCACATTATATTTCAACTATAATTTTTTTTCTAAGGTAAGAAAATAACTGAAACAGTAATGCTTAAAATTCATTAAAATTTTGCTTTTAAAAAAAATGCATATCTCAAAAAAGGTGACAATTTTTTAATTTTCCTCAACCACCCCATTTTTATTCTTTATTAAACTAATGTAGCTTTTAAAAAAATTAATTTGTCTTTGTTTTGATAAGTGTTTGAAATGTTTTGTTACCTTGCAAGTAAGTTTCCATTGAGAGTAACAGGAAGACCACAAGTAACCAGCCGCTCACAAGTCAGAAGTGTTGGCACAGCAAATGTACCAAATAATGATGGTGAAATTACAGGTCTCTGACTCCCAGCTGTTTCATTTTATAAATTAAAGATAATTCAATGCCTTTATAAAGAACAAAAATGTGAACAATGATTATATTTCCTATTCCTTTAGATGTTAGTGACATTTGATATAGATAAAACTTACGTGATCCACAGTCTGTGCCAGAAGATGTTACTGGACATTCGCATGAAGAGACATTTTTCGAGGAATCACAAAAGCCTCCCTTTTCACACTTTTGTCCAATGCAAGTTGACGAAGCTGGGATATATATGTATATTTAAAAAAATATATATCAAACATTATTTATTTTAGAGTAATATTTATTCTTTTAAAAACACATTAATTTGATTTTATTGAATGTTTAGAATAACTATTATGAGCTAATATCACTGGTTCAAGTTCAAATTTCTAGCACAACTGGCATACCACCAATTAGTTCTTTTTTTTTAAATAAGCGATAAAATCTTACCAAAATAAGCTAACAAAGAAATTTATAAAAACGAGTTACCAGGAACTTTATACGTGACGTTGAAGCATCTCTTCTCTCCTGGAACACTGCAGTTAGAGAAATACCCGGGTATCATATATCTTCAAATATTTAATTAAAATGTTGGAATATGAATGTCTCACTCCTAAATATTAATCTGCAGTAAACAATAAGAAAGTGACAAAGATTCTGTTTATTTTATCATAAAGATTCATTAAGAAATAACCTTGGAAAAGAAACTTCGAAACAATACAGATCACTGCTGTAGTGGTTAGTTAGAGGTGTTATAGCGACGTCTGCAGTACAATTACCGATCACTCTGTTGTTTGTATTCGAATGGAAGATATGTGAGAAGTCCGCATTACCCAGTGTTCTTTTTACATCTGGACTAAAACAATTATGCAAAGTATCTAATTGCATCTCTTAACATTAAATACTATTTAATCAAAGTTCACAAAAACAAAAACCAAGTGATTTTAAATACTAGTATTCCTTCCTATCCAAAATATATTTATTTTGAGAGGAAAATATGAACACCAACCAGTTTTCATGAAGACCAGGTGAGATGTTGAGTATTAGATGACAAGTTTTAGCTGGAGGACAGATAACCTGGGTGTTGTTTGGTAATGTCGGTGAATGATAATGAGGCTGTAATAGTTATATATGGTTTTATCATAACAAATGATGGCTTTAGAGTTTCAGTATATTTTAAACTGTTTACAGCAAAAAACTTAAAACAGTTATTTTTTTCAGCAACAATTTGTTTTATATTTCACCTACCAGGTTTTTATTCACTGTATTCTTTGTTTCTAAAAGACAAAAACAGAGAAATATTTATTTTTTAAAAAGCATTTCTTTGAATGAGTATGCATAAAAAAAACCACACCTACCCTAAATACCCGGTACTCGTATTAAGAAAATATTGATAATTAGATTTATTATAATAATTTATTTTATTTTCTCAGACATATTTCTTTCCAATGCAATTTGCCTTGATGCTTTCTTAATTAATTATATATTTGTCCATATGTTGATTGTTAACGTTAAATATTCTTTGGTTAGGCAAAAAATTCTGCCTTTAGATAACAATAAATCTCTTTGAAGTTATAAACACAACCATATTACTAAAATGTTTTTCTGCTAGAATAGTATCATTTTAGTATTGATGAATATTACGAAAGACTCAAAACGAAGGTTTTAGTATATCTGATAAATATTTTGGAATAATTCAGAAAAAAATGTCTACAAAGAATCATACCATTATGTGGAACGTATACGTCCACACAGCGCTCGTCTGTTGTCAGTCTGAAATATAAAGATTCACAATAGGACATTAGGAAATGTAGATGTAAAGTATCACATAATAATCCAAGATTGGCTAAACAGAGGCATATTAATTACATGTTATCCATTGACGTTTGAATGCAGACTTTATGAGATCCAATTATATCTGGAATTACAGTCACATGACCAATGAAGGTATGCAATGACGTATGCTGATCTTTTTGGAGGACAGGCATGGTTATTGTTAATGCCTCATCATAGTGACCAAGTTTAGCAATTGGTCTGAAATAGTAAAAAAGATAAGAAATATTACTGAAATATTCAAGTGAAGTGTCATCTTATTATTCTAATTTTCAATATTAGCACCTTGTAGTACTATTTGTTGTCACAGAGAATGGTATATCACAATGTTCTTTCAAATGACAGATAATTTTCTCCGGGAGAGCCATGTCAGTCATCATCTAGAATATACAAAACAGAAAATGTGAAACAGAAAGCATATTAACTAATATCTTTATATATTTAAATCTTTATTGGTCAATATTAACTCAAAATGTACAGTTCCAATTAAATTTATTTATGTAAGCATTAAAATTGCTGGATCCGATAATTATGGTAAAAAATTATATTATGAATATATGTGAAATTAATCCTCCGAACTATTTCCTTATAGTCTCTAACTGGCAATAGCCATAAAAAAATGTGAAAAAAAAACAGAAAACTTTAGGAGATTGAATTTACAATTCACAACATGATACAAATAACCTCAAACGTTATTTTCACGTGCTTTTGATTTTAATGTCTCTTTTTTTCTTCAGGAAGTCATGTTCTCATGCATTTGAATATTTATAGTGTGTTCATTTTGACAAACTCTTGTAGATATTGTAGTTATTAAACCTAGATTAAAAGTCACATGATTTCATATTTATTTATTCTAAGTACATACTTTATTGTGGAAGAAATATATGCATTCAAATTAGGAGTGGGTTACAAAACATTTATATATTTCATAGTTAAAACCTTAGATGTGACTTAAATGATATAAATGCAAGGGTTAAAATGATTTATTTTTTAAAAGCCTTTGATGTCATGAGGGTAAAGACACCTGAATAGTATACGTACAGCTCTCTGATTGTTCGAAATTAAAGATGTTCCTCTTGCTGCAAGGAAAAGTACATGAATATTTTTTTTTAATTCGACACTGTCACTTTGACTAATTCAAGACAATTGAAACAATTGTCTAAAAGGATTCTTCAACTTACTGATATCACAGTGTCGGCCAGAAAACCCCAGAACGCATCTGCATTCCCCGCTTACGGTGTTACTATCACAGAAACCGCCATTCAAACATTTCACGTTGCTGCATGAACTTTTTACTGCAAATAATTTACTGTAAAATCACTCATTTTTATGGGGTTAGTTTTCAACGTTTGATTAAAAAATTGTTGGTGTAGAGAGAGAGAGAGAAAGAGAGAGAGAGAATTATTTGTTCCTACACACCAGATAAGGTTTGGACAATATTTAGGTTATAGCATCGAGTTTCTCCAGTTTTTCTAAAAAGGGAATCAAAGGAATTATTTTATTTCTCCCATATGATTAAAAAAAATCACCATCCTATGTCCGGAGAGGGCAAACAAAAATTATTTTATGTCTGAGAAACTTGATTTAGATAAAATCTAAATTCATTTTCAAGTAAACTTCAAAATAATTTTCCTAGGTTATTCAAATTTTGCATAATTACTAATTAGTATATCAAACAAATAAAGTTTTGTGTTATATATACCTGTTAGAATTGATATAATCGATTCCCAAAGCTTGGAAACATAAGTTCGTAGTCCCAACATTCGGAATGTTAATTGTAACATCATTCAAACAAGGAGAGGTTTTATCTCTCTGTTGAAAAATATAGACACCATCTTCTGGACTTTTATCTGGCTTTACAAATGGACTGAAAAAAAAAATAGTTTCCTTGCTAACTTTAATAACTTTGAAAAGCTTTAAAATATACATTTATTGAATAATGGATGTCATCTTTTTGTTCATCAGACAACTTTTTATTATTAATCTATTTGACTTATATAATTTATGTTTTATCATATCTTTATTTAAAGTTACTGGTTACCAAGAATTGACATAGAACATAACCCAAAAAATATTTAATTGTTTTTTTTCTTTTCATCTTTTCATAATATTGAGCAAGTATGATAGCATGCTTAGAAAGAGGTGAACAAATTTATTATTTTTTTTAAATAAAGAAGACTTGAAATAGTAAAATGTCTTTTTTCTACAGAATAGATGTATTACCAAGTATTGTTTCCAAATACATTTGATGTCCACAGAGTAAGATGACAAGGTCTCCCAACCTTACATTGCATTTCTGTTCCGTCCGGAAGAGTCGGTGGTATAAAATGAGCAAACATCTAACTCACAAAAGATAAAATTTATTAATAATGTATATTCAAGTTTAGACCATTCTGAGGATATAAAATCTAGATTTTTATGCTTTGACATTTTGTATTTCTTTTTTATTAAGGAAAATTGGATGATATTTAAACTTAGAAAGGCGCTTCTTTATAAATTCAAAATAACAAAAATCTTAAATCTTACCTTATTTTTATGATCAAATCCTATTAAAAATTACAGATTTATTTAGTTGACTTCTGATTTTAAAATCTAAGGTCTGTTAATGCGCTCTTAATTCCAGTTATTTTTTCTAAGGATTTCTAACATTTTTTTAAATTATCGAATTACCTTGGGTAACTGTAACATTAAAACAAATCTCATCTGACGTTAGTCTGAAAATGAGAAAAAAATAATATTTATTCTAAGATTTTTTAAAATTCTATAAAAAATAAATGTTATGGTTTGATGGGGAATCAAAAAATATCAAAGTTGAAAGTTCAAAGATTTTTTTTACCTCTTTTCATTGTAAATCTGGATGCAGACTTTCTTCTGTCCAGTATGTTCAGCCTTGATAATCGTTGTTGTGTGGTAGGTGTGAGAATTATTACGAAATTTTGTAACCTTGATTTCATCTATTGTTACATCAGGGGATAAATATCCAGGCCTTAATGTGGGTCTAAAATAAAAAAGGACATTTCTCTTATCTTTTTTCTGCGGGTCATTCGATAAAGTATTATGTTTATATCCTAAAAACAACAATTTTTTTTATTGTTACGACTTACTTCTGATTCAAGTCTCCTGTTATAATATGTGGAATAAGGCAGGGCTTAGAGACAAAGCAGGTTACGTTTGTTGCATAAACAGAATCTGTAAATTTGCCCTGAAAATAAAATTAATCCTTATCATAATTACCTTTTCTTATAATTGGGAATGAAGAAAGCTGTAGATTCAAAGGAAAATATCAAGCACTATATATTTTTATATAACCTGGCTGCATTCATTTTGAGAAGCTTTGAACATTATTGATACAATATTTAATTTAGTGACAAACACATAAAACACATACCCCATTATGTTGTGGATCAGTGACATTTTCAGATGATTCTAAATTAAAATAAACATTTTTTAATATTCTTCAAATCATTCAAAGCCTCCATAGATGTAAGTTAATGAATAAACAACGCCTTTCTGGATCTTATAATTTTATGAATAAACTAAGTAGCCAAATGTGATTAATTAATTCCTTTCTATACAAAAAATCAAACACAATTAAAACATAGATTTTATTATTAAAAATGTCCATTCTGATTTTATTGGAACTAAAGTACACAGTATTTGTCATATAAAATTTATTAAATGTTTTATTCTTGCAGAAATACTGTTGGGTATACTCACATAAAATTTTCCAAAATTTCAAAGTAGTGCTTAACTAAAAAGATTAATTTTCAAGTCTGGCAAAATCACAAGAGTGTGCTTTAGATTTATAGCAATTTATTTCTAGAAGAGAATTATAGGATTTTTCTTCCAAATGGAAATATATATAACATCTTTTAAGCACCTGAATTAACATATCATTTTTGAAAAAAAAAATTTGCTTTTGCTTCTTTGTGTGAGCAAATGGAACAATAGATCATTTTTCAGAAGAATAGGTTTGTCATTTTGAAATTTTTCACAGATTTGATAATTTTTGCATAATATTTGAAGGGATGTTTTAATCTCTGTGCTTATTAATGTTACAAATATGCGTCATCCCTAATTCTGAACAGACATCATCTTTTTAAATACCTGCCCTCACTTTATTGATTCAACAAAAGACATTTAAAACCTAATCAGTAACAAGAATGAATTCTGTAAACATGTAATATCACAAATTGTAAATATCGAATTTCTTTTCGAAAATGAAAGAAAAATGTGGAACTTTCTTAACACCCTTTATATTCACAAGCTCAGATGACAAAATAAAAATGATGATAATGTGAACATTTTTTTAAAAGTCCTACAAATGCAACTGTATCCTGTTTTGCAAAAACAGAACTTTTCAGTTCCTGTGGCGTAGCAATAAGCTTCATTTTTACACTGAGAATCAGATTGTGAACATGGTCCTGCAAATAAGGTAAGAATTTTGTTTTATTCTTATAAGAATAATAAGAAACTGAACATGCCTCACGTAAAAAACAAAGATAATGCCGTTTTTTTCCTAATGTAGGTGGACATTTTTTTTTTTGAATAGGCTAAACATTGAACTCAATTACGTATTTTAAAATCATACATGAAAAAAGAATAATTTACAGTTGAAAATTCTTATCGGTTACCTAACTTATCTAAATATATGACTCATCATTAAAAGAATTATAACAGGTATGTTGTTATATACTTGATGATGTTCCATTCATTTCATTTTTATATAAAAACAGACAAATTATTCCTTGTTTCTTGCATTGGTAATTTGTAAAGAAAGCATTTTAAAAAATATATCTCTATGGATAATAAACTGAGCGAAAAGCAATTCGTTACATTTATATAAGATTTGAAATAAAGTGTAAATTCTGATTATGTATTTACCCTTCTCACACTTTGCACCTGTATAGTTAGCAGTGCAGATGCAAGAATAGGCTGCACCAGTCCTTTGAATACACAAACCTCCATTGAGACAAGGATTTGAATCACAAGCGTCTGAAAGAAGGTCAATGTAAATCATGGTATTAAAACAATTTTAAAGTGGAAAAAATTTTGCTAAAGAACTTTTTTTTTAATTTTGATGCAGATAAAGATCGTCACTATGTTGTTTTTTTTTAAATTGGTATGCAAAATATTGTTATCAAAGATTTTCTTTAATATTAGCAATAGCAGACTTTTCTTATTGAATCCATTCTTGGAATTAATAAAGAAAAAATAGCATATACCTGTCATATTTTTTACAATGTGTATGAAATAGCATCTTGATTCACCATTTTTCCTGAAAGTAGAAAGATTATTAATAATTGTAATATCCTTCTATTTGTTTTCCGGGTATAATTGGTACTTAATTGCAGTATTATAAAATGCACAATAAGCATAATACAATAACCGAGGTTTCCCTACCAAGATTTAAGACAGACTTGATGTGTTCCTTCCAGTTTGTTATCTGTGAAGACAACATCGGTCAGGCATTTGTCAGCTAAAGGTTTGGTTGAAAAGGTCTTTGCTCCAAGTGAATTTGTCACAAGAACTTGTTCACTGATGATTATAAAATGTTTTGTGACACTATACTAATGTTTTTACAAAAAATTTGAATATTTTTTTCAAAACTATTACTTCAATGTGTGTTACCATTTTGTTACTGCTGAATCACTGATCTTTGTATAGACAATCGCGTGACAGTACGTTCCAGCTAAACAAGTAAATGTCGTGTTTCTTTCTGGGGTTGGCGAAACGAATACCCATGGCTAAACAAGTACATATTAAAGTACAAGTTTTAAGAATTGTGTTAAATCCCCTTTAAACATATCAAGAAAGAATATTTTAAATTTGTTATTGAAGCTAATGTTCATGTTAGCATTTGAAAACAGTTTAAATATGTGTAAATTTGTAGCCAGTTGTGTTTGTAATAATTTGCAAATTTTCATCGATTATAAAATTAGCTACCATACATAGTGTTAAATTATTTATTTTCATCTATTATTTCACGTAACTTACGTTTAATCCTTTATTTTTAGAAATATCTACAAAATACATATAAATGTGTCCAGTTATTTATTTTTATCTAAGAAGATTTGATAAAACTGGAATATAAAAAGTACTAGTATTATTTCACTTTTGAAAAATAAATTTCTTCTTATTCATAAAGATATCTGTATTATAAGCCTTAATAAGAATACTTACGCAAAGCTTCAAAGTCCACAGAAAAGCAGCGATGAGTTGCTTTTGAAGTTATGCTTAAAAAAAACAGAGCGAAAAAAACAACAGTTTTACTACATTTTAAACTAATGTTTCTTAAAACTTCTTAATAATGAGAGAAAAATACCTTGCATGCAAACAAAATTCATATTTCATGCCACTTTTATAAGCAACTTCCTTTGTACGTGATAACTCCACTGGAACCATGTACACGTTTTGGAATCCAGGTAGGGTAGCATTTTCAGCCTTCTTTGGAATGACATGAATTTCGTCATTTTGAACAACACTTTGTACAAGAGGTGGGGCACTATCAAGTAATAAATAAAGAAATAAAATGAATTCATTAATTAAGGTGAGGGAGACGTTTATTTGGAGAGAGAGAGAGAGAGAGAGAACTACCTGGCTTGCACATAAACTGAAAATTCGCATGGTTTTGATGACTGATCAAGTTTAATGTTGCAAGATAAAATACTTCCTTTCTCGGCGGTTGGGGGAACGAATTTTAGCTGAAAGCAGAAATACATCGGACAAGTACCAATCATGTATGTGTATATCACTTTATTGAAAATAAATTGGTCACAAGTGTTCTCTAAATGCAACTCTAGTTTTTGAAATTAGATATTATGAAAACTGTCATTTTACCACTTTTTCAGTTGTGACATTTTGGCACGTCTCTCCAAAAAACCCTACGGGACAAATACATCGTTTTTGGACCCCTGATTCCATCAAACATATTCCATTATTGAGACAGGGATTCGAGGAACACCCTATAGATATAAAAGTCAAGCTGCAATAGTTGACATTTAAAAAAAATCGCCATTCCAATTAGATTTATCACGAAATAAGTGATAGTTACCATTACAGGGAGAGTTGGTTCCACATGGCAGTGAAGCTGAAAAATGTGTTTAAAACACGTTAATGATGTATCTTTATTAAAGAAAAATTAAAACATTTCGTGGCTTTAATGATGTGATCAATCAGTGAAAATTTAAATTAACATGCAAGCAAATTAATTAATCATCATCAAAGAATAAAAGAAGAATGGCTTTTCCTTATTTATATTTTTCTCTTTTTCTTTTTATTTATGTAATAATTTTTTTTATTCAATAATAAGATATTGCAGCCTCCCTGTCTAGTAGTGTATAACTCAACAAAAGTCAATAAAACACGCACTTTCTGACATGTATATCACTTTACAAATTGTAAAACTACTACCTTACTTGTAGTTTAATACCGGATAAAGCCATTTGAAAATTTAAATATTACCATTATATTACATTTTTCATAATATGCAAAATATTCATTTTCAATACATGTAACTTGAAATGTTCCAGTTTTTAAACTTGTTTAACTTTATTCCATTTACTTATGTGAACTTTCTTTTCTCCGCAAGAACTCTTGTGTAACATTTAAGGATCAAAGTAAACAAATAATCTATAAGATAATCTAACCAAATGGTAATTAAAAAACACTCCTGTGACATATTTGACAGGTTTTGAAGAATATCTAACTTGTGCAATTTGGCCCTGTGTACCCCTCTGTACAGTTACAACTTCCGGTGTCACTGTCAACACAAATCCCGTGATCACCACAGGGATTCGGGTCACATTGGTCAATCTCTGGAAAAAAAAACAAACAATACAAAACGGGAATATAAAATCAAAATTATGTAACGAATGTTTGTAATGTTCAATGAGGAAAGATACGTATGTCTCGTTATCTCTTATTTCCTTTTAAAGCTTACATTTTTTTAAGCAATAAACGGTTAAAAAGAACAGCTAAGTGCAAGATGTGCATATGTGTCTTAATATTTTTAATCTGTCATCAAAATAATATTATACAATTATTGCTGGTTTTTTAAGTCAATACAATGATTTAGCCATCTGAGGAGTACAATATTCACCGAGCCCGAAGGGCGAGGTGAATATTGTACTTCGAAGATGGTTAAATCATTGTATTGACCGAAAAAACCAGCAATAATTGTTTTATTATATGATTCACTGGTAAAATGATACAGCTCATTACTTGTTAACTTGCATTTAATTAAGTCCTAGCCAAATACAAGAGAGAAACAGAATTAAAATGTGAATAAACCTTACCAGTCATATCAATTTGAAATGTTTTTTTTTATCAATTTTAGTTGCCATGAAAAAAATAATATAATGTCAGTCTTTTCATAGGATATATTTTGAATGGAAGGAGTATTATCAGGGAAAACTGACTGCCAAAAAGTAAAAAAAAAACCAACAACATGTTGTTCAGTTAAAGTGTTGGAGGGGGCCCCCTGCATCCTCTCTTACCACCCTCACCCTAAAATATATATTTGCTTATGTTTTTTTTCACATGAAAAAAAAATCACAGTCGTTTAAATAGCTTTCCAAAACAATTTGTATCAATTTGGAATTTCCCAATCTATTTTTAGATCAATGTAGAGGAAATAAATCCTTGTATTGACCTGGAACGTCACGTGCAGGTCAATACAACGTAGTATTTTTCTAACATAGTTGGATCTCAGCCAATCAGAGAGATGGAAATTATTCAATCATATAATAAAACTTACTATTTTCACAGTAAAAACCAGAGTAACGTTTGTCTGGACAGAAACAAACGCAACTGCCGGGACCCGTTTTAAAAGCCATGCCTTTGTTGTGACAAGTACAAGATAGGGGTGGAGCTAAAACAAAAAATAATATACATGGTTTAAACTAAAGGTGCAATCTTCTTTTTAAATGAAAAAAATTATTTTTTACTCAGCAGAACTTTAAATTGTACGGCGCCGCTGGAGGGCCAGGTAAAAAAAAATTTTTATTTGTTCGGACAAATTAGAAATTCGTTCGGACGAATTAGTTATTTGTTCGGACAAATTAGATATTCGTTCGGACGAATTAGTTATTTGTTCGGATGAAGTAGATATTCGTTCGGACAAATAAGTTATTTGTTCGGACAAATTAGATATTTGTTCGGACAAATTAGAAATTCGTTCGGACGAATTACTTGTTTGTTCGGACGAATAAAAATATTCGTTCGGACGAATTAGTTATTTGTACGGACGAATTAGATATTCGTTCGGACAAATTAGAAATTCGTTCGGACGAATTAGATATTCGTTCGGACAAATAAGTTATTTGTTCGGACAAATTAGAAATTCGTTCGGACAATAATTTATTTGTACGGACGAATTAGAAATTCGTTCGGACGAATTAGTTATTTGTTCGGACGAATTAAATATTCGTTCGGACGAATTAGTTATTTGTTCGGACGAATTAGATATTCGTTCGGACAAAAAAAACGTTCGGACGAATTAGTTATTTGTTCGGACGAATTAGATATTCGTTCGGACAAATTAGAAATTCGTTCGGACGAATTAGTTATTTGTTCGGACAAATTAGAGAAATTGTGAACAACTATCAGGAAACCGCGAATGTGCGGTTTGCACCAAGACGTTTCATTTTATTTTGATTCTTTTCAAAATAACTTTAATGAACAACATTATCAATAAATATTTTGAAGATAAGTTAATGTTGATCTCTTTCTTATGATTTTTATGTACATATTCACTACCGTGCTGTTATTAATCATGACAAGTGACTGATTTTTGAAATACATTTCTGATACATATGTAGCCGATTTGTAGCTGAAATATTGCCGATTCGGCGTAAAACATTCAATCAATTAATCTGGTACATATGCGGTGTATAAAATGATTAAAAGGTCCTCATTGAGTTTTTAATTAAATATTCCTGTTTGTGAATTTAGAAAACTTCACAAAAATGAACCTGTCCGTATTGATCCCAGGTTGTTCATATGACTCGCGAGCCGGTGAATTACGAGGTCAACCGATCAATCTGGTATATTCCCTAGTCCATTGATTTTCAGAGCATAATTATAGCCCCCTCCCGTTATTGGAGAGGTACATGTAGTCGTTTCTTAATTTTGTTTATACGCTTTTACAGTTGAGTACCAGTTCGAAGGTTTGATAGGCCAATGACTCACATAGAAAGGGAAATTATGAAAGCAACCCCTTTTACGGGAAAATAAATCATGAATGAATGTCAAAATATTTTCAAGTAACAACCCCCCCCCCCCCCACTCCTCTATTTAAAAAATGATCGATTGTCTTAATCATTGAGAACCTTAACTTGCATTAAATTATGATGTGTTTTTAAATTTTACTGCACTTTCTAGGAACGTACATGTATTCATCTATTTTTTATCCTTTTCCCGGAAAGGGGCGTGTGTTTAATTTGGTCAATATTATACCTGTATGTTTTAATTCATGCGCTTTTCTGATATTTAAATATAAAATAAAATTTATATAGATACTTAATAATAGTTTTTAACGATCTTAGAAAGAATCCATTGGAGATGGACTTATGAGATTCCCGCTTTTTGTTCCTTTATCACAAAATACTTAAATGTGGGAACAGCGGTATAGAAGCAAATCTACAAATGTCCTAGCTAGTAAGCCCCACCTTAAAAAAAATTAAGACCCTTGAATAAGAGGCTCGATATTTTAATACAATGCAGCCACGTAGCATCGTTTTTGAAAGTGGGGGAGCCTGAGAAAAAAATAGTTATCTGAAAAGTTGACAAGCAAAAAAAAGGGGGTGACTCAGGAAAAGTTTGCCCAATGTTGACAGTCCTATTTCGAGGGGGGGGGGGGGGGGGGGGGGGGGGGTTTTTTTCAATGCCAATTTTTTCCCGTACCAATTGCCTGCAGTAGGAGTAAAACCTTAAGGAGTGGATCTCATCTTTTCAAAGAAGCGGTAACTGACCACTGGCACCCCAGTGCTAGTCAGGGATGGGAGTAAAAAGATGTTTGATAAGAAGTAACTGACCCTTTGAATTTACTAGTGGGCTCTCAGAAAATATACTTTCAGAATGGCAGACTTTAGGCCAATAATATATACCGGTATAGATCCATTATTTCCGAATATTTACAATCAACATACCCGACTTTAATATCACGTCTAGTTGCTACGTGTGTATGTCATGGTCCAAAGAGCTATTTATGTATTAAAAAAGGATGAATCCTCCTGAATAGACAAATTGTATATCTCTCTTTACAGGATAATTTGTGCAAACATCTAATTTGCCCGAACAAATATCTAATTCGTCCGAACAAATAACTAATTTGTCCGAACGAATATCTAATTCGTCCGAACAAATAACTAATTCGTCCGAACGAATTTCTAATTTGTCCGAACGAATATCTAATTCGTCCGAACAAATAACTAATTCGTCCGAACGAATATCTAATTCGTCCGAACAAATAACTAATTCGTCCGAACGAATTTCTAATTTGTCCGAACGAATATCTAATTCGTCCGAACAAATAACTAATTTGTCCGAACGAATATCTAATTTGTCCGAACAAATAACTTATTCGTCCGAACGAATTTCTAATTCGTCCGAACGAATTTCTAATTTGTCCGAACGAATATCTAATTCGTCCGAACAAATAACTAATTCGTCCGAACGAATTTCTAATTTGTCCGAACAAATAAAAATATTTTTTTTACCTCGCCCTTCAACGGCGCCGTAAAATTGAAATGCTAATTTTGAAAAAAAAAAAAAATGAGCTCACGTATTTCGCATGTTTTCCCTGAAAAATTATTAACACACTGACAGTAAAAGTTTTCACGGTCCGCTGAAGGAATGCACTGTCCAGAGTTTTTACAGGGAGTAGCTGCACAGGGATCTGTAATGACAAATGTTGGAGTCAAACACTACAAGGAAAAATTTATTGTAAGTTTTGGTTTTCTTTTCATTTCCATTCTCAAAATTGAGAAAACTGAATGATTCGTGAAAGGTCAGTAAACACAGTTTGAAATGTAATCAGCAAATATTGGTTTAAAGAAGGAAAATTGAATTCCTTTTGTTTCAACAAAAATTGACTCTATATAGTGTTGAGGGCGACAAATAAATCAACGTTCTACAAACTCTTCAACTTTTAAAATAACCTGAAGCAAAAATCAGATTAAAGAAAGGACGACTATATGTCTGAATACATCTTTAATCTTCAAGAATAATACCAATCATCTTTAGTTAATGTTCGTGAGAACCAGACTCAATTTCTGCTCTAGTTTTGTGGTTCTAATTTTTTGATTGTCTAACCTTTCTTCAGGACATTGGCCACAAGACATTTTACAACAGTTGAATTTCTGTAACAAAGAAAACAATGTATTTTTAGACATATTAAAAAAAATTGTTCTTACTTTTGTTTCTAAATCTTTGAGTAACATTTACTGAAAAACAAAAATATAATAAATAGTATCATGTCATTGACCCCTCCTTTGGACAGCAATTGGAAAAAAGACAACAAAAGTAATTATATTTAACAATAATCAAATAATAATCAAATAAATACATATTCCCAATGCAATAGCAAATGTTTTGTTACTAACACATCTGCAGCTTCAAAACATATTCTCCGTTGCCCACCCAACGGTTCCTTTAGCTGAACTTGGATCACCATTGCCCCTGGTCCGTACGAGTTGTTAGCATGCCTCAGTGTGCCAACTATAACAGCAGACGAGGCCTCCGTAGACATTATGGTGATGTTGGTGATTCCTCTGTGCAAAAGAAATTTTCATTTTTAAAAATGCAGTGAAAATGCTTGTTATCTGCCGTAGACAAAAGTTGAAATAAAGCAATCAGAATTCTGATCGCTTTTTTTTTAATCTCAACTTTTCAGAACATTGGAAACATAATTTTTCTTTAAAAAGTCTTGGTCGATTTCTGACGAAATGAAATACAATATAAGGGTCATAATGCCATTTAATATAGTTAAAGAATGTGTTTGGACGTGGAACGGGTCAAAATTAGCACATTCAGAAAACATGTTGCAATCGTTCAGTTTTTAGTGTTTTTGAAAATTTCTCAATAGATTAGATATAGATTTAGCGTTCTATCAAATACTTTATAAGAACTGTAATCAAGACATATTGTAAATATTCATAAGGAATAAGGAACGGAGATATAAAAATGTTTCGAAGTAGAGAAATTCAAGGATGAAAAGTCGATATTTTCTTGTGAAAGTTGTTTATTAAATATGGTTACATATACTGTAAAATACACTTTTAAAACCTTATCTTATTAAAACCCCTTACCCAGTAGACGTCGAGGCAGCATACACAGGGAACTTGCAGTAGGAATTTTCAGGGAAAACAATATCTCCCGGCTCTGGAAAGTGAACAAAGTAGGGCAGGTCCTGCAAATAGTTGTTCTTTTATAGACCTATAACTTTTTCGTTAAAACAATACCAGCTACTTCCTTCACTTAGAACAACAAATAATGAAAACACAAAAAATGAGGGATGAATAATGAATAACATTAGTTTATATAAATTTTCTACTCAAAATAATTATTTTTTGTAATAATACATTTTTTTACGAATGTTTTTTTTTTCTTCTCACTCCAATAGTATACTATTAAAAGAGTAAAAATAACATTCAAAATCATGACATTTACAGTGTACATAACAAACTTGCCTTGAATGTTTTTCCTGGATTAGGCGTGTATGCTGAAAATAAAGGGAAAGAATAAAGGAAATGATCTATTCTCCCATTCATCAATGCAGCGAGTATGATGAAGGATCTCTATATGAGATTTGCACTATTTCAAATCACTTATTTTTTTTTTCTTTATTGAAACATGTATTGTGTTGAGGTATCTTCATTGAGGAAGGATTTTAATGGGATACTTACGCTTGATAACGATAGAATAACACTGAAGATCCACTGTTTCAAATCTGAAAAATTGAATTTTGGCTGAGAGCATGATTCCTGTACGTTATATTCTTATTTCGTTAGGAATATTTTGAAAATCGGCAATCGACATGAATATTGAAAAAAAAAATTAAAAATAGATTTAAAATTCAAAATGTCAATTTATATTTTAATATTTTCCAAACGCACACTAACCCCATATTATCCTCTACTCTTGCACACAGAATATCTTTTCCTAGGTCGGCCTCTGTTGGGATCCATGACACCGTTATTTTCGCTACCCGGTCGTTAAGGTGGCTGATGCTGGTTTGATTTGTGTCTCGGCCGCCTGTTCTTGTTACTTCAAATCTTTCAATTTTCCTGCGAAGAAAAATGACATTAGATTAATGCTGCTTTAAAGTGGATAAATAAAACCATGTAACATCAATTTATTTGTCAGTACCATTGAAATACCAAATTTCTTGCCTTTTAATGTTCCTTTTATCATAATAAATGATTAACATGTCTTAAGTGTTTTTGCATTTTTTTTTCTATTAACTGGAATTTTTCCAATTGATTTGAATAATTTCTTTTTGCAAATCTTATTTACAAAGATAATGCGAAACAAAAACATTACCTAGTAGGATCTGGCGAGGTTGGTCGTGCATAGTACTCGACTTTAAATTCTACTCCCACGTAGATTATAAATGTCTGTCTGTTTGGTGGTGTCGGGTCAACGAAGATTGGCTCGTCAGCATGTTCCACAATAAATACGAAAAACTGTTAACAATTAATCATAAAATACATTTAGTGTCCAATTAACATTGCTAAATTTTACCCCGTATAACCAGGAATTTCTCATCTGGCTTCACTTTAATCAATCGCCAGAAACCACACCCCAAACTTTTGGTTTTCTTATACTTTGACACAAATGACATGTTTTATGTATTCTTCTTTCCCCAAACTATTACCAGCAGATAGATTAAAAAGAAAAACGAATGAATACATAGTTTTAGAGATATATCTAAAGCAGAAAATGAATTTTGAGTAAAAATTTAAAGATAATTGTAATTGTATCGTCAATTTAATTGTACAATGTGTCTTTTTAGAATTATTTTTGTGTTTTAAGCGTGTCTTTATCTTTATTTATGTCATATAAACATGCTTTAGTATTACCTGTACGGACACAGCACTTAATACGTTTGTATAGGGTATTTTAATGTCTTTGTCCCCTTTCAGTGTCAGTAAGTCAGCCGGGTAGTCTTGTACTGTTACTGCAATAACTCCTGTAGAATTCTCCACAAAATAATTTATGTCAGTGGTGTCGATGGTGATCACGCAGTTTTCCTGAAATTTATAACAATTTTTCAGATTGTTCAGCATTTTTTTGACAAAACATTTCACCCTGTCTTTAAAAATTTCAAAGGATTGCATCCATTTCTGATAGAAATACGATGCGAAATGTAATCTACTGGTACATGTATATTTTTCCACATGTTGTTTTGCGTAATTACATTTTGTGACAAAAATACTACATTGTATTATCTTATTAATAATATCTGTAAAAAGAGAAATACATGTTTTTAAAACATGTACAACTTTTTTTAAATATGGGAGATGACTTCTTTCTATTCTTCCTCTTCAACATCTAAACATTGAACAAATGTCTTAACATTTGGGTTAACACTCAAAGAACTTAGCCCGTGATATTTTTACCTCTGTAATATATTTCTTAGCGTAAGCTTAATAAACTCCAAGTAAGATGGTCATGAATAATTAAAAGTCATTTATAAGAATAGAGTTTTTTTTAAATCTTTTCATTTTGATTGCTTAAAATGATGCTATTCTGTGAAAATAATCAGTTAAGAGTAGCATTGACCAATATGTTTCTGTCATACAATGCAAAAATTTCATTTTATTTTTCTCTTTATAATTTGGAACTTTACAACCTTGTCAACACTGGCATGGGGGAATTTATGCCTGAACGATGTAATTGTCGCCCCTGCCTCCACGTACTGGGCAAAACGACAGAAGATGGCGTCGTCATCCTCGTCAATGGCAGTGAGGTGGATGTTGTAGGTTCTGTTCATTCCAAGTCTATGAATAACGAATAATGATGTACAAGTACAAAAAAACTTTTTTTTCTAAATATAAATTATAATAACATATGCAAGCAGTTTTTAATCATTTTGCACTATAGATAAAAAATTTGATTTCATACATTCAAATTAATTAATCAAAACTCGTTTCTATCGGAATACGCAGAACATATTCCTTCTTATTTTGGTATTTTGCCAATTTTGCAGCATTTAATAAAGGTCTATTTGTTCATCACTGACATAACGGTCAGCTGTTTTTTTATCAATAGTAATTTCAAACTTTTAAGGGACATAGACAAAGATTTGAAGTAAATTAAATATTTTTCTCTTTTTGTATAATATCATGACATATGTTACAATAACATTTCACAGGAAAATTTAATACATTTAATTTATCTGAAAATTATTGAAACTACGAATTTCAGAACGCGTTTTTTTCTTCGCATTCCTGCACTTTCTAAAAGTAACCTTTATCCTCAATACTAAAAAAAGTAGAAAATTTGTTATGTATTAAAGAGGAAAACCTGTAATCCAGAAAATTCAATTCAACAAAGTGTTCTCTTGTATTTTCACTGAATACAATAAAACAGTCCGAACCCCCAACCCTGAGGTCATGACATCAATAATTTTGGAAGAAGTACCCTAGCTCATCGTAACTATATTGCTTGCTTGATGCTTAATGCCTAGTAGTAGAGAAAATCCTCAAAGAAATCATACACTGTACTTAGTTAGATATTCTGACTTTCGATGAAAAATGCAATCCAGGTATTAAGAAGATTATATGTTTAATGAGAGCACTATATTTTTAATTAATCTATAGAAAACAACTTGTGAAACGTAAACATTAAAAATGACAGAACACGGACTGAAAATACTGGTGAATTGGTTTTGCTTTCTTTACTCTTCTACTCTAATTTTTCACAATTATACGCCATTGCATGATGGTGTTGATATAGCAAAAATTACACAAGTCTATGTAGAACAAGTTATGAAGCACCATTGGCCAGGCAGTTTAGAAAGCAGGTGCGATTCTCAGAAGAATGTGTTTAGCTGTTTGCAGTCTTTAACTTTGATATATAATATATAGATGTAAATCAGAAAATGAGTTGAATTTATCTACTCTAATTAAAATATCTGACAAAAGGACGGGCGGAGAAGGGGAATTGGAGGAAATCATTTGCTGGCAATTGGCGCACTTATATTATTTTTGGGGTGGGGGGTTCAACTAACAACATTTAAACAACCATTGAATATTTATAAAACGTACTTGAAGAATGGCTTCATTTGAACGATGGGGCTTCTGTTGGGCCGCTTAGTGTCACCACGACTGCGTGAGTTAACCTTGACCTGCATGTGCCACGGTGGTTTATTCAACTTGTTCAAGTTCAATTCAAGCCATGAATGTCCTTCAAATCTGAAAAACATTTTATTTTATTCGTATCATTTCGTACCATTTTGTATTTAATTTTGCGTATATAGAGTAAACATTTATTTGAAATTTTCTTGTAAAATATAATATTTGAGATTGAAGATAAAGGCTAGTGAATGTGGCACAGAATGTGGCAAACAATATTTTATTACATAACGTCAACGTATTGTATTTCTTCAGGAATGGGAACAAAAATCTCCGCTGTGTCTAACTCCCATTCCGCCATTGGATTAACACTCTCCACTGCCTCCGTTAAATTCGTCGCCACTGTCTGAGAAATATTTCTGGTATGTGCAGTTTGTTTGAGTGTGTTGTCCTTCCATTCTAATTGCCATGTCCCGAAGTATTCCATCTGTCCTTTTGACTGAATCATCATCCGTCTGGTCGCCAGGGTACTTGATCGTGTTCGACTCCGTGGACATGACACACCACACGGACCCGTCCCTATTTTCCACCCAGTAAGAAGTTTGAGGTGCACCTGAAAAATTATAGCATTATTTCCAAGCTTGTAATGTTCATTCCCTTGAAATAGATTTGAAATTCAAATTTCATTTGGTTTGTTGTGAACGCTTGAGTTTCATTTTCTTGTCAAAAAAAAAAGAAATATGTTTGTGTTTGCCAATAGCAAAGGTTGAAGTTTCTCAAAATGCAAAGTATAGACTTTAACTTCAAGGTAAAGAGAACAAAAAATGTTTTCCAAATTAAGAAAGGGCTTGTGCCATGTATAATATGGAACCCCTATCTCTTCTTATTCATAAGTTATATCCAATTCAAAATAATGTTTAATTTTTTAAAGTAGGTCAAGGTTTGACCTTGACATTTGAGTTTGATCAACTTTCAAAAATTTTAACCTTGGCCATAAGTTTTGAACGGTTGATTCTAGGGCTTGAAGTTTGACCTACTTTTTAAAATCTTTAACCTTGGTCTCGTTTTTGAATGAGAAGAGATTGGGCTTTCATATTAGGCATGTAAATTGCTTGTGACAAGACCTTTCTAGATACACTTTGATTTTTGACCCCAAGACCTTGACATTGAAGTTTGACTCACTTTTAAAAAATTAAACATTACTTTGAACTGGTCATAACTTTTGAATGAGAAGAGATAGGGCTTTGATATTACACTTGTATATTACTTGTGACAAGACATTTCGAAATTCACTATGATTTTTTACCTCGTGGCCTTAAAGTTTGACCTACTTTTCAAAAACTTTCACCTTGGTCATGATTTTTGAATGAGAAGAGATAGGGCTTTCATATCAAATCTGTGTATTGCCTGTGACAATATGCTTGTTTTTATCAAATGTGAATAAAACTCTTAAGGCGAAGGTCAAAAGTAAAAAAAAATTATATATGAATTTGAATTATGTTGAAGGACTTTTCAATAAAGTGACATATTGCTTATTTGTAGTTTTGCTTTTTGAAGTGAAAATCAATCCATTATCTACGGCGCCGCTGGAGGGCCAGGTAAAAAAAATATTTTTATTTGTTCGGACAAATTAGAAATTCGTTCGGACGAATTAGATATTCGTTCGGACAAATTAGAAATTCGTTCGGACGAATTAGAAACATCTTTTCACTCCCATCCCTGACACACTCATAGGATTTGTCGTAAATAAACAATCTGGTTCTACCAGACCAACTTTTGCTGGTGGTGTCAAATTGGTAACACTGGGGTGCAAGTGGTCAATTACAGCTTCTTTGAAAAGATGAGATCCACTCCTTAAGGTTTTATTCATACTGCAGGCAATTGGTACGGAAAAAAATTTGCATTAAAAAAGTAGCCCCCCCCCCCCCCCCCCCCCCCCCCACGAAATAGGACTGTCAACTTTAGGCAACTTTTCCTGTGTCCCTTTGTTTTTTTTTTTTTGCTTGTCAACTTTTCAGGTAAGTATTTTTTTTCTCAGGCTCCCCCCCTTTCAAAAACGCTGCTACGTGGCTGTATTGTATTATATTAAATCGGACTCAAAATATGAGACCTCTCATTCGATGGGTCTTAAATTTTTAAGGTGGGGCTTACTTGCTAGAACATTTGTAGTTTGGCTTCTATACCGCTGTTCCCACATTTAAGTATTTTGTGATAAAGGAACAAAAAGAAGGTATCTCATAAGTCCATCTCCAATGGATTCTTTCTAAGATCGTTAAAAACTATTATTAAGTATCTATATAAATTTTATTTTATATTTAAATATCAGAAAAGCGCATGAATTAAAACATGCAGGTATAATATTGACCAAATTAAACACACGTCCTTTTCCGGGAAAAGGATAAAAAAAAATTAGATGAATACGATGCATGTACGTTCCTAGAAAGTGCAGTAAAAATTAAAAACACATCATAATTTAATGCAAGTTAAGCTTCTCAATGATTAAGACAATCGATCGTTTTTAAATAGAGGAGGGGGTGTTACTTGAAAATATTTTGACATTCATTCATGATTTATTTTCCCCATAAAAGGGGTTGGTTTCATAATTCCCCTTTCTAGTGAGTCATTGGCCTATCAAACCTTCGAACTGGTATTCAACTGTAAAAGCGTATAAACAAAATTAAGAAATGCTGAAAGTGAAATTAAATAGTTTGTTCGACTACATGTACCTCTCCAATAAGGGGAGGGGGCTATAATTATGCTCTGTAAATCAATGGACTAGGGAATATACCAGATTGACCGGTTGACATCTTAATTCACCGGCTCGCGAGTCATAGGAACAACCTGAGATCAATACGAACAGGTTCATTTTTGTGAAGTTTTCTTAACTCACAAACAGGAATATTTAATTGAAAACTCATTGAGGACCTTTTTTCATTTTATACACCGCATATGCACCAGATTGATTGATTGAACGTTTTACGCCGAATCGGCAATATTTCAGCTACATATCGGCGACATATGTATCAGAAATGTACTACAAAAATCATTTACATGTCATGATGAATAAATTGCAGGGTAGTGAATATCTACATAAAATTTATAAGAAAGAGATCAACATTAAAACGACTTATATTCAAAATATTTATTGATAATGTAGTTCATTAAAGTTATTTTGCAAAGAATCAAAATAAAATGAACCATCTTGGTGCAAATCGCACATTATCGCGATGTCCTGACAGTTGTTCACATTTTCTCTAAATTGTCCGAACAAATAACAAATTCGTCCGAACGAATTTCTAATTCGTCCGTACAAATATCTAATTTGTCCGAACAAATTTCTAATTTGTCCGAACGAATTTCTAATTCGTCCGGACGAATATTTTATTCGTCCGAACAAATAACTAATTCGTCCGAACGAATTTCTAATTTGTCCGAACAAATATCTAATTCGTCCGAACAAATAACTTATTTGTCCGAACGAATATCTAATTCGTCCGAACGAATTTCTAATTTGTCCGAACGAATTTTTAAACCTCTAATTTCTTAATTTTGTTTAATTTCATTAATTAAGGGGAAAAACTGCTTTAAAACAGTAAATACGCTTCGTTTTACTTAACTATGATGCGCGAAATATTGCGCAATGAAAACCACAGTCGACCCCCTTAAATTGACCTGGCGTCACTATATGTCACAAATCAGTCTACATACTAGTATATTGTCAACGGCAGGAATATATTGGACAGAAATGTCGTTTATTCCAGAAGAAAGATGCGATGATAAAAAGATTCTCATTTTCTATCAAAATGCTTTGATAAACATTTACAGTGAAAAGTGTAGTTTTGTTTAAGGAGGTTGGATCCTGATATTTGAAGTCTTGAAAACTTTCTTGTCAAGAATATTTTAGTTTCTACACACAACTAATAAAAAATCGACACAAAAATGGGGGTCAATATGCGTCTTTTGGCGCAACAGTACACTTGACCTTTCTGCACTCACAAAATGTGATTTTTTTCTGGCATTGAAAATTTAACAAGCAAGAAAATTGTTTTAAAATCTTAGACTTTTGCTGAATTTAAGCAGATTGATCAAAGTTATCTTATATATTCAGAAAAGAAAAACAAAAGTGGAGGTCTACGATGTAAATCTTTAGATAATATTACTTAAAAGATGTTAATTTTATGTCAAAAGTGGGTCTTTTTTTCCAAGACTTTCAGAATATATTTAATATATTTGTCATAATATAATGAAAGAATTCATAACAAATAATTAAATAGATATTACAAAACCAGCATAAAACATTTCACTGGGGAAAAAAAACAGTTCTGTGTGCAACTAGCATGGAAAAATATGAATCTAAAGTGAACAGTGCTATATATATATTTCAGAAAGGAAAAATTGATCATTTTCTTCTTTAAAAAAAAACTTCCACCACAAAAAAATAGTTCTTTGCTAAATCCTATTTGAATGGAATTTAGCTGTGGACATTTTTTATTGGATATAGTTTTATATGCATTGTCAAATCCAGATTAAATTTTAGAACTAAAAAATGGTTCATAACTATAGAAGTAAAGGTCCAGGCCAAAATCTGTACGATTTAAAAAAGCGCATTTAATAAATTGTAAAAACTTGAAAAAAAATCTGCTTCAAGAGTTTTACAGCCGTATTATTTACTAGTGTAAAAATTATATCTATTTGATTTTTTTTAATTTCATCTAGGTCCTTGGTGAAGAGAAAGGATTTTTTTTTATAGATTTATTTAAATATAAATTAATTGATACGACACTAGGTCTTATCGTTAAAAATAATAAATGTTCAAAAGAATTTCTGCATGGAAATAAAATGTTCTTAAATAAAATTTTAAGAAGTGCTTTCACCTACCTTCAATGTGTCATTATCCAAATGATCTCTGTATGTAGCAAAACTCATGGATCCGCCATAGAAAATAGCTGTATCTTTGGCAGCACATAATCCGAAAAGGAACACCAAGAACACAAATAATGCCGGCGCCGTCATCGTGACACCTGGACACTTACTGATGAAATCATAGTAACCTTACTATATCATTACTTTTGCATATTACACACATATGACTATTAAATTAAAACTGAATAAATTAATGAAATAATTTTTCAGAAGAACGAAAAAAAGTAAATTGTACATGTGGTTAAAACGTTATAATGGATTGAGTAAAATATTTATTAACTCTATTTTGTAAATGTAAAAAGAAAGGTTGTGAAGCCAAATTAGAATTACAATGTATTTGCGAAAAAGAATTTTTTTCTATATCATTTTCCTGGACCATTTATACAATGTCTAAATGATACCTCTAACATTTTGGGTAAAATATATTTTGGCCTTTGCGTAAGAAGCAAAGACAATATTATGTATATCTATATTTAATATAATTCATTATTCTTTTTAATAATTATTTCAAGTCAATCTTATAAAATTAATTATGAAATTCTATATATGCATGGATTTCCTGTTCCTAAAGATCCCCTGTACCTACCACGTGTCCCCTTCGTCTCTGCTGTGAACCTTCCCGAGGTGTTGTTTCTTAAATTGAATTATTTTTGTAAATTTTGATATCTTCTTAATCATTTTGGACATGCCTACTGTTATTTATATTTCGTAAATCAATTTCTTATAGATACTTCAATTGATTACTATCGCATTTTTCTGTATTTGGGATTTTAAGATACAGCAGACGTAATCCTTTAAGGCGCTCCCCGTCATGTTTTCGTGAGATTAGTCCAAGTTTAAAGTAAATAGATTTTAAAGACTTTAAATTATTTATTAGTAAATTCCTCGGCTTCTTCAATAATAGACTCCGGGGTCTGAAATTTTTGTCCGAGGCATATCCCTGGTAGGTAATATATAGCTAAGGGTTAATCCGGGGTTTAACGTCAAAATCAATTCTAAACGCTCGAGGTGTTTTTGGAATAATCATAAAGTCAGAACTCAATAACATTTAACAAATATTGTGCTGATTTTGTTTTAATCTTCGAGCGAACTTTGGTAAGATTTATGTCAACGTCTGAGAGCGCATCGTTTTTCATTTACGTTGTTTGGAAAAGTAAATGAAAAATTATTCACATATCAAGTTTGATGAAAATTTATCTGTACGAAAGTCTTTGTTCTCAGACTGTGTATTCTTTATCAAAATAAATAAATTATAGCGGATCGTAGGCATAGAGACCTTATCGAAAAAAAAGTTTCAAAAATCAATGTTTCATAAACTAATCAATGTCCTCGGGGGAAAAAATATGAATATTTTTTTTATATAGACGTAACGTCAGGAATTGTTTCTAATAGGAAATAATACGCTTAATCCGTTTTCAGCTTACATTTGTAGTACAGTCTTGATAATAAACATGTAGTGTTTTATATGAAAATAATGGATTTTTTGTAAAAAATGTTGTAACAAAAAGAAGTATTATTACAAGGTATGTACACATTGACAGACTAATTGCTTCAATTTTTGTCTTGTGCTAACAGAAAAATATTTACAGAGTTTATTTTCCAAAAAAAGTTGAAAAATCTCGCATCTCTTTGATATTTTACAGTTCTCTTACATCATATTTAGACATAATACGTTTGTTGAATTTTAAAGCACATCCTTTGAAATAAAATTAAATTTCAATGAAAATTTATCATTTTCAGTTGAAAAAAGAAAATTTTACGGTAAAATTTACAAATTTGAATTGATATACAATGAGTACTTTTAAACAACAACTTGTTCCTAAAAGAAATGAAATTTTTCCAGGCGCTAAAGTATTTAATCAAACAAATCCGTGTCTTGCAAATATGAAATCGTAATTGACGCTATGTCAAATATATATTAGTTAATAGCTTAAGATTTATTCAAGAGGCAATATTTATTAAAATTTATATCAGTGGAAATTTTTTAAATTACTTTTTCTTATAGGTTTCATCAGATCTTACCGGTAAATAAGAAAATTCTAAGGAAAAATGTATTCAAACAATTTTTCTTAAAATGACGTTTGCCATTTTGAAAAAAGTGGGACATTCAATTTCCTATTAATTTATTTGCGTATTGTTGTACCCTTCATATTTAACATGTTAATCTTTAATTATCACCTCTCTGTATCCTTAAATTGCTTTTTCTGTTGATTTTTTTTTTAAATGATCACCATAAAACGATTATCGCATACAAATGTAGTTATACTTTTAAATCCATGCAAGTGCAGAATTTTCTTTTCATGTGCAAGAGAGAAAACAATGATACATGTAGAAAATTAAAAATACATAATTTGTTTTGATGATCTGTCCAAAAAAAAAATAATTTGTTTGTCAACAAATTACTATTAATAATTACTTCAATGGGAATACGTGTAATTTTTAAAAAACATATTTAAACACTGCACGTAAACAACTGATGTTGACGTCGTTTTGACGTTACAACGTTGAGTAGCAATTCCTGACGTTGCATCATAGCGTATTTTTTGGGGGGGGGGTTAAAATTTATAATATTTCATCCCCAAATAATTAAATTATTGCAAAGAGTGTTGCGAACGTAGATTTACAACATCGACAATAATTTCAATATCGAGTACTAATGAATATATGTATATTTACACGTATTTTCCAGTTCAAGCGGGAATATTGATTCAAAAAGTATTGCGGAATTTTAAAGCTGCTAAACAATTAAATTTCTATATCTCTTCAATTACAAATTATGAATTTAATAGAACTTCACGAAACCCCGAAAAACTGTATCTTTCAATGCATGTTTTAGAAAAAGATGAATTCTCAGAAAGAAATAAGAAAAGGTATTATACAATAATGTGATTTTTTTAAATGTACTTTTCTCTGTTCTGTTTTAATAATCAAACCCCAAAACTGTATTCAAACAATCTTTCAAGATTAAATTGTAAAAAAAGTGTTATGTAACTTTGAGTGGCACACTTTATTGAATGTTCATTTTACAAATTAGTAAATCATTTTAATTAAATTGAAAACCTGCTTTATAGTTTGGCGATTTTTATGTAAGATTAATAAATATGTGTCGTAATTTGTTTGATTGATTTCTTCGCACTGGGCAGAAGCTGTGTCGACGCTTTAATCGGCATGCTTGGTATCTTGAATTTGGTTGTTAAGATTATTCTCGGAACATAAAAATTATTGCAAAGACGTAGAACTTTTGGGTAGTCAGTGGACTTCATTTTCAAACTGGATATTATTAGTTTTAATTTCTGGGGAAAAAAAGCACACGACGTCCGTCATTTTCTGGCTGCATGTAAATGGGGGGGGGGGGGGTGTTGCGAAAAATTTTGAGAGTACATTATTTCAGCTAGACTTAACTGGTCACAGGGAAATAATATGAAACAAAAAAGAGAAAAGAATGGAAGTCACAGAGTCTTTGAAAAACCGTGACGAAGTGTTATAAGACGAACTGTCTCATATTTACACTCACTGACATTACATTAACACAAAGGATTAAAGGAATCTGTATCCAAAGCCAATGTTATCTCCGTAGACATAAAAAAAATCACTGATTTAAGCTTTGAGTTTAATTATAGACAAATATTGGTTGACAAGTCATATTTGGTTCAAAGGATTTTATGGGAATATGTCGTGGTTACTGCAAAGGATTTCAGAATTGATATCGGAACCTCTTAGACTTAGGGGATTGGGGCTATATTAATAGCAAAAGTAAGCTTATGACCTTTGTGTCTCTTTTATTCTTTAATAAACAATTGTAGCCTCATGTACATAGATCATAATTGTAAGGTGTACTTTTGACTTGAGGGAATAATTTGATGAAAATGTTTTTTACCCCTGAAGAAGCTTTTTCCAGACCGGAAAGTGAACGCAAGGTCGAAGGTTTGTTTTGTGATCAAGGCACAGTGCTAAGTGGGGGAGAGGCGCCTTTAATTTTAGAATTGAGACAGGCATGCAAAATATACTTAAGTTTCGCAGAAAGAGGGGGGGGTAGAACTTCAAATACCAATACATGTACATCAAATTCCTATTACTTTGGTGGTCAAAGACTTGCATATAAAACCATGCATAACAATTTACGCTACAGTTCTACGACTTATCCATGTGCCACTATGCTCACTAGCTATATAAGCTACCTTAACATAAAATTATTCAGAATTTTATTCACCAAAAGGGATTTGGCAGCAGAATCAGCCAATTTTAGCAGTCTTCCTACAACACTCTTTAACACTGACAAATAAAAAAGGAAATACATGTAATTAAGAGTATGTATCTGAATTTCAGCGAAATGATTTTCAGTTTCTGTTCTACTTTTGTTAAACTTTAAATTGTAGCTTTTTAGGAAAAATTAAAGAAAATATCGTTTATCATTATTATTTAATTATTAGAAATTAATAAGTGTACAGGAGAATTACTCATCGTATGAATTTCTAATAATTCAATAATTAGCATATCACAAAACAATTAAACAAAAAAATTACATCATTCAGAATGTTGTCTCAACAATATATACATGTACATGTACCACTTGCAAAGCTATTTTGACAAAGATGGATTTCAAAGCGCGTTTGAATGCGTTTTCTATGATTTATCACTTTTGTAAAGTCAGAATAATGTGAACTAGCTTATTGTGGTTCAACTATAGAAATTATTGTTTATCGGAAGAGGAATCTCTCTTCTCTAAATCCCAAAATCTAATTTCAGTGCTGATGCAGCTTCAATGATAACCAATGAAAACCCATGTACTTTAACATCTGATCACGTGCTGCATCAAGTTTGGCGCGGAACTCAGCAATCCTGCATGTGAAAATGCCGAAAGGAAAGAAATCGGGAAGTAAGCCGGCAACTGTACAACCACCAAAGCCGAAACCTGCAGGAAAATCGGCCTCAAACAAAAAGAAACATATCAAGAAAAAGAAGGAGTCTTTTAAAATTTACATCTTCCGAGTCATGCGGCAAGTCCATCCCGAGCTAAAGATGTCGAACCGTGCCATGGGTATTATGAATTCGTTTGTGATAGACATATTTGAGAGAATTGCCTCCGAAGCGTCCAAACTGGCCAAGTATAACCGCCGACAGACCATGAGCAGCCGTGATATCCAGACGGCGGTTCGTCTTCTGCTTCCCGGAGAATTGTCTAAACACGCGGTGTCCGAGGGAACCAAAGCTGTTACCAAGTACACAAGCTCAGCTTAAACTGTTACTACCCACTAAGCTCAGCGTAACATTAACAAAAACTATTTTTAATTTTTTGATCGATGATGTCATCAAGCTTTTTTTTCACCTTCTGCATGCGAAAAGTTGCTGCAAAAATTATATGTTGCATTTTAATTTCTTTGTTCACAGTTGCTCAATGTACAGCAAAAACATTGTAATTTTGATGTGTTCATTTTCATATTAGGTAATAAATAAACTGACATTGTATTTTATTTAGTTATTTCATTGCAACTCTCTCCAGCATTTTGCAATTCTACATGTTATACATCTAAGCCATGTTTCTGTCATGTTCCTGAACCTATTAACTCCAATACTGTTAGGGTTTTTTTAACTTAAAAGATAACAAGCAAATTCAAAGAATTGTGGTCTCTCGTATTCGGTGTCTTTAGTGGATGGGATGCCATTGTTTCAAGTAGGAATGCCCTATCAGGCCCTGGGCCCATAAAACTTAGGCGAGCTAACTTTTGATCTCGATCTCACTTTTCCACTATTAATTCCTTTGAAAAAAAATGAGACTGAAATCAAAAGTGAGCTCGTCTCATCAAAAGATAAAATGTTTCAAAATTAGGTCACATATGATGGTCAAGGGGTAAAAAATCAAAGCATACTCGGAAACATCTCGTTACACACAATGCTCATGTCAAAAGTCCCATCTCTTCTCAAAAGTTATGAGGAAAGATAACATTTTTGAAAAGTAGGTCAAGGTTACACATCAAATTTAGAAAGGTCTTGTCACAGATAATATATGTATGTAATATGAAAGCCCTATCTTTTCTCTCTCAAAAGTCATTACCTATTTAAAGTAATGCTATAATTTGAACAGTAGGTCAAACTTCAAAGTCAAGGTGTCAAAAATCATGCCATCTTTAGAGGGATCTAGTCACAGGAAATGTACATGTAAAATATGAAGACGGTATTTTTTCTCAATCAAAAGTTATGACCAAGGTTAAAGTTTTTGTGACAGATGAATGAGATTAATGTCCCCTCACTCTCCCGAAAGTGGGGGACAAAAAGGACCAATATTTAAAAAGTAGTAGGGTGATAGCCAACTAATCAGTGGAAGATATCAAATGGTGATCAATATCAGAAATCTAGTCATCGGTTAAAATCCTGGAGACAATATCCTACGACCCCAGGAAATATCAGAGGTGGAATTACAGGGATTAAAAATTCGAGAAAAAACAGGCTATCTTAAAAAAAATCATTGCCCTCTCCTGACCAACTGACTAAAAACAGCCTGAATCTGAACTCTTTTTGACCTTCAGTAAATGTTTTTTGTTCAATTCATTAATACATGTAACTATTTTTAACTTCATATTTGCACGTGTTTTGTAATAAAATATTTTTTTGTTTTTTTACGTCGACCTACCTAATTTTTTTTTAACTTGAGTCGGGAGAGAGCAAGCCAACATTTTTTTTTTAATACTGTGATTATCATAGTGACTAATATAATGTACAATTCATATCACAACTTACAGCAGTTTTTATCACAATAACAAACCAATCACCATAAATTAGGATGCTTTATTATTGCAGTTTAATATTAAATTGTAAATATATACATGAATATCTAATAATTAGAATTTGCATGATCTTATTTATCATAAACAAAAAATAAATATCAGTACATTTCAACCCTGGTAAAATGTAAAATATTTAAGACATGTATACATCTTTACATCATAAATTAAACTCAACTACTAACCTTACTCAGTTTAGAACAGAGATGAATTATGAAAAAAATGTTGTTACAGTAGCTGTAGAGAGATGTTAAACATACCAGAGTCTATAATACACAATTTACAGTTGTAAATTTAGTCAATCATTGTATGCGCCTTATTCAATAAAAAGTTGGGGTAATCCAATGCCTCTCAATAAGACAGTTATAGACTGGACACAACTACATGGACCGGGAGACAGACAGACGATGTGATTCCTATATACCCCTTAAACCTTCATTATGATATTAAGAATTCCACATTGTATACTGGTGTGTTATTTTCAGTAAAGGTTTAACTTTCAATAATACACAATCATCAGTTTTGCTTTGATAGAGCTACAATGCAGTTTGTATGCCATTAAAATAATTGTATAGTTTCTTCGGGAAAAAATGACAAATGATTGGTCAGGGGATAAATTCTCTTATTGCCCTCTACTTACATTGATGCAAATAGAAGTGGTTAGATTTTCTGTATGAATGGAACATTTTGGACTTTCGTTTAACAACCTATAGTTCCCAGTGGTTTTAGCAGTCTTAAGACAAATCAACCTAAATATGAATTAATTGTAACACGATGACATACTGTAAGGGTGAGTGGGTGAGGCTACATCTGTCTGCACTCGGAAAGAAGCTCCAAATGTCAAATTTTCTCAAATGCACCATTCTATAAAGATAATGGCCATTCAGATTGGCAGTCTACATAAATACTGCATACACATGTGCTAAATTGATTCACAATATTGCAATAAATGCATTATTATGTAAATTCATTGTAATTTGAAGGTTCACAGAGGCAGGGAGTCTTTCATTATTTCTCTTTCAGCAATTGTTACATTTTTAGTCAGAGAGTAGGGCATATTAAAATGTTTGCAAAAGGTATAGTTTTCTTGGTTCTAAAGAAATTGGCATGTCATTATGTGACAATAGATGCTCCTAAAGAAAGCTCAAAACATTCCTTTCACTGGAACAATTTTACCACTTTAATGTGTACCAATGTAATGTATGCATTCAAAATGGCCACATTCCAGATGACTCAAATCAAAGTACTTATTATAGTACAGGAACAATTAACACAGTCATTCTAATTGTATGCCACAATAAAATATCAGTATATTCTAACAAATTTGTACAGAATGTTATGTACAGGACGTTAACAAAGTTTGAAAACAAAGACATAACTTTACAAAATACAGCATCAAAATTAGCTAACAGAAATATACCAAACATAAACCCTCCACAAAGATAGATATTGTACAGGCAAAAATATTCATGGGGTTACTGTAAATCATTATTCATGTCATCTTTTATTCCCAATTTGTCAATCAGTGAAGATTTATTTTTGGGACTGAAGAAACAATTCTACAAATACAAAGCCAATCTATAGTTTAAGGCAATTAATATTCACAAGTTAAAGTAGGTTGCCAAACTCGCAGATATTCCTTGCACAGGAATAAAAATTGGTTTACAGTAGTTTTGATACCAGAATTTTATGCTATTCATGGATTAATAATTAAGTTATACATTACATGTATAATTCCATTTAATTTAATCAAGTATACCGTGAATATTTCTGAATTTTCATTATTTCATTTTACATGTTCATATTCTTATTTCAGTGTCAAAATCTTCATCATGATTGAACTGCTAAGTATTTACAGACTACCAGAAAAAAAGTTGATATCAATCCATTTAAAGAAATTGAATTCTCCTCAGACCTTACTGGATGATTTATTTTAAGGATCATCTTTATCATTATGTTTACGATACACACGTTTATTCTTTTTCGTTCGATTTTTGAAACGTTTGAATTCTGTCCAGTTCTGTCGTCTATCCTCTTCCTCATTGTCATGACTACAGCCTGGTTGCTGGTTGTCACCATGACGATCACTGACATTGTCCTTTGGTTCTTGGTTTGTCACATGAGAATTTAATTTTTCACTGAACAGTCTTTCTGATTCTGTTCCATTTTCTGCACAGGAGCTGTGAGTAGAATTGTTTTTATTGTTGTGAGATAAAAATGGACCAAACTCTGGATTTCCTTTGGATGTGGAAGGCTCTGAATGACCATTTACTGCAGGGGATGTCAGTTCGTTTTCTTCACAACTTTCCTCTTCTGTCTGTAGGACACTTTGTCTGAGCTGTCTAAGTCTCTGTAACTGTAGGTTCCTCCTCTGTCTTTGAGCAGCAACAATATTGTCTGGGTGTCCAGACAGATGCTGTTCATTATCACTTGAATCTGAAGAGTCAATCTGTGATTTCTTTTGTTTGGGCAATTTACCATTTTGCATTCTTTTTTTCATTTCGGTTCTCTTTTGAGCGATGAGTTCAGAAATGCTTCGTCGGGAATTCTGGTTTTCATTATTATTACCATTTTCTCCAGCCAAAGCATTCAAGAGTCTGTTTGCAGGATTTCTATCTGTGGCCTGTGCAGCCATGACACTTGCAAATGCCAGAGTGAAAGGACTAAAAGCAGGATCATCGATACTGTCTGTGTCACTGTCTAGATCACGCCTCTCTGATGACGATCCGTCATGCCTCACTAAATTTACTTCGTCCTCTGAGCTGTCAGAAATATCTGATCGAGACAGTTGCATTATTCTTTCATAGATTTCTTCTTCTCCACTTGACATTTCTGGGTCAGAACTGTTACCCTCCAGCTCGCGCTGAACCAGGGAGTCAAAGAACGCAATCATACGAGGATCCTCTTCCACTGATTGGTTAGAATAGTCATGTGACATGAATTGTCCACTATTCAGAATGAGATTTATATACTCCTCATGACTGTACACTGGACGTTCTTTGATGCTTTTATTAGTAATTTCTGAAGTGTTTGGTAAAGGAAAAGTGCTCCACACCTTTAACGTAAAATGAAATGAAGACAACCTCATAAGAAATTACAATGAAAACAAAATAATTCAAAATTAAATATCTCACAATGACAGTGTGTATATTATGTGGTATTATAATTTATTTTCTGTATATGATCACAGATTTTCTGCAGAAATTTGTTATAGTATACTTATAGTACACTAAATCCATGTAAATTACTACCCAAGAATTTTAAAGAAATCGCAGTTTCACAGAATTTTTATCCTATAAAAAAAAGTGCATTTACAGAACAGTGTACATGAAACAATAAATATAAAGCAATGGTAGTTTGTGTTAGCTACATACTATTTGTATAGTATTAATTAATACTGCATGTGGTACAGGGAAACGTGAAAATTTTCACCCCCTCTAAAAGCATTGTCACCCTCAGCTGCACCTCAGTCAACAACGGTTTGTGTCTGGGAGAATTTTTTATGTTACCCTCTACTTCATGCAAGACCTCCCCCCACCCCCACATACACACCCTAATTTTGCTATGCTGGGCATAATGAGTTTTTTTTTAATTACTGTAAGCTAGTATTTCACTGATGTAAAAACTTACCTTTATCATTTTCTCAACTCCAGAAGAAATTATGATGTGATTGTTTGGGTTGAAGCGAACTTGATTCACAATAGACCTGTGACCATGAAGAACCATGTGAGCATCATTCACATAGCGTCCTGAAATATAATGTAACATGTACCAGTAAGTGTTTACACATATGATTTAAAAATACATCCTGAAAAGAAATTTCAACAAATACCTGGTACTCGTACATAGACTTTAAATATATTTAGTGTCCTGAAAAATGTTCTTACCAATGCCTATATAATTTACAAGGTGACCTGAACAATATTCAACAAATGCTTGTAAATGTGACTACTGTATAGTGAGTACAGTGCTTTGTTTCTTGACTTACTATACGTTCTCTGAATAATTTATTCATTCTGATTGTTCACCTTGGGCATGTTAATCTTTTTTTGTTTTAAACTTACTTGATGACAAATCCTCTGGAATTTTCCACATGTATAACTGAAAGTCATCTGATCCAGACAGGACATACTGAAAAAGACAAAATATTTCATACATATTTTGGAACATATGCATCATCTTATTATATAAAGGCCATTTAGGCAATGTTTTCTTTTTCTTCATAAACCATAAACAAACCAGTTCATGCTAAATAAATTAATCTTGATTTTCTTAATATAAGGAACAGTTTTTAAAAAAAGTGTTTTTAAAACATGCATGCCCCCCAAGTGTAGCATTTTTGTTTACTTCAATTGTTGGCCTTTCAAAAATTTAAAAATAAAGACAAAAAAACAAAACAAAATAAAAACATGTTAAAACAATATCCTCTCAATCTCTGAGGAAGAAAAATTTAAACCTGCAATATTAAACAAATATAATTTAAGCAGCAAACAAATAACGAATCTGTACCTGATCTTTGTCACCAGCAAAACAGCAGCTTTTCATTGTGCAGGAATTGAAATACCCAGCATGGTCAAACTCACATATTGGTTTACTGCTGTGAATGTTGTAGAGAATGGGTGGAAGTCGGCGCCGCAGTGCCAGAATCCGGTCACCAGAGCTGTTTATCCTCACACTATTAGCACTCTGCTGAGCTACACCACTTCCATATTTCAATAAACAACTAACCAAAAAAAGAAAAAGTAATATCTTAAGAAATAGGGCTCTATAGAAAATTTATACAAGTATATTTGAGCATCTTTTGAACTACAATGTTTCTATAAATTGATCTTATCTTTTATCCCTATATTTCATTCATTTTACTTCCACAAAACAAAAGAATTTATTTCTGGATAAGATTCAGTATTTGTCTAAAAAGACATAAATTTGTCACAAAGAGATGCCTCATCATGTTCATGATTTTCCTACCTCTTGGGTTTCCTGACGTCCCATAATCCCAGTCCTTCCTTGGCATTGGCTGTTGCTAGGAGACGGGGTTCCACTGGATTGAACATCACAGCATGCATGGAAGAAGTGTAACTTGCCAGACAAATGGCATCTGCTGAAATTAAAATTGAAAAAGTAAAGCTATAATGATCTTTGTATATGAACCAAATGCTGAAGATATAACTCCATGTACACAAGTATAATTACTGGGAAAACTAGGTACCCAGTACATAGGGTATTCCTAGGAACAGTTGCATTTACATGCAAGGTTTATTGAGGCATACAAGTCCAGCATCAGATACCGTGGGTACATATTTTTTTCTTAAGTCAAGTTATTACTGGAATTACATAATCTTCGCTTAAAAGTTTGAATTGTGTTAGATTGTTTTAGTATACCTGTTGCTGGAGGCTCCCTGATGTCATAAAGCAGAATCTTGCCGTCATCACAGGCTGTGGCAAACACGTTCCCATTCTCTGGGTTAACAGAGATACCATAAACAGCATCCTCATGTAAAAACACATCCAGAGTCTCTCCTCTAAAGTAGATTAAAAATTGTATTCGCTTCATTAAGTGTCTCAATCTCTTTACATAAACTGTGTAAGTATAAGTTCTATAATGACTTTAAATTAGGGATGTCAAATCGGTCAATTTTCAATACTCGGTTACTCGGACGTTTTTCCGATCGAGTACCCGGGTACTCGGTAAAAGTGTAAATTAATATGAACAAATAAATTGAAGACTGTAAAACATTGTAAACTCTTGTAGAAATAAAACCAGATGCACTGATTGGAGGCTTTCCCGTAAGTTTATGTATTTCTGTTGTAATAATGATGAGCACTTCGTGCCCGACGAAATTTCATATTATTTTTTAAAATTCAATTCATTTATCAGATAAACACAAAAAATAAAATCATAAGTTGTTCACAGTGTTTTTGTTTAAAAAAAATAATCTTCTCTGTAATTGTAATGTAACTCTTTGTCGCCTTTGGCGACCAGGTATCAGTCGTCAGGCTACGTACAGAATCAACTTGAACTTGATCAAGTTCTCGTAACAGAGCTGATTTACGATTTTCGCACACTTTTTCGATCCTAGATTTTATAATATTACGGGACGGTATTTTGTTGTTTGGTGCAACGATGGACATCAGTTTTTTTAAAGCCCTTGCCTTCAACCAGTTGTATTGGCATGTAATCAAAACACAACCATATCAACAATTGCACGTGTATTATCATCCGCTCTTTTCCCGTTAACGAAATTATCTAATTTATTTAAACATAATGGATCTTAAACCATGTTCAGTGAAAACAAATAATGAAACCCAAACAAAAAATAAGGGTAGAAGACAGCCGAAGGTGAGAAAAGTCTGGTACCCCAGGTGCTTAATCACGATAATTACTGTATAAACACTGCCAGAGGCAATAACGGTCATTTAGAGTCGTAGTTAACCCTAATTACTGTATGTACAAGTGCAATGAGCATTTTATGTTTTAAAACAGATTAATGTATTAATAAAAAATAAGCTTAGAAATATTCAAAAATATACATCCGAGTAACCGAGTACCCATTTTAGTATTCGATACTCGGACGTTCGATCGAGTACCCGGTTAACCGGTTACTCGTTGACATCCCTACTTTAAATAAATTATCGTCAAATTTTCTTCAGTCATATTAATGATATAAAAATCCTTCTTTCAGGAAACATTACTTTTTCCATAACTTGGCCTTTCAATGGACAGCAAAATAAAACCTTTTGATACATTAATATACCTGATACCTTATTTAATATTTTTAAATGCTATCTAAACACAAGAACTTACGTTTGCAAATCATGGACAATCACTTGCTCATCATTTCCTAAAAATGAAAAAATAAGGTATACCAAATCCATTTGTATATATTAAAAATAAAACTTTTTTACAGATCTGTTAAATATTGACATTTTTTAATTTCAAAAATGAGAAAAATATATGCTAAATTATTCAAAGGAATGAAACAGGGTTGGGGGTGGAGGTTAGCCTCCACCCCCCTCCACTTTTTTTTTGCAAATATGTACATAATATATCCCTTGACTACAACATTTGAATGGATGGTACTAAGACTTTCATATTTCTCATATGTATTTCTTGCGACAAAACCTTCCCATTGACATCATTAATTTTGATCATTTGACCTTGACCTTGATGTTTGACTTACTTCTGATAAACTTCAACCTTCACCGTAACTTTAAATAGTGGATTCTAGGGCTTTCATATTTCACAGGTATGTTCTTCGAGATAAGACCTTTCTTTAGGCACCAACATTTTTATCTCTTGACCTTAACTTACTAGATTGGCTTGCATTTCATAAACATTAACCTTTGCCATAAGCTGCCTGTGCCAAGCAGATGCATCAGTGTCCCACAAACCAATTTTGTTCTGTGTATGATTCATAGGGATGTCTTTATTTCTCATAAATACTTAAGCAAGTTTGAAGTTTACGTAGCAATGTTTTATGACCTACCTCCAGAGAAGACTTTGGTGTTATCTGTATCAAAGGCCAGACAGAATATGTTGCTGGTATGTTCTCCTTTGAGTGACCAGGGTTTGGATATATCCGACAATGCTTTCTCTACATTCCATATCAGAACCCTGCGGTCATCTCCACCTGACAGTAGAGTAAAAAAAAATAATCAGTCAATCACTTGGTCAAGTTATTGAAAGATTTTTTTTTATCCCTGTATTTAGTTTTTTTTTTACTCCCCTTACATATGTTCTATTTTAAGTTCAGAATTCACAGGCAGTAAATCATAATTTAAAAACACAAACCTTTTTTTAAATCAAATTTAATAATGTTATTTTTAAAAATTATTTGTGTAAAAGGACATGCCTGATGCGATCAGTTCTCCGCCTTGGTTAGAAAATTCAATTGCATTTACGCATCCAAAATGTTCCTTCAAATCTTTGAAGAAGAGGGTTTTGGTGTCTGATAGTCTATCCCATATTATTTTTCTACTGTTTACGCTTTCAGAAACACTTCTATCATTCAATACACTTAGAATGTTCCGTGGTCGGAGCTTTCGATACATATTGGGCGATTTTAGCCAAAGAATATATAGATGCCTGTCAGCCTGTCATTTCCGATGGTGCATTCGAGTTCTCTCCCTTGAAATGTGTCCTGTTCCCATTATCATATTTTATCATTCTAATTCATCTTTAAAGTATTATAAGTGAATATGTAAAATTATAAATTGTCTCAATCAAAATATTATATTCATAAATGTCAAAAACATTGATTTTTTTCTGCAGATAGCATAATTTTGAATCGGGATCGGAATACATATTGTGGCTCTTAAATGTCTGAAGATAATTTTGGTATATGTCATGTGAGGGAAAGAGAAACTAGAAGAAACAATCAATTGTATTTTTTAATTTTGCGCAAAGCAATGGCATAAACAATATAGATATTGAAAGGAAAGCAATAAGATGCACGATGCATATGAAGCTACAGCTTTGCTGGAAAAATTACCTCTTAAGATTGAATCTATTGCATGCTATGGTAAGCTAAGATTTTTTTTGCTAACATAAATTGCTTAGTTCCTGATTATACAAAATAAATAAACAGATCAGACACAATCTCCAGATGTAATCTGAAATACCTATATAGCTTGATTCAGATATTTAAATAGATACCATGGATTTAGCTATTTTATCATACCTTTTCCTAAATGTGCAATATGTTAAAAAAAACTACAGTAGCACTTTGGTGCATTGATATATTTTATTTATTTATTATCAGAGAGCACTCTGATTAATGTCTTAATTAGTTTGAATTGACATTGATTTTCTAACCTGTAACTAAATCCTAAACAGAAAACATTCATCTTTTTTTTTTTAAATTCCTGAACGTGAAAGGCAAAGAACAGACAGTGATTGATCTTAAAAAAAAACTTTTTCATAAAGAGGGGATAAACACAGACCCCTGGAAAAAGCCAGAGGTAGGATCGGGTGTGTTTTTTTAATTTCCTTTTTTAACCTTTCAGATGACATTTTGCTTGTTGGAACAAAGGAAGGACATCTTCTGCAGTACAGAATAAAAAGGGGTATAGGTGGGTCATTTTGCCATCTTAATTTGACAACCCAAATACACATGTACATATATGTAGTTTGCTGTCCTCTATATTCCCTTTGGATTATTTGTATGGTGATTAAATGGTCTAGAATTTGTGATTTACTTAAAACTTTACTTCTAACTGGTGTTTTATTAATGATTGGAATCTTAAGAAAGGCAGTTTATTGAAGGTATCTCCTTGAATTTTCATAATGTTGAAAGAATGTGCCATAGTAATGAATGAAAGCTTTAAAGGAGTATTCAGACACTGATCTTGTTTACATTTCATATATTGCTATACATTAGTAAGATTGTAAATCATTCTCTTGGAACCATTTCAGGGGAAAGTAAGTATGATGTTGTCTTGGAACGCAGCAATAAAAATTTTGGAAAGAAGCCAATATCCCAGGTTTGAATTAAAATAACAACTTAATATAATATTTATCCTTTGAATCTAAATGTTTTAAAACTTGTTTGCATATGTTTGATTATCAGAAGTTATATGTGTTGTCTAACAAAGTGCAGTTTTACTTATCATTCACTTCATGATAAATTTATTTATGGCATTTTCATTTTTTAAAATACATGTTAACAGTACAGTGTACAAAATCTTATAAATATACAAGTAAACACTATCACTGAAAAATAGTATCTTATCAGTATATTTAAGGAAAAATGTATAACCAATATATTGATCTAAATTATTTATGAGTGAGAATTGATGGAAAGATTGTGAGTTTCTTCAAGAGCCATATAATATGAAATTTAATTTTTTTTTACAGTTATCAGCAGTGCCAGAACTTTATATACTCATCAGTCTTTCAGGTAAAATATTCAACTATGTTTAAAGGACATGACAAGACTTGATTTTGATTGGCATATCAGTTTTTCAGCTATTGTCTTTAAAAAAATATTTAAGAAATAAAATATAAATTTTTTTTTCAGAGAGTTTTAATGTCAGGTTAAGAAAGGATTAAGAACTATCTTGATGCACCATTGAATTTTGATTCTGATGATGTATTTACAGAGAATGTTGTCAGTGTGCATGATCTCAAGACATTCCAGTTAGTTGTTTGTTTAAACAAAACAAAAGGGGCAACATTGTTTGCTGTGGATGTACAGGTATTCATAATTTATCTATAATTAACTTCATGAGACAGATGTTTGATTTCTCGTAAAATCTACATAATTTCTTTAATTTAATGAAAATGTTTAACTTTATACTCTTTTCCCTGCACAAAAATTCTGACAACTTGGAAGGGTTACCCAAATGCATTTCTCTCTCTCTCTCTCTCTGCCTCTTTATGGAAAGAGTGATAGTTCCCCAGCATTTACACAACCTGTTTATCGATCTCTTTAGAATGCCAAGACGCTATCGGGAGGAGACCAGTGTATGTTACGACTCTGTGTGGCCGTCAGGAGAAAACTCCAGGTAAATGTTTATAAAACTTACCTGTCCTTTTATCAACGGCATTTATTTGTGTTAAAGTATTGTAACTGAGAATTAATGACTAGGAATTACAACTGTTACATTAGAATGACATCATATGCAACACATATGAGTTTTTTTGAATATGTACTTGTAAGTGTCATTTGTCAGCAGAAATTTTTTTTTACAATAAATGATTGTTATTCTTGAAGAACTAGGTGTATGCTAATTCATTTATATTTTTATTTAGAGATCGACTCTTTTGTTGTTTTGTAGATAATGTTTTGGAAAAACAAAAACTTTCATGACTTGAAGGTATACATATTTGTTTTATTTTGATATGGCTTTTGCTTGATTTTAATGATAACATAATAGAAATATTTTACTTAAAATGAATATCACAATGCATGTAATTATCTTGGCAGACATAATTAAAAAAAATTATTTTAAAAAAATTGATTATGAAATGATGGCTTGTTCCTTTTAAGGATGAGTTCACGTTATATGAAGTCCCAAGAGCCATGAGCTGGTGTAGAGATTCTATCTGTGTAGGATTTTATAAAAGAGAGTACTTTCTAGTCAAGGTAAATTGATGAAAAGTTTTTTTACATACAAATAAGTCATGCATTAATATTCCTAGCAAAACTGACTACTTTGCAATGTCCTAAAGTTGAATAGCATTACTTTTAATTGTAAATATCAAGTACACATACATAGTTCTAATCTTAAATTTAAATTTCACTAATTTCTAGTTTGCTAAATAAATTCTATTTTTTATCCTTCTTGTGTAAATGTTCTTGGTATACTAGTATATTAGTTCTGCTGCATTTCATTTCCGGAAATATGCATAGCATTTCCGACATTTTTTTTATTTCATTTCCGACATTTTTTGTTTTCATTTCCAACATACCGTAATTTACGGAATATAGGTCGATACTTTTTTCTCAGAATCGCTGGGGTCGACCAATATTCAGAATTCGACCTATTTAAGGCTCAAGTTTACGAAAAATGCCCCCAAATCAGTAAAATTTACGTCAATTTCAAAGCAAATCTGTGCCACTTTCGTAACTTGTTTGATTCGCAAAAAAAATTAATGCCCCGGTATTAAAACAATAACATATTTATTCTAAAACTTTCCTACAAAATAAATTCCATTAATTATCCGTTGATGAGAAAGGAAAACAACATTGCTTCACCTATTAAATAATTCCTCAACGTATTATCCATTAACATCATGCGGTATCCATCTTGTGAAGTCGCGATCATGTACTAAAAGTAAAACCGAACCGTATCAAAATTTAAAATACGGAAAATTTTCACGATCACAACTATAGTGTTTTTACCATTTATTAGTAGCGATAAATTGAAATAGTATATTAATTAAATATTTTTTTATTGTCTTGTGTTTATATAAATGTAAAATGAGTGAAATAATCTGTTGCCATTATTAAAAGCTTCGTACACAAGAAGTACATTGAACTACCGGTATACAAAGATTGGTTTCTAACAGAATTTTAATTGTCTGACAGATAAAGGGATTTACACTGTGTACGCAAAGGTGTTAAACAACACCTGTGTTATTTAATTAATTGCCTGCGGGGCATGATTAAGAAACCCACGTGCCATTATAGATATCATTGAACAAACAAAGCCGTGAAACATGTTGACAGTCAAATTGTGAATGTACTCTCAATTAAATTTATAAATTAAACTTATAGAGTGTTAATATGATTTCAATTCCTTGATATATACATTCAATGGTCAGGTATTTAGCCAATCCCTGGAGTAGAAAAATAACAATGGCGGACATCGAAGTAATTGTCGTCCACCGGTAAATACTGTCTGAATAAAATTTATTAGGAATGTGTCCAAGTTATTCTGAAATCGGAATTGCTATTCTTTGGTCTCGTGTTTCCTGAATTATAGCTGTAAAAAAAAAATAACGTATTTACGTGTTATTTATGCCTCGGATTTAACAACAGTGTGAAACTACGGAGGCATTGATTGATTGAACACGCAAGTTGGAGAAAAATAAGTAGTAACACAATTCAAAGAACTTTTAACTACATTTTTTAAAAAACTCTATTTAAATGCTGTACTCATTAAAATACCTGTTTATTTTCTTGATACGTACATGTCATGGAATAACCCCGTAATTTTGTATGATTCAGTCTAAATACAATATAATTTAGCTGTGTCTATATACCCCATCGACCTATAATCCCAAAATTACGGTAATTTCTTTTTCATTTCCGGAATTCTCCTGTGCGGCAATTCAATGTTTTCTAAGTAAAAGTAAATGGAATTTTAAAAGTGTTTATACCAAAATATTAATAAAAAACAACATCTTTACATATATGGATATATGTAGCACTAAGTCTAGGTAAAAGAGCTCAGTGAGCATAAAACTTTTTCACCACATTTAATGTACCATTCATGTACTTATGTCCCAGTCACTGATAGATTTACAAAATTGGATTACAATGATTTATTTATGATTTATTCCTTTAAATTGTTCATAAGTAAAGATATCAAATCTGTTACTATAGGTACTACTTATGTATTTGAAAAATGTCGGAAATGAAAACAAGAAAATGTCGGAAATGAAAAGTTGATAATTACCTAAAATTCCGGAAATGAAATGCAGCCATTAGTTACTCATTTGATATTTGTAGGTTAATTCAGGTGATACCAAAGAGTTATTTCCCCTGGGCAGTAAGCAACAAGAACCAATTATAGCTCGTTTAGATGAAGACAGATTAATGTTAGGGCGGGATGAGGCATCCATTTTAATTGACTCTGATGGCAACCCAACTCAAAGATATCCCATAAACTGGTCAGATCTCCCTGTTCAAATAGGTAAGAACTATAGAACAACCAGACTGGAAGTTTTCAATTCCTTGACATGAACAATTAAGCTCCAGCATCATTGTTTGTATGATTCAGTCAAATACAATATAATTTAGCTCTGTCTTCCTACATACTTGCATTACGTAATTTAAGGAAACATTTTGTATGTTTTTAGCGATTCCATATTTAGATTGTTCTTAATGTGCAGGTGACCTTTTGCTATTTCATTATTTCACATTTCTAAACCTTCTAACATTTTCAGCTCTTTTCTCTTAAAATATTTACTGGTACAATGTAGCTACTTACACAACTTTTTCACATTAGCATCTTTGTATGAAGAGGAAAAAACTGGTTATTTTCAAGCTCCCATACTTTTAAATATATAGAACACTATGCATACATGTATGTTATCAATTACATTGAACAGCTGCCTAAATCACAAAAACTTTTTATTCCAGAGAACAACCCACCTTATGTCATTGCTGTTTTACCAAAATATGTGGAGGTTCGAACTGTGGAGCCGCGACTGATGATTCAGAGTGTATCACTGCCAAAGGCTCACACCATATGTCAAGGGAGGTAATGCCACTCAGTACACATAACTAGCATCACATAGTGTTATGTGGTCTACTGATGAGAAAAATACCACATTTCTTTGAAGCAGTATTCATTGACATTTTTTTTATTTTCAGTGGCCATATTTACATTTCATCACCTACAAATGTTTGGAAACTAACACCAAGACCATTATCTTACCAAATTAAACAACTCCTGGAAAGTAAAGAATTTGAACTAGCTTTGAAATTGGCGGTAAGGACAGACTCTTAATTCTCTTCAGTACAGTAAAACTCTGTTATAACAAAGTCACTGGGACATATGAAATTACTTCGCTATATCCGTAATTCATTATATCTGTAAGGAATTCTTTTATATTTATAAAGCTTGGGGATCTAATATAACTTTGCTATATCCATGAATTCGCAATATCCGTGTTCGTAATAAACAAGTTTTACTGTATCTGTTTTCCAAGTGACAAGGGACTTGAGTACATGTATATTACTGATGATTTATGGTGTGATACTGATAATTACTGATGATTTCTGGTATAGTAATGATTTCTGGTGTAGTACTTATATTTACTGATGATTTCTGGTGTAGTACTTATAATTACTGATGATTTATGGTGTAGTAATGATGATTTTTAGTGTAGTACTTATAATTACTGATGATTTCTGGTATAGTAATGATAATTACTGATGATTTCTGGTTAAGTACTGATAATTATTGATGTTTTCTGGTGTGATATAGATAATAATTTATGATTTCTGGTGTGGCACTAGTCTAATAATTCTGCTGTGTTACTGATAATAACTGATGATTTCTGATGATCATTTACAGGACATGACAGAAGACAAAGCAGAGGAGAAGGATATACTCATACACAAAATCAAGACTTTGTATGCTTTCCACCAGTTCTGTCAGCACAAGTTTGAGGAATCAATGGCCATCTTTGTCAAACTTGGAACAGGTAAGAGGTCGGGTAACTGATAGAAAATTCAAGAATTAAGTTCATTTATACATGTTGACTAAAAACTGTTGATTTTTTTCTAAATTGTGGAGAGCTTTTTTCTCTTCTTTTCTCTCTCTCTCTCTCCATTTTTTTGGAAAGATATTCCAAGCCCAAGATTCCATTATGAATATATATAGTATAAAGTTTATTCACACTCTGTACCATCTCTGGATGAAATCTCTAGTACAGACATCTCCAATGCTTATTTTAATATAAATGTTGTATTTGTAGATCCTTCCCATGTCATAGGTCTGTACCCAAACCTGCTCCCCCAGGAGTATAGGAACCAATTAAGTTATCCTGAGAAACCCCCGGACTTAGAGGGAGGGGAGCTGGAGAAGGCATTACTCTCATTACAGGACTACCTCACAATGGTAAAGGCCATGTACAGTCTCTTAATTCAAGAAATGTAGTGGAATTTATTATTATTTGAAGTTAGAGGGGAATGTGGAAGCAGTGAGTTCATGCATTTATTGTTTCTTTAGAGATATTATTGTATTGTATTGTAAGGATACAAAACTCAACAGACCCTTTCTCCAATATGTGTATTAGTGAAAAATTTATTATAGAACTAAAATCTTTGATGGAACCATTTTGAATTTAACTAAATAAATGCTAGCCTCCTCATCTACACATATAATCATAACCCTTGACTTACTATTTTTAAAATGTTGACATTTTTTAATGGTGTTGTGTTTTAACAGAAAAGAAAGGAAGTTTTGAAGGACATTAGTAAAGAGATAGAGACCACCGCCATTAAAGAGGGAAACATAACAATCAAATCCAAAAGACAGCTGAGTCAGATCATAGACACAACCTTACTTAAATGTTACCTTCAGGTACAGTCGCCTGAAATAGTCATGTCTATTGCAGTTTATTGTAGTTCTATAGGTTTGTTTTATGTGTGATTTGTGAAATAGATGTAATACATTCTTAATTTGTTATCTCAGACTCAATTTGATAGGGTAAAACTCTGAGATATCCAAGGATTTGAGAAATGGAGGTAAAAAAAAAATATGGAAGAAAAAAGCAGTTGAGACATTCAACTCGCTTTCAAATTGACATACCCATGTTTTTGGGATAACTGATGTTTGAAATTCTGAAGTTCAACTTAAATAAATGTGAATTAGATTAATGCTTGAATGTCTACTTTCAATTTTGTTTATCAGACAATAATTTTGATTTCATGCTATTCTGTGTGATTTGTTACAGACTAATGATGCCCTTGTTGCGCCATTACTCCGACTGAAGGACAATAATTGTCACGTGGAAGAAAGTGAGAAAGTACTCAAGAAAAAGGAGAAGTTTAGTGAGCTCATTATCCTGTATGAAAAGAAGGGTTTACATGAGAAAGGTTTGTGTTCTGGTTTAAAACATCCTTGCTAATCCTGATTGAAGGACTTTCAGAGTCATTTTCAAATGCTCACGGGTGATACTCGGCTTTCAATTGACCTTTGAACAATGAAAATATCATTTGTTTTCCTGATCAATTTACAAAGTTTGAAATGATTTATTTAAAAGAAGCTTTGGATATTTTTCTATAACTCTCAAGCTGCAGAAAGTTGTAAAGAATTTTACAAATATTTTCCTTATTTATTTATTTTTTTTACAAAATTGTTCTTTCTCTTCTTTTTTGAATTGCTTCTATGGACTTAATTCTAAATTAAATATTTTCAAATCAATGTATGAAAACATGTACATTTGTGAATGCTGATTTTTTTTTCATATTTCATTAGCTCTACAGCTTCTCATGAAGCAAGCTGCCAGACCAAATTCTCCATTGAAAGGCCATGACAGGACAGTGCAATATCTCCAACATTTAGGTACAGTGGATATACAAAAACATCTGGATAAAAGTTCCTTCCAGAGTATTTCAGTTATATGGAATGGTTAACTTTTACTTGTATTTTATCATTGCAGGTAGGGAGCATTTAAAGTTGATCTTTGAGTATGCAGAGTGGGTATTAAAGGAACATCAAGAAGATGGACTCAAGGTAGGTTCCTTATCTGTGAAGAGAAAGGTTCAGTTAAGGAGGTTTCATGTGAAGCAGCTGATTTTTGCAATAGTTAATCCACGAAATAATTAAAGGGAAATGTTACACTGAACCAATTTATATGGAGCTTCTAAAAAAAAATACGTACACTGTATATAAGCCGGTCCAGAGAATTTTTGTTCAGACTTTCTTTCACTGATTTTCTTTACAGATTTTCACAGAAGATTTGCCTGAAGTAGAGAATCTTCCAAGAGAAGAAGTTTTAAATTATTTAGAAAGGATTAACAGGGATTTAGCAATTCCATACCTTGTAAGTGACAGATGTTGCAAATATTGAAACTGTGCTATGGTTATTTCATATACTGGTTTAACACAATGATATCTATCAATAATGATATGGTCCAAAATGGCTTCAACACATTGCAGTTTCATATTATGTAAAAATGCCATTATCTGTTGTTTGTCATTGAATTGTGCTTTTCATTTCAAGGTATGCTTCAATCTTAAGCTTATTCTGATTAAACCGGTTTTACTCTATTATTCTGCAATTACAGATTGTTTAAGTATCTAAATGGTCTACCAGGGGATTGAATCTTAAATATTCTATTTCAATTGATTTATGGGTATTTTCTTTTCAAGGAACACATTATTTGGAAGTGTGATGATGAATCTCCAGAATTCCACAATAGATTAGCTCAGTTACTAGGGGAGAAGGTTCAGAAACTCATGCAGGAATATTTACAGGGTCTTCCAGAAGGTAAGAATAAACATTTCTTTGTCATCTTGGTTTTTCTGTGCTCACTGTTAACCAACAGTTGGGATTAACATATTGGAGATTTTATTTAGGTCACATTCCCAGCAGGGCTGGCATGGAACCAGGTGAACTAGGAGAGGTACGTAGAAGACTTCTGAAGTTCCTAAACCAGTCGGAGTTCTATGTCCCAGAAAGACTGCTTACAAAGTTTCCTCTTGATGGTATGAATTACAATGCAGTCAGTATTCCTTTGTCTGATACTGTTATAATTTCTTTTTTTGATATACATGTAATTATTATCTATTGAGTGTGAAATCATCTTTGTTCAGGGAGGACCAATATTTGCAGATATCCTAAGTCACTTTATCCCATGTTAACCCCTTTATCCCGTGGATATGACTCATTGGATATTTTTTTGAACTCCCACGGTTGTGACTTAACAATGGCTTTTGCATTAGACTGATGAAGTAAAATATCAAGGAGTCTTACATAAAATCAGTGAAAAAACATTGATTGTGATGTGTAAAACATGGGATAGAATGATTCCCCCATGATTTGTAGTTGGACATGATTTTTATCTAACGTGTGTGTTTTTATTTCCGAACCAAAGCCTGGGGATGAAAAACACACAACTCTTTGGATAAAATACATATACATGTATAACTACAAATTATGGGAGATCCTATATATAAATGTGGATGAATATCCCCACAAATGGTAGTTTTGTTTATATATTGGTTCATTAAATGACTGTATGCCTGTCAGTTATACACATGAAATGAAGTCATTAAATGTTGAAACCTCCCCTTTCATTCATAATTTCTCCAAAGCATGCCCAGATATAGATGCCTCAGTATGGGTATTTAAGTAGGAAGAAAATATTCATTAATCTATTAAATTGTGATTAATGCTGGAATCTGCATATTTTTAAACAGTGACTATTTTTTAACAGGATTCTATGAGGAGAGAGCCATTCTGTTAGGTAGGCTGGGCAGACATGAGCAGGCACTAGGAATCTATGTCCATATCCTTCATGATGTTCAACTTGCAGAAGAGTATGATACAATAAGTTTCTATTGAAAGTCAGTCTTTACAATATGTTCATGTTTACTTGTACATGTATATGTTACAAAGTTATCATCTCCTCAACTTTGTCAAAAATATATCAATTGTATGTAAAGGACAACATACATGTAGGTCATGTATTGGAATATTGTAAAGATTGCTATTGAATATGCATGTATGAACATATCACAAAAGAAGGTTGTGTACCACATAAACATATGACTTAGAAAATAGTTGCTGAATCATACATTAGTTGTATACAATCTTGAATTTTATATTGCAGACATTTTTAATTGTTAGACTTTTTATTACAGATATTGTAAAAAGTACTACAGAAGAGATAAAGAAAGCCAGAGAGATGTAAGTTATAAAAAATTTTATTATGACAATTATCAAGATGAGGGCATTATAATAATCAATGTATCCATTTTTCTATCTGTTAGTTACTCTGAAACATGTTCATGTGAAGCAATAACTCAAGTAGTTTTAAATGGAAAAAATGTCACATTCAGTATGTATACACAAATAGCATTATAACAGTAGGACTGCAAAAGGCTTAGAGTTCACTTGAGCAAAGATCAAGGTAAAAAAGTCAAGGTCATATATCATTGACAACTTATTTATAAGATGCAGTATCTCATTTTTAGCTCACCTCAATGTAGCTAAGAAGAGCCTTTGCTAAACTCATGGTGTAGCTAGGTGACTGCATCCAGGCTAAGATTTTACACATGTAGAAACAAATTCTCTCCCCCCCCCCCCCCCAAAAAAAAAACCCTACCTGGAGCAAACATGTTCTGATGATGATGCATTTAGGGATGTACATTATCAGACTTGTTTTAGATGCTGTTTCTGACCTACATTTTTTTAAAGAGTTATAAAGATGTTAGCTATTGGAACAGATCCCATTTCCAAGTACTACAAGCCCTTCCTGGGCCATACTTGCATGGATGATGCATTTAGGGATGCAGACTACCAGACTTGCTGTGGATGCAGCATTTGACCTGCATTTTCAAGAAGAGTGACCAGGTTTTCAAAGGAGGTCATTGCCAAAGTAACTGTAAGGCTTACCCTGGAGCATTGATGTTGCATGTAGAAATGCATACTTTCAGGCTGGCCTCAGATGATTCATCAGACCCACATAAAACAGGTAAAGGATGTGGATACCTGCCTTTGGATTCTGCTATTCTGGATGAGTGGGTTCTTTCAAAACTAACTACATGTACATGTATAAACATTACATGGACCAAACGTCCAAACCTGCTTTAATCATGCATTCAAGGATTCACAGACGGGAATGAGATGCTGATTTCTGAAATAATTAATGGGTTACAGTTACCAGAACATTAACTTGACCACTTTACGTTTTGTTAGCTCACCTCGATGAAGTCAAGATGAGCTAATGCTATACCCCCGGCGTTGGCGTCCCAGTTAAAGTTTTAGGAGCAGGTCTATTCCCAAGTAACTGTAAGCCCTACCCGGACCAAACTTGCATGAATGATGCATCTAGGGATGGACACTACCAGACTTGCTTCTGATGCTGGATGTGACCTACATTTTCCAGATGAGTGACCAGGTTAAAGTTTTAGGAGCAGGTCCATTCCAAAGTAACTATAAGCCCTACCTGAACCAAACTTGCATGGATGATGCATCTAGGGATGGACACTACCAGACTTGCTTCGGATGCTGGATATTACCTACATTTTCCAGATGAGTGACCAGGTTAAAGTTTTAGGAGCACTTCCATTACCGAGTTACAAAAAGCCCTATCTAGACCAAACTTGCATGGATGATACATCTAGGGACGGACACTACCAGACTTGCTTCGGATGCTAGATGTGACCTTCATTTTCCAGATGAGTGACCAGGTTAAAGTTTTAGAGAGCAGGTCCATTCCCAAGTAACTATCAGTCCTATATGGACCAAACTTGCATGAATGATGTATCTAGAGATGGACATTACTAGACTTGCTTCGGATGCCGGATCTGACCTACATTTTCCAGATGAGTGACTAGGTTATTCCCAAGTAACTATAAGCCCTACCCGGACCAAACTTGCATGGATGATGCATCTAAGGATGGACAATCGAAACTTGCTTTGGATGCTGGATCTGACCCACATTTTCCAAACGAGTGACGAGGTTCAAGTTTTTGGAACAGGTCAATCCCTAATGAACTTTAAGACCTATTTAAACAGAACTTGCTTGAATATTGTTGTCAGAACAAATACTAACTGTTAAGAAAATATGATGTGAGATTTACATTACCTAAACTGATAACATTTGTCGAGGTGAGCTTCGTAATCTTTGATTACCTATGTTTCCTCTTCTAATTCTTGCTGAGCTACCCCATACACCCACCCTTCAAAAACGGGAAGCAAAATATACAATTTGTCATTGAGAAAACTATGTCTTGAAAATTTTCTTTTCTATTTGTAAGAAAATGACATAAAATCAATTCCGTGTTCTGATATTGGAAATCCTCCAATTGAATACTGAGTGAGTAGACATGTACATTTATATTTTGATAAATGTCTATTTCAGGTGTACTTTTATTTACTGAAAATGTACCTGGATCCCCCCTCTCCCTCCACACTAGGTCTGTCAGCCAGTCAGGGTATTGTCCCCAAACCCAACATGGAGGCAGCCCTAAGATTAATGAAGGAACATGCACCAAAGATTGACACCAGCAAGGTACTGTCAAAACGTTTATCAATGTATCAGTCCTGAATAGAATTAAAAAAAAATTTGTCAAATCTTTTATTTTACGATAAATGAATCCTGTCAGAATCTTACCGTTTCCATATTTTAAATTTGATCTCTGATTTTATGCATAACAGAATATAAAATTCTATACAGATATACTGTTTCATTTTCTATCAGTCTATGTACAGTGTTGGTTTTCCATTTATTTTTCAACAGTCACTGGAACTTTTGCCGTCAACAACTAGAATGTCTGACATCTTAGCTTACCTCGAAAATGTGATGGAACATCAGGCCATGATCAGGAGAAAGAACCAGGTCCTCAAAAGCATGCTGTATGCTGAAAATCTCCAGGTACTGAAGGCTACAAATCATATTTTATTTTTTAGTATTTTTATGAGAATTAACTGTCTTAAAAAATAATTTCTTGTCAATGAAAGGACTTTGAAAAGGAAATTTTCCCTGTGCTTGAAGTACATGTATAGATAATAAATCAAAATCAAGCCTCACCAATGAATATAACAAAAATAAATTTTTTTGAAAAGTTGCATGAAATAAAGGTGATTTAGATTGATATAACTTCATTCATTTGATTTTGCTAGGGGGATAGGGTTTATTTACACCTGCTTTTTCTGTCAGATGCAAAAGTTTTGTTTTTTATCCCAGGTTCATGAGCAGAGAATGTTCTATGAAAAATGCAAGATTACAATCAACGACGAAAAGATGTGTCGAGTCTGCAAGAAGCGCATTGGAAACAGGTATACAAATAATCTACTCTGGTGAACAGTGCCACATGAAAGATCATGTTTTGAATGCATTAAAATGTAATTTCAATGTTGTCACAATTAAAATTGTTAATACTTACACATGTACATGTATATCAGAAAAAAACAAGATGTGTTTGTGAAACACTATGCACCCGGCGGCAACAAAGTTAAAAAAACATTTTTAGCATATACACATGTAGGTTACAGTCAAAGTCACAAGGTCATTGATCTTGGTGTCATTTGAAAGAACTTGAGAAGTGAAGTATGCATACCACATATGAAATCTCTAACTCTCATGGTTCAATAGTTATGGTGAAGGTTCTAAAAAGCTATTTTTAGCATATATGACACAGTCAAGGTCACAAGGTCATTGACCTTGGTGTCATGTGAAAGGCTTAATATGTGAAGTATACATGCCAAATATTAAGTATACATGCCAAATATTAAGTCTCTATCTTTCTTCGTTCAAAAGTCATGGCAAAGGTTAAAGTTTGCCGACAAAAAAACTATATTTAGCGTATAGTCACATTTAAGGTCACAAGGTCATTGACCATGGTGTCATTTAAAAGAGCTTAATCAGTGGTGTATGCATACCAAATATGAAGTCTCTATCTTTTACGGTTCAAAAGTTATGGCGAAGGGTCAAGTTTGCAGAAAAAAACTATTTTTAGCATATAGGTCACATTCGTGGTCACAAGGTCATTGACCTTGGTGTCATTTGAAAGAGCTTGATAAGTGGAGTATGAAGTTTCAACCACTCATTGTTCAAAAGTTATGGCAAAGGTTAAATTTTGCAGACAAACCGACAAACAGACAGACAGACAGACAGGACAAAAACGAAAAATATACGCATTGGAAACAGGTAACTAATGTTCTACTCTGATGAAAAGTGCCACATGAAGTATCATGTTTTGAATGCATTTAAATGTCATTTAAACACATTAAAATTGTATTTTTAAAAAAGATATTGCAGTGGTTTTTCTTTCATTTCAGTGCCTTTGTAAGATATCCAAATGGAGTCATTGTTCATTACTACTGTTGCAAAGACTTCAAGGAATGTCCTGTTGATATTTGATGATAAGAGAGAGGGAAAACAGCTGACTATAAACTAACTCCATGTGATGTGATATATTTGATAAATATACAAGCTTATTTAAACCATACACATGTTAGGGCAATTTGTTCTTATTTTTTAACTATGGAAAAAAAAAGTTAATGGGATATTACATGTATGTACAAAAGATGTCATACTTGACCCAAAGGCAAGTGTTAGTTATATGTGGTGCATACGAGACTCAAAAACTGTTGTTATTGTTTTCTTTATCAGACTGCTTTCAGTATTGATTTACTAACCTGCATTATTGTGATCATAATTTATGTCATATTCAAAACAAAAATCTGCCAGTAATTAGGGAATTTATCTGCAGTCATGATGTTTACATTGTTACTTGTATGAAATGTAAACGTATTTATATCAAGGTTGAACTTGCTTTTAATGCATTGTTTGTTATATTTTTATGAAATGCTTATGTATTAAATACATGTACAACATTAACAAAATGTTGATCTTTATTTGTTTTTATAGCTCTGCTTGTCTTGGACTACAATAGCTGAGCAAATTGGGTCTTCTTTATTCTACTATTTATCTAGCAGTCTGCCCATCCTGTAATTTTTTTTTCAAGCATTCTTCCAAAGGTGGAATAATAAAAGAAAGGTAAAAATGCAGTCTTTGACCTTGAAGGCACAAATTACTCAGTAACTGGCCCCATCATGACTTACTAATTTACAAATAACCTGAACAAGACCCCCATACTAGGCACCAAATTATGCAGAAAAGGAGGAATACCGAAGAAAATATATGGCTGAAGTGAGATTCAAACCAGGATCCCAGAATTATTCAGATGCTCTACCACTGCATCACCTAGGCCAATATTCAGTTCATATAGCCTGAACTCATGCAGTATATTCTGAAAATATTCTTTAAGAACTGCAACTGCAAGGTCATATAATTTGGAAGCATCCTTTGGTAGCATAGATTCACTTTTTGTTCAAATCATGACCCCTGTATATATAAAAGGGGTCACAAGTCTTTAAAATGTTAATATAGGAAATCTTGTATTAAGGAGGGGATGGTCTTGTGCAGAACGCTGGCTAAAGCAAGTCAGGTAAGCATCATGGCCCATATGCCTATATAGTTTAAATTGAGTCTGAAGAATTATAGTTTGACAAATGTTTTCAAAAAACTTGAACCAGAAGTTTACTTTTATATTTTAGGAATTGATACATAATATGTAAAATTTTAATGAAATGCTATAAAAGTTACCCAAAAAATTATATCCTGCAAATATTGTAGTTATTGACTGGGTAGATGTAATTTATTAATTTATTGCAAACTTAATAGAAGCTGAAAATGTTGGGCTTAAAATGTTAACATATGTATCTATGAATAAAAAAAATTATACAACCCAAATTGCAGTTTTGTGTTTATTTTATTTATATGCTCATAATACGATTGATCAATTTTTACCTAAAAAATTTATATGGAAAATTATGTGTTCTTCACCTAAATATATAACATCAATGAGAAAGATTAGTATTGGCTTTAAATCTGTTTAACGTCCCTCTTGAGATTTTTCAAACAATAAAAATATGATGCCGGTGAAGGTCTTTCAAAAAAACATTCGGAACAAGGGCGATATTTCAGTTGCAATTACATTTATTCGTTGGTTGAACCTATTTGACAGGACTTGTGCATTTCCAAAAGAAATCAATGAAATTACGTGCATTTTTCACTAAAAATCTAGTGAAAGAGCCCATTTCTAAGGAGAAACAAAATTGTTTGATCCACCCATTCATTTCAATATTCATGCGTCTCTTTGACAAGAACAAAATCAATTATATATCTGGGAAAATGTATCAAAAAATTTTGTAATTAACCGATTACGGCATTGATTAATCAACAGATAAAATGTGCATTAGTAAAAAGACTATAATTTCTTACATCGGACTAAAACCACGGATATTAAACGTTGAATTAATTATTTTGGGTATTTTCAGAGTAGCAACCGAAAATAATGTATGTACCGCACGGTATCTGCACGGGAAATTGTTAGAGAAATTAACAGTTCGAAAATACTTTTTACAAGTAATAAATATATAGAATGATATTTATAAGGGTATAACAAATCTCTTTTTTATCTGAATTTTAATTATTTATTTTTATTATTCTCTGCATTAGAGAAATTATACATTTTAACTACACATGTGTTGTATATTATGGTACAGTACCATTTTTGACATTTGACGAAAACGTTGATGTCTATTTTTAGGTGTGAAAATGACATCATTTGTTTTCGCACTACTTCCCAGATATTCATACGCTCAGACGGCTTCGTCTGCATAGCAAAATATGTACTTCGCGCAAAAATATGTATATCAAATAGTTTTCAATTATTTTTACGTTTTCATAAATACTTGTTAAAGTAAGATTAATGAATTTTCTTGTGGTTGCATATATTACAAATAAAACCTAAAAAACTTTACGGACTACTTTTTACATAATTAAACAACAGAATCGGCCGGGTTGGGTTCCCGCAATCTTCAGCAGCCAGGACCGGTAGCCTTGCATTTTTGATAAAGAAATATTGGAATTTGTATTTGATTTCACAAAAAGAGAATTATAACAAATAGAAATCGGTAAGTAGTAGCTGGATCAGTTAATTTAAATGTACGATTGAACATTGTACAAGTAATGTATATTTTGGTCTGAAAGTTGGTTCAACATGGCGCGTTGCGTTTATTTGAACTTCAAAATATTGAACATCATATCAATGTTTACCTTTAAAATTTGGCATTTGCTAGTATAAGTACATTATGAACTTGGAATGTGCTTAATTTATGTCAGAACGTTCGATATTAATTAGGATTCTATGATTGAATGTGTGATCTTTCCCTTCGACCTTGCAGCAGAAATGATGCCTCAACGTCATATCAGTTCCATTTTGCTAACATTATCGATCGATTCCCGCATTGGCTAATGCATTAGTGAATATACTGTGCACCCATTTTCATTAATAGTGCAATTAATATGGTGTTCTATTATTTATAAATTGTAAGTTGATGTGGTGGTCCAGGTCAGTGGTACATGTTCATAAAATCATGTTGATGAATGTGTGTGATCTATTTGAACCATTTGAATTTGTTCCACTTAGAAAATTTCAACTCAAGTTCATGATCATGAATGTTTGTAATCTACCAATATTTGGATATTATTCCACCGAGAAAATGTGGTTATGTTTTTCTATGCCTGAATCATATGTAATTAAGTGACTGAGCATCACCATGATCACTGGCTTGCACTCGGTCTCTATCATAATGATCATACTCAATGTAGCTGTTTCAAAATCCATTGAATATGAAATAGATTCCTGGAAGAGAATAAATTATCTGCAATAGTCAGTCATAAGTTTATCCATTTCAGCTTGTACTTTTTGAAGTTTTTCAGTTTGACAACAAAACATTACACAGCACTGTCGAAAGCCATGCTGCCATTAAATTTTCAGGATATTTAAAACAGTTGATGAAAATGGTTATATGATGTTTAATTGTTGGAATGTGTGTTGTTATACTACCAAATCCAGATTTTTTCACTTATAAAGAGACATGACCATACCCTGTTGAAGGTCTTCAAATTTAGACCTATACTTGATACTTAGGGATATTGAGCAAGAAGTTTCTTTATCATGACTTGAGACCTCAAATTTTAAGCCAAAATAAGGTCTCATCAAAGTCAAAGACTTTCATAAGTGCCAGTTGCTTGGTGAAGAAACTGGGCATCCCTCTGATCAAGTGGATTCAGTACCACATGGCTATTATAATTGGTTTATAGATCTTTGAAGTTTGGTCTTGCTTAATGAAATAAAATAATTGGTGATGTGTATGTATTACTCAACTAAATGCTAAGGTTGCATGCATGTTTTTTCTGCAACCTAAAAAGAGGAGAGAAAAAATACAATTTCCCAAGTTACTCTAATTTTGAGGAAAAGACAAATTTGCTTGGTTGGAAGAAAAAATAGCCATCAAATGACAGGATTTTTTGTTGTACTCTTAATTGGAAATTGAGCTAAATGATTCATATGTTGTGTGGCACCTTTGTTTACTGATAAATCAATGATTCTAAAAGTCTGTGTACACAACATCGATTAATAAACAGTCTGTTTTAGTTATATGGCTAACTTTTGCCTCAAGTAATTGGCAAAAATCTGAGGAGGGAAATGGTCAATATTTGCAGACTACAAAATTATTTATGTTTGCATTCACATCTGAACCATAGATCCTTGTTTTTATTTAATTCAAGAATACTTGCACTTTTGATACTTCTCCAAGAATCTGTGCCGTTTGGCTTTCATTCAGGAGAATGAATCAGACTTGAAATAATTGATCAGAGATTTTGATAAAACTGTGTCTCAGAGCTTTGTGCATTGCAGTAATAACTTGGTAAATATTACTTGTTGCTCATTGTCATAATGAAGATAGATGAGGATAAGCTTTAACTCTGGGAATTTATTGTGGTGGGTGACTGTGTGCTAAGTGTGTAGTGTACTGTTTGCAGATGTTGGGAGCTCTGTGTGAAATTTGACCTGATGGTAATTAGCTCTGCAGCCATCTCTATCTTTCCCCCTTTCTGTGTACAGTGTGAGGTGTTGTGCTAGCTGCTGAGGATGTTTCAGGGGAAGGATTCCTCTCTTCTATTAGTTCGTGATTCATTCTGAAGAGGTGGATATAAACCCAAATTTATAATTAATTTTTGAGGAATTACTATTTTTATCATTGAACTTTTGATACCTTTCCCCTGAAGCAGTAAGTTGAGTTATATTTTTTCACCAAAAACTGTTCACATTAGTTATGAATATTTATAAATGTAGTTAATATATTAAGGGTTGTATAAAAAATTGCTTTTATAATTTTTATCAGTTTAAGTGTCTGCTTAATGAACCTCTTTATATGAATGAGTTATATAGTACATCTGTATTGAATGTAATGATGTATTGAATTACTACTGGAGAGGTTTTATAGACAGCACTCAAGTACTTATTTGATAATACAAATCCATATTTATCTGTGTTTTTAATTACATATATCAGATGCTGTTTTATCTATTCAGTGATTGTCGATCAGAAAATGAACATTTGCATTTGTCCTGAGCAGACATCTTCCCATTACATAATTTGCATACAATTATCTCAGGGTCTGTAGTGGCTTTGTGACTGAGGAGGGGACTATAATTGTGATAATTCTTATAATACATTGTTACTTCAGTGGTAGCTCTTTTAAAGAGGCAATTACAAGCAGTTATACATGCGGGATACAGGATTACATGTAAATGTTCTATAAGTGGATAAGTGCTACTTCTGTTATTACAAAGAGCATTGATCAGCAAAAAAACGAGGGAGGAAAAGGCGTTTCCTCATACATCACACACGTTTGATATCCTTTAATCTCCCCTCGGTGAAGTATTAATGTAAATTCATACTATCTGCATCCACATTCCTGATGTGTATTATTACATTCTGTCACACAATCCACGAAATACAGATCAATAATAATTCATTCTCTGTCGAACAGCAATTGTTGACAGATTGCTTTAAGCTTGATATATTTTTAAACTTGATGGGGGACTATTTACTGCACATTGTGCATATGAAACAAGGTGACTCATTTGTTTACATGGAAAATTTAACTTTCAGTTCTGTGCAAAATTTAAAGTAAGGTTTAGTAACATAAAAGAAATATATGTGTAACAATTTTTAGGAAGAATTTGATCAGTTCAGCTGTCACTGATGAAAAGGACTTTAGGAGTGTCTAAAAGTATTTAGGAGTGCCATATCTTTTTAAAAGGTTTTTAGCAGTTTGATGCTTTAACTGCCTCACTGAAAAGAATAAGAAACAACATATACCAAGTATTCTAGATCATTTGGATTCAATTACATATTTTGCTGTTTTGTAGGTCAGTTGTGGCCAGGCTAATTAGCCGCCATGACGGAGATAGAGCAGTATAGTAATGGAGTCCGGTGGGAGTCCGGAATGGAAGAGGATTTTGATCCAGGAAGTAATTCCTCCAAGCTGTTTGAAAGGTCAAGGATCAAGGCCTTAGCAGGTAAATTTCTTTAGTGCTAGTGATATAAAGCATTGCATTGCATTGATGATCAGATCATATGCAGTATCACTGCTTTTCATTCTGATTTTCATGTTCTTTAGATGTCATGAGAACAGAACTAAATTTCTCTGTGTAGTAGTTACATGTTTTTAAATTAGTACGAGTTAGACAACAAAACACCAGTGGGGTATTGTATTCTGATTTTTGCTGTTGATAGACTGCTTTGTTTGGATTGACCTATAATATACACAACATAAAAACAGTGTGCAAATAAACCTGGCAAGCACAGCTATTTAAACATCTCAAATATAGGTTAGCTTTCTTATTCATTGACAAATCAATCCCCTTTACCTTGTTATTACAGACTGATAAATTTAGATGTGCATTAAAGGTCAAGATAGTTTAATTTGGCTTAAAAGCATTTCCTGTTAACCTGTTTAATACAAATCTAAAAGAAGTGTTTTGTACACTTAGAAAGACTTTTTTTTCTTTTTATATGTTGTTTGACTTCATTTTCAGTTTGATATAGAATTATGAATGTATAATAAAAAAAGGTTTTGTGAAAAAACAGAGGAGAGTAATTATGAGCCTACATGTTGAAAATAAAAAAAATCTCTAAGTTTTAGAGTCATATTGCAATTTTGAAGAGTCAAGAATGTTTGAGTGTCTGAGAGATATTTGGTGTAGTAAATTAAGTAATGTGTCATATTTTGAATAGGATTTGTATTACAGTGTCAGTTCAGTTTTGAAAGGACTGAAAGTAGCTGATAGTACTTGGTCGTTTGACTCCTTACCCTTTAGAGGAGGGTGCTTAATGACTGTCATTTACATGTGTGAAGGAAGGAAGATGTATCTGGGCTGTTCTTCACACTTTTCCTGTTAAAAACACTTCACATCATATTACATTCCTTCACCCTATGGTAGATATGTAATACAAAGACCATTGTTTAGTATATTATGGTGAATAAGTATGATGGATACATTATATGGATAGCTAAAATTCACTGATGTGTCAAAAGAGAATGGAAATATGTTCTGTTTGATTATCGGAGGATCTCTGGGGTATCGTTCTGATATTTGATGTAGAAATGCGGAGACCATATTTTTTCTGTCAAGTGGTCTCTCTTTGATGGCTTGTTTATTGTCGGCAGCCATTATTAATAAACAATGTAGAGAAAATGTAATGAAATCTCATTAACATTAGAGAAATATATGCAAATAGTTCTGGTTATGATTAAGTTGGTCTGAATGGATTAGAAATGACCTCCTCCAATGTCACAGCAGAGATTCAAGAAAAGGAATTTTTCAAAATAATTAGAAAACTTACAGGTAATGATTAATGGGGTGAAAAGTATAACTGGTTTAAGGCATGTAACAGGATAGAAACACAAGCTGTTGGTTTGATGATGTATTTGCAGTCAGTGATCTCTGTTTTTAGAAGTGTAATTAAAGTAAGACTGTATTGGCAGTGTACATCAACACATTGGCTTCTGTTATGAAAATTGATACCAAAATTATTAAAAATGCATGAAAAATTGTAATGTATATTCTAATATTGGTTGCTCTAGATGTTAGCATTAAAGTAGGATGAAAGCATCAAAATGATGTCAAATACAGAATGCAGACTTTATAAATATTTTTTTTCTAATATGAAATGACCATCACATTTTAGATGAAAGAGAATCAGTTCAGAAGAAGACATTTCAAAAATGGGTGAATTCCCATCTGATTCGCATGAGCTGTCGTATCCAGGACCTCTACATAGACCTCAGAGATGGCAAGATGCTCATGAAATTGTTGGAAATTCTGTCTGGGGAAAGACTGGTAGGAAACAATCTAATTTTATCATAAATGTACATTTAAGAAAAATTTAGAAGATTTACTGTTGTGAAATAGAGAAAAACACCATGACTACATGTGAAAGTATAAAATGTTACATGTATTATAGTAATGTAGAAAAGATTAAAACATTGAATGTTTTTTTCTATTCAACCTTACATTTTACACTCAAAAAGAGTTGATTGGTACACAGTGTTTATTAAGCAGCAATTTCTAATTTAATCTTCATGAGAATTGTTTTACTGTAATATATGTATGTAGATACTAGAATATAAGTTGATCTGTTTGTTGCAGCCTCGTCCTACTAAAGGGAAAATGAGGATCCACTGTCTCGAGAATGTGGACAAGGCATTACAGTTTCTCCATGAACAGAAGGTGCACCTGGAAAACATGGGTGCTCATGACATTGTGGACGGTAGCCCTCGTCTGACACTAGGGTTGATCTGGACCATCATCCTTAGATTCCAGGTGAATCGAGATATTTCACTTCTCCATCTGAGTGGTGTTTCTAAAACATATTTCACCATTACTGACTTAGAGTGTAAAATAAAAAGTCTGATGTACTAAATAATTTTGATAGAGAGAAAACATGTTAGAAGTAGTAAATTTAGCTTTTTTGCCAAGTTCTACATCTAATATTCAGGGGTAATGAACTGTTTGCACTCAGATATGTTCACAATAATAAAGTTAATGACAGTTATTTAATGAACACCTTTATGACATTGTAGATCCAAGACATTACAGTGGAAGAAACTGACAACAGTGAGACCAAATCAGCTAAAGATGCTCTGTTACTGTGGTGCCAGATGAAGACTGCGGGATACCCTAATGTCAATGTTCGTAATTTCACAACAAGCTGGAGGGATGGCCTAGCTTTCAATGCTCTCATACACAAACACAGGTTAGACCACATTCTAGCCCATTTTATACAACACCTTAGGATTTAATTTGTTTTAAAGTACTATGTGTAGTTCAAATTTAGTGAGCAAGAAATTTTCTTGTTCAAAGTTGACATGTACTGTAGATCACCAAATATTTGTGACATCTTGTTTTCATGAGAAAATTATTTGGGTTTAAACAAATACCAACAAATTCTAGTTATTGTTGAATATAATCTTTGATATAAAAGATATATATGCAAGAATGGCTCTCTTATATATTACTGCCAAAATAAAGCTGTCGCAAAGAAAAAGTAATGTAAAGTACCTATATGTTTTGGGGTATTTGTATATGATGCTTTAACTACAAAGAATTTTGAATAGGGTTTTACTGGCAAAACACAACTTGTTTTCAATCATGGTTATGTTCTGTGTAGTCTGTTAGGCAAAGCAGCAGGTGGATTGCTCATTTCTGTTTTTTTTAGCTCACCTCAACGAAGTTGGGGGAGCTTATGTAATACCCTCGTCGTCGGCGTCGGCGTCGGCGTCGGTGTCGGTGTCGGTGTCGGCGTCCCAGGTTAAGTTTTTTGGAGCAGTTTTCTTTTTAAGTACTTCTATGTCCTATATTGATTAGACATGCATGGAAGATGCACCTAGTGTGTTTCATTGTACAAGTCAAAGTTTCAGATGCTGCAATTTCAGCAAAGGAATGACCAGGTTAATGTTTTTGGAGCAGGTTAACATTTTTGGTGCAGTTTTTGGTGTAGGTCTCATTTCCAAGGAAATATAAGCCCTATGTTGACCAAACTTGCATGGATGGTACATCTAAGGATGTACACTACCAGACTTGCTTCGGATGCTGAATCTGACCTACATTTTCCGGTTGAGTGAACAGGTTAATGTTTTTGGGGCAGGTCTCATTTCCGTGTAACTAGAAGTCCTATGTTGACCAAACTTGCATTGATGATACATCAAAGGATGTACACTACCAGACTTGCTTCGGATGCTGAATCTGACCTACATTTTCCGGTTGAGTGAACAGGTTAATGTTTTTGGGGCAGGTCTCATTTCCGAGTAACTAGAAGTCCTATGTTGACCAAACTTGCATTGATGATACATCTAAGGATGTACACTACCAGACTTGCTTCGGATGCTGAATATGACCTACATTTTCCGGTTGGGTGAACAGGTTAATGTTTTTGGTGCAGGTCTCATTTCCGAGTAACTAGAAGTCCTATGTTGACCAAACTTGCATTGATGATACATCTAAGGATGTACACTACCAGACTTGCTTCAGATGCTGAATCTGACCTACATTTTCTGGATGAGTGAACAGGTTAATGTTTTTGGTGCAGGTCTCATTTCCAAGGAATTATAAGTCCTATGTTGACCAAACTTGCATGGATGATACATCTGAGGATGCATACTACCAGACTTGCTTCGGATGCTGAATCTGACCTACATTTTCTTGATGAGTGAACAGATTAAAGTTTTTGGGGCAGGTTTCATTTCCAAGTAACAATGAGCCTATATGACTAAACTTGCATGGATAATACATCTTATGCATACTACCAGACTTGCTTCGGATGCTGGATCTGACCTACATTTTCTGGATGAGTGAACAGGTTAATGCTTTTGATGCAGGATTCATTTCCAAGTAACTATGAGCTCTTTAATGACCAAACTTGCATGGATGATACATCTAAGGTTACATTCTACCAGGCTGGCTTCAGATGCTGAATCTGACCTACATTTTTTTCTGGATGAGTGAAGAGGTTAAATTTTTATGCAGGTTTCATTTCTAAGTAACTATTAGCCCTATGTTGTGCAAACTCGCATGGATGATACATCTTAGGATGCATACTAATAGACTTGCTACGGATGCTGAATTCAACATACATTTTCCAGATAATGGACCAGGTAAAAGTTATGGGTGCAGGTCTATCACCAAGAAACTATAAGGCTTAAATAAACCAAACTTGCCCAATTGATGCATCAAGGGATGAAAACTCTTAAACTTGCTTCAGCTGCTGGATTTTGATCACATTTTCGTGATGAAGAACTAGTTTGAAGTTTTTATATAGGTCTATTCCAAAGTATCAGATCAAAATTGCATAAATTTTGCATTTTTGGATGTACACTTTTGTTGGGTAATTGTGTGACTTTGCCTTACTTAAAGACAACATTCGTTGAGGTGAGCTCTGTAATCTCTGATTACCTATGTTTTTTGTAAGTGATGATGTGTCAGATAGCTAGCCTGGCCATGTTCAGTAAACTTGATCTGTAGACCATTGCACCAAATCAAATCAATAAAAGGAAAAGCCTTTACAGTCAGGTGCTGGAGATTTGTATTGAAATGTAGGCCAATAGGGATAGGTACAGTTGTAAAAATAACTTATAATTACTCTGAATTGTTCTATTGGGAATTGATATTTAGGACACTAAATTGGTATTGATCTAACAGAAAAGAGTACACAACCAATGCTCATATCATTATGGAGATACATGCGGAGATATGTTAATTGTGTATTTATCTGTAGCACTTTCATATGAATGGGATTTTGGGAGATGGCATTAATACATGTTATCTACAGATCCATGCATATGGCATGGCAGATTTTCAAGATAATTTTGTAGAATTCTCTTTTTCGATTTAAACAAGAATGCAGATAGGAAATACTTCAGTTTCTAGACAAAACAAACTGTCGTTTCAGATGAGCATTGAATGTCAGTTGCTATGACTAATATGTATCAAGTGAACTGAACAGACAGGTTTTTTTGTTAGATACTTAAGGTAAAAAAGGGAGTAAAACTTGCATATATTTTAGTTTTCCTATTGGTGTTGTCATTTGGCAAAGTATAAAAAAAAAAAATTGCAGACAAAAGTCAAAGCTTTTGGTATTATTGCCTCTGGATAGAGTACATAATTCACAAAGCATTGTATTGATTTTGTTACTGCAACAGGAATGCAGATCAGTGTTGGAGTACATTTTTCCTAGAGTTGTGAAAACATCTTTCGTGGTCTGGATATGTCTCCCCGGTATACAAGATATTGCACAAAAAGTTATGACTGCACCTTGGCAAGCTTCCTACATATTCTTATGTGAAGTGCTGAATTTGCTAAGAATAGAAAAAATATGGATGCTCCCTCACTAGTAACTGGTGAATCATGACTGGTCATAATCAGCCCTACAGGCATAAGCTTGTTCAGACTCAAGTCAATAAAACCAGTCATACCAGCACTCAAGGTGAAAGATCAGCACAGATTTTTATGAATTAGATTACATACTACATTATTGTAATGGAGGCTAATTTCATGCTTACAAGAGTTGTTTTTTATTTGAATTTTTTTGTTATTGTGTTATCTGGTTTATCACAGTTATTGAAAGGGGTTCTCTATGAAATGAAATAAGAAATCTTGATTTATTTTTGAAAGGGAGAATTGTGTGTTTACATATGACTGATTTATTATTAATCAGACCACTCCCGAAAAAGCCAGCAAATATATGTTGCTACATCTTGTATTATCTGTGGAATGCCTCTTATCTGAAGCACTTGTTTTTGTTGGAGTGAGAAAGATAGATTCAGCATTTGGCACATCCGGGTTACAGATCACAGAAAACAGAACAGAATAAATTATGTCTTAACAGTGATACAAATGGCTGAATTACAGGGTCTACATAATGCTGAATTGATTGGGTGTATGTTGGTGTTTGTTTTATGTTGGATGATAAGTTTTCTAGTTCTTCCCTATAGGTAGATGTTTATCATTACCACCTGGTGTATGGCTCCTAGAGTTTGGTACTCTGGAATGTCAGCCTTAGCTATAGTGTAAAGCCTGTTTCTGTGGTAACAGGTTATGAAGTTTATTTCTTGAGGTATTAAGATCTTGACTTTAAGGTTAATATAGATCTCAGAATGTGTTATATTCGATAAGTATTTTAGGGGGGGGGGGCTTTTTTTTTAACTGGAGGATATAAGATTGAGAGGTAAACATTATATAAATTTTAAAAAGGATTTGTGGTATACCAAGTGCACCATGGGAGGTTTTATCAAGTAACAGAAAATAATTTGTCTCAAGTTCCATTTTTTATCTGGTTAACCTAACATAGTTTACCAGACATTTAATAAATGCAATCCAGATGGTAGAAAATTCCATCTTACATTACACTAATGTTTACATTGTGAGATGACCCATACCAAGTCATTATCAGCTTTCAGGCTCCTATTCAGTTTGCCAACACCCAAACCTCAAGTAGACTATTTACCGGTAATGGGAAAAACAATTTATCATTGTTCATATAAAACTTGAATGTAAACAATTTGTCTACTGGATAAAACATCAATAAAAACTGGTTTGGGAGATTTAGTTTATGGTCCGATGACGAAACATGTTGGTATGATGATGCATATTGATATGTATGTGTGCATGACCTTCAATGCTTCTTCCCCCAGACTTCTTCACCAGGTTTGATTAGATCTGATAACCTGGCTTGTCTGCTGGCCAGCCGAGACCCTTTGCTTACAAGCAGTCAATAGAATAATCAGCTAAAGTGACAACATGCTGACACCTAGAATTTTAATGTTTAAATTACCTTCTCAATCAGCTTAGAGCCAGCCTGGAAGGAGATTCTGTCAAAACAGAATCAGTCTTAAATGATTTGAAGTCGACATATCAGGGTTGTGAAGTTAAATTGCTTATTCTTCTACAACATTTCTAACAATTGACTTTTATAAGGTGGTAAATGATAGATTAGGTGAAAATTTGTGTAGGTGTGTATTTGAATTTTTTTCCCTTTCATCGCAAAAAATATTTTATTTTTTGAAAGTTAGAAAAACAAAAAACATCACATGTAATGATTTTAAGAAGATTTGTTCCGGTAAAAATATTCCAGGAAAGCCTGTCTTCCTGTTGCGTTCTTAACATCATGCAACAGCTGTGACTTAATACAGCTTGCTTGTTTCTTTTAAACATTGTGTATTGTTTTCTTACTAGCATTTTATTGCTCTCTTTCCTATAATAAGGCAATAGCTGTTGTTATGAAGTGGAGCACTAGAAAAGAATTCAATTCAAGGTTCATGGCTGCCCCAAAGATAGGAAATTCTATACCATTACCACTGTTTTGTGTAAATCACATAGATAAAGCTGTGACCAACAATGAATGAAAAATGTGTTGATGTTTCTGTCTCATTAATAGGTACCTGTACTTAAACAAGAATGAATCTTGTCCTTTTCCTGAGAAAAGATTCTTTTCTTTGCTAACAAAGTAGAATTTATATATTTTGAACATGTTTTTACCTAAAGTTCCTCTAAACTTTTCATAGGAAACATTAAAAAAAAGAAGGATCTGATATAAATTTGAGATATTTTCTCAGCATATTACAGAATCAAACTTTTTCAGATAATTATTTTATAGTTTACAGAGTACTGCAAATGACTAGAAAATGCTTTCTCTTAAATTGCATATTCACAACTGATAAGTATGATTGACTCCATGTTAATTTGTAGAGTTGGGTATTGAGAAAAGATATATTGTTTTCAATATATTGCAATATACAAAATATAATTTATATATTTTGAATTTATCTTTAAGTTTAAAAGGGGGAGGAGGGATAAGACATTGATTGCACACCAAATTAACACTTTACTTTTTATCAAATTCCAGGTAAAAATAGTAAAACAAGATGAACTCTCTTGGAGAATTTTCACATTGACCTAAAATTTTTTACAGAATATATAATCTTTTTTCATTGAATTCTGATATAAAATGTTATTAAAGATTAAAACAATATACATATTAGGCCTATATGAAAATAATTTTATGTGGTTACAAAATAAATTTAAAAAATCAGAAAGAAATTGTGAGCGTTTTGGTAATTTAGTCTAACCCGACCTAATTTCACATTACAATGAGGAAATGGCCTGTTTTAATATATACTTTTATAGCATAAGGTGTTTAAAATGGCATGAAAGTTATTAAAAATAATTAAAACAACACTGCTACAAGTGGAAACATGGATGACCATTTACTTGTAATATGTACATGTATATTGAACTTGACATTTCATCGCGATGTCGATCGTGTAGATTCAATGTGAGATTTTGAGAACCGCAATGCATATGGTATACACCCTGTAAAAATGTTTTATATATTTTCTTTCTTATAAATTTTATTTTAAAGTCTTATTAATTAGTAATTTTATTTCAAAGTAAGATATTCAAAACTGCAACAGTGAATTAAAAGCTTCCACCCCCTCTCTCCTCTCTCTTTCTCTCTCCCGAACGAAACTGATTCAGTTTTATTTTAACAGTTTCTCAATAAAGGAAGTTTTTATATATTTTTATGCGTGAAATATTCACATCTGATATATTATCGTGGTGGATAATACGCAATATACCGATATACCGGTAATATTGCACACCCCTATTAATTTGATCACACATCATGTAGTTATGATGAAGAAGTCGTTCTGATTTGATCACCCCTCTGTAGATATTTAATGATGTAGATATGATCTTGTGATTTCAGACCTGACTTGATCCAGTATGACAAGCTACAGAAATCCAATGCCCTGTATAATCTTAACAATGCTTTTGAAGTGGCCGAGGAGAAGCTGGGTCTTACCCGACTCCTGGATCCAGAGGGTCAGTACGGGGGGGAAAAATATTATTAAAATAAAATATCAATAAGGTTAATCGCTTTCGCTTTTAATTAGCACAAACAAAAAGTAAGAAAGTTAAAACATAGAATCTGAAGAAAAAAGTGTTCAAATTCCAGCAAATGAGCATAGGAATACAGATTACTGTAGAAATACATATATCAGAGGAATATGGAGATTGAATTTTATGTTTCTCATGGAAGACAATAAAATGTTCAATATATAATGTACTTACATACCTATGGCAATTTGGTCAATTTAGATAAACCCATTATGAATGTATATTTTAATGGAGATTGCAGGCACACACAATATAGATACGGTTTAATTTTAGATTGTAATGTTGAATTCCCTGATGAGAAGTCCATCATCACCTATGTCGTCACATACTATCATTACTTCTCTAAGATGAAGGCCGAATCTGTCCAGGGCAAGAGGATTGGAAAGGTACACTATTGACTACTTCACAAAAATCTGTTAACTTTTGCTTGAAAAGTCTAACTCCTGTAATGTAATACCCTGCAAGAAGTCGGTCAACTGGAAACAGTATATATTTCAACTGCTACTTGATATTTGTGAATTAACCATTATAGGAAAGTCACCACAAACATGTAAATTATGTCTGTACCTTATTGCAAGTACCAATTTTTAAAAAAGAAAAGAAAATTGCCATGTTTTTTGCTTGAAAAATTCAAGAAAATAGTCAAAAGGAAAAGTCAATTTTACTATTTGAAGGTGGAAAATAAACATTATGATCATTTAGAAGCTCTCCTTTACTTAAAATTGAAGATGTTTTATATCTGTGATATGATCTTATAAGTTTTTGAATAACAGGTTATTGACCATGCCCTGGACACAGATAAACAAGTACAGGACTATGAAACCTTCACCTCTGACCTGTTGGAATGGATTGAACAGACCATTGTGATCCTAAATGACCGACAGTTTGCTAATTCCCTGTATGGTGTACAACAGCAATTAGCAGCCTTCAACACTTACAGAACCAAGGAAAAACCCAAAAAGTAAACTCAGTTTTGAATCAATCTAATGTACCATGCTTATTATACCCCCACAAACGAAGTTTAGGGGGGTATATTGGAATCACCATGTCCGTCTGTCTGTAGACAAGATTTTGTCACCGTTTCTCAGAAACTGTTGGATGGATTTGTTGAAAATTTATACACTTATTATTCACCATATGAAGGTGTGCACCTGGGATTTTCATCATGATTGGATGATTTTTCTGCATTTTACAGGCGTTTTTTCTTTTTTATTTTGTGATTTTGTTTGGCTCATAACTAGAAAACTATTAGACTTACAATCATCAAACTTGGACAATTTATGCATCTTGGGTAACGGTGTGTCCCGACCTATTTCAAGGTCACTGTGACCTTTAATTTTAAGTGATTTTTTAAAAAAACTAAGTCTTTAAAATTTTAAATTTCATAATCCTAAAAAATGTAAAAATATAGTTGTATCCTTATTAAAAAATGCTAAATTAAGTAAAAACTTATTTTTTATGATATACTTTACAGCAAATTCTGTAACAAATGTTAATGATTTGAGAGGAATTCAGTTTGTCTCATGGGCATAATTATCAAGCACTGGTCAAGGAGAATTTTTGATAGCAGAAATGTGCATGTCAAATTAGAGAGAAATTAATGAGTTCATTGTCGGGAGTTAACTGGCAAGAGCATCATGCAGTATTATCTTAATTCATCTCTTGGGAGTTGGGCAAAAAGAAATGGCCTTATAGTTGCTTGTGTTAATTAAGAGTTCTTGATGGCTGTAGTTCAGATAAAGATCTTTCAATTGGTGTAATGTAATTAAAACAAATTGATGTTTTAGTGTATGATTAAAACTGAATTAGTATTGTATAATATAATTAATATTAATTATACATGTGTTCATTGAAAAAAAAATACATTTCAATTTTTATATACTTGCAACAAATTGCAGTCATGTCTCACTTAAAATTTTATAGTCTAAAGAATAATTAATTTTTGATTTTTTTTATTAGACTGTAGCATTTCCATTATTTCATAAAATATGCAATAAACAATTTAAAGCTGCAGATGGATATTTGTTAAGCTCTAACACAGCCAGTTTAGAATTATATGATGTATTATTTGTCTTAATTAATCCCTACACTGCAAGTCTCTTAGAGATGTATGTACAATATTTTAAACAAGATAAGAAATGGAAATTAGATCATTGAAATCTGTATCAATCTGTTAATCAAGGTTACTTGATTTTCTTGCACCCTAACCAATTTATGATTATCGAACAATATTTGATGGGCGTATCATGCTGTGGCAGGGCACTTTATTAGACAATAGTGAACACCTCTTACTAGATCCATAAAATATTTCTGAATTGGCACCTACTCTGAAAAACCCAGCGGGGGTATTTGTCCCTATTGGACAGTTCTAGTTAATTTTGGAGGGTGTATATTTTTTCATTGATTTCTGCAACTTAAGTATGTATAAATAAAATTTTCACTACAAAGGTTAGCAAGAACTCTAATTGATTAAAATTCTAATGATCTTTAGAATTCAAAGATCAGTGTGCACTACAAATATATTTTCATTCAATATAAGCCTTCTAAAGAAGAGCGATTGATGAACTTAATTGAAAATTTGTTTTAAGTTAGATTTATTAACTTTGCAGGTTTGATGAAAAGGGAAACCTTGAAGTTTTGCTATTTACACTGCAAAGTAAGATGCGAGCAAACAACCAAAGGCCGTACCTACCCAAGGAGGGAAAACTGATCTCTGACATCAATAAAGCTTGGGACAGATTGGAAAAGGCTGAACATGAGAGAGAATTAGCTCTCAGGGAGGAACTTATAAGGTATTAATTTACCCTCTAGGTTTTTTTTTAAATTCTTTGAAGAAAATTAAAAAAAAAAGCATCACCTGACTCTGGTGAAGTTTCAGAGCAAAAAAGTAATCTCATTATTTCACAAAGTTGAACAAAGCAGGAGATTAAGGTTTGAGTTGTGTTTACTTACAGACAAGAGAAATTGGATCAGTTGGCTGCTAGATTTGACAGAAAGGCTGGCATGAGAGAGACCTGGCTGAGTGAGAACCAAAGACTGGTCTCCCAGGACAACTTTGGTAATGATCTGGCTGCTGTCGAGGCCGCAACCAAAAAACATGAGGCCATAGAAACAGATATCAATGCCTACGAAGAACGAGTACAGGCCGTGGTGTCTGTATGTTTTGAATTGGATCAGGAAAGATACCATGACATTGAAAGAATTAATGCAAGGTAACATAATAAGACAATTGTGATTTATGAACAAATAGTATCAGTAAAAAGTTTTCAAAAGGTGGGCTGTTATTGTGATGTGCATTTATTGTTTGATAGGAAGGACAATGTTCTGAGGTTGTGGAACTATTTACTGGAACTGTTGAGAGCCAGACGAATGAGATTGGAGATGTCTCTCAGTCTGCAGAAAATCTTCCAAGAAATGTTATACATCTTGGATTGGATGGAGGAGATTAAGGTACTTAACACTTTTAGTTTATAGAATTTATTTCTTTATGCATGTGTATGTCAGACATATGAATACAATGTCATTTTTGAATCTATAGGCCCGTCTGATGTCTGAAGACTATGGTAAACACTTGATGAGTGTGGAAGACTTGCTACAAAAGCATAGTCTCCTAGAGGCTGACATCCATGTACTGGGAGAACGTGTCAAGACTGTCAATATGTCAGCCATGAAGTTTGTGGATGGTGATGCTGTTGAAGCTGGAGGTATTCACCCTGCTTTTCTTCATCTAGTACAGAAATTGCCATGGGCATTTAGGATTACAAATTCTTGTGAAATTTTAAGGAAGATGTAAAGTCTTGACATGAGTAATTCTACAAAATGAAACTTGTTTTGCAGGCTACCATCCTGCGGAGCCCGCTGTAGTGCGTGAGCGTATGAAGACTTTGGAGGACGCCTATGAGGAGCTGGTTCGTCTGGCTGCTGAAAGGAGGGACAGGCTGGAGGACTCACGTAAACTGTGGCAGTTCTACTGGGATATGGCAGACGAGGAGGGTTGGATCAAGGAGAAGGAACAGCTGATGTCCTCACCAGACCTGGGACGAGATCTTACCAGTGTCCATCTACTGCTCAACAAACAAAAGGTACTGTATTTTAATGCTCTAGTCCTCATAGTTGGAGAACTTTATAAATTGATAAAACAATTTGTAAATTATTTTTAAAAAATGACATTGGGATTGGAAAGTTTTTAAATCCAGGAATAATGTTGTAACTAAAGAATTCTTGTGGGATAGCAGTAACATAAAAAAAAAAATTCAAACATTTATGAGTGAAATTTTACCATTTTCAGTGTTAAAAGTATATTTCTTTGTGTACATATTGTCTGATAATTCTTTAAACAAGGTCTGTTTATATTGTAGCAAATGGAGGATGAGATGACGGCTCGCCACACTCACCTGCAATCAGTGCTACAAGTGGGATACGACCTCATTACCGCTGGGAACTTTGGAGCTGAGAAGATCCAAGAGAGGATAGATGAGATCAACCAGAAATGGGAGAGTCTCATTGACCTGGCTGCCTTCAGGAAGAAGAGGCTGAACGAGGCTGTGGACTACTATCAGGTGGGGATAAGATCTAAAATAACAATAATATAGGTTTAATCCGTGTTGTATTGCTATAAACCAATGCATGTGTTATTGTGTGTGCTGGATTTATAAGTATGACTTTGTTTCAGTTCTTTGCTGATGCTGATGACGTGGATGCCTGGATGTTCGATATCTTCCGTATTGTGTCCAGTGAAGACGTCGGCAAAGATGAGGCCAGTGTACAGTCGCTGCTGAAAAAACACAAGGTAAGCTGTGTTCTGCTGAGATCACAGTCTTTTTAGGTAGGCTTTCTATATATAGTTAATTTCATTGTCTTTATTTTAATTTCATAGGAGGTGACAGATGAACTGAAGAACTATGAAAGTACTTTAGCTGCACTTCATGAACAAGCTGCCAACCTTGGAGAACAGGTTTGTTTGTCTTCATTTGATAAGAAGTCTTGGTGCAAACATAAAAGATATGATTTTTGACTTCTTGTCATAGTCGCAAATCACAAATGATTATCCTATAAAACAGGACAGAGAATCCCCTGACATACAGAACAGGCTGGGAAGCATTGATCGCCGTTACCAGGAATTACTGGAGCTGGCTAAACTTCGCAAACAGAGACTCCTTGATGCTTTGTCTCTTTACAAACTCTTCAATGAAGCTGATGGTGTTGAAACATGGATAGAGGAGAAGGTTTGTATATTTTTTTTGGTTTGATTAACCTTTAAATATTTTGTGTATATTTCGCCAATTCTGACATCTGATCTGAGGGTCCATCTTGTAAGTTTTAATAACATATTTGAATATTTTTGAAAAACAGGAGAAATTCTTGACCACCATGATCATCACTGATGACATTGAGGAGATAGCCATCATGAAGCATCGCTTTGACAGTTTTGAACATGAGATGAATGCCACTGCCTCTAAGGTGGCTGTCGTGAACCAGTTGGCTCGTCAGTTACTACAGATAGAACATCCAGGAGCTGCAGAGGTTATCAGCCGACAGAACCAACTAAATGGAGGGTAAGTCTGCTTGCAAAACTCATAATGAATATCTAAAATTGGCATTCTTTTTGAAAGAAATGATAATTTAATGTGTATGAGATATTGCAAAAAAAAAAATTTAAAGAAAAAAACATGAAATTTTTTTGTACATGGATGAAATTTTAATTTTGTAGCTGGAATAACTTGCGAGACCTGGTTGATCAAAAGAAAGAAGAGATCAACCTTTCTCATGGTCTTCAAAACTTCCACATTGAGTGTAATGAAACTATTGTAAGTAACAGCATTGGCTAAATGATTTTCCAATTAAGTTATGAGAAGAAATATATCATCTTTTGGGTTTGAAATTTGGATTTAGCAAAAATTTGTTAATTTGTATTACAGAGCTGGATCCATGAGAAGGCTAAGGTTATTGAGTCCACTGATGAGCTGGGTAATGACCTGGCTGGTGTCATGACATTACAGAGAAGACTGAGTGGCATGGAGAGAGATCTGGCTGCCATTCAGGCCAAGGTCAGTTAAAAAATAATGACAGGATTGTAAAATATTGAAAAGTGGGTTATGGTGTAAAGGTGTCCAATACAAATATAAGAAAATGTCATGAATTTATTCTTGTATGTTTTTTAGCTTGAACAGTTACAAGGAGAGGCTGAGAAATTACAAGAAGACAAGCCTGATGAGGCACAGGTTATCAGAGAGAAGGTTGCTGAGATCAACAATGTCTGGATGGATCTCAAAGACATGGTAAATATTGAATTTCCCTATTTACTCTCTCCCTCTAACTGACTTTAAAAAAGGAGTAAAATGATAAAAAGCAGCTTCTTATTAAGCTTGGATGTTGTTTTACAGCTCAGAGAGAGAGATGAGAAACTTGGAGAAGCTGGTGAGTTGCAGCGTTTCCTTGGAAACTTGGACCACTTCCAGCAATGGCTGTCTCGCACTCAGACTACAGTAGCATCAGAAGACATCCCCAACAGTCTGGCTGATGCGGAGAAACTCCTGAACCAGCACCAGCAGCTGAAGGACGAGATCGAGGCCTACTCCCCGGAGCATGCCAAGATGAAGGAGTTTGGAGAGAAGGTCACAGAGGGACAAGAGGATCCACAGTACATGTTCTTGCGCCAGGTAAAAAAGCAATTCTAAAAAAAAATTCGGAAAAAATTGCATGTTTGTTTAGAGTGCAATTTTAAACTGTGTATTTGGATTATAATTTTAACTCAACTTAAAAGAAATGATTGCAGGAAATTCATATAGATTCTGAATTGGAATTAATGTTCTGTACTAGAAATTTGTAGTGTTGTTATGTACTTGTTAACCATGGTAAAATGTACAGTAATGTGAAATTAAATCATAGTCTATAAATAATTTGACTGTTACAGAGGCTGCAAGCTTTAGACAGTGGATGGGAGGAATTACTTCAGATGTGGGAAAACAGACAGCAGTTACTGTCACAGAGTCTAAACCTACAGGTATAGTTATTGCAAATATCTTGAATTTCTCACAGAAGGAAACTAAAGTTTTCATCCAATACTCACTCTATTTTTAAACGGATTTGCAATTCACAAAACAAATTAAAGAGCTTAAAAGCAGAATTGCCAGGTTTTGAACCACTAGTATACACCCAGTAAAATATCTATGTACAAAAACTGAATAACATGTAATATTTTTAAATATGCACTTCGAATACATGATATACATTTAACTATGTGGTAACGTTTTTGAAATGTGTTTTGTTCTCTTGCAGATGTATTTACGGGATGCAAAACAAGCAGAAGTTTTGCTTAACCAACAAGAAAACTTTTTATCAAAGGAGGAAGTTCCAGTATGTATAGTTTAGTTTTGTTGCATTTAATACAGTACATCTTGTTGACTTCTGGACCCATACTGCATGACTCTCCATGCATATCTTTGTACAAGTACATTTTATATATATATAAAAAATTTCATGTATATATAAGAAAATCTGGAGCACATATTCTTTGACTACTTTTTAATCATAGTAAAAAAAATCTTGAATCTTCATGCACTTGGAATATGGCATATTTAGAATGCACAGTATGCAAAAGCACTTTTATAAGCCAGCATGTTTGATAGTGACATGTGACCTATGAATGGCTGCAACATCAAGGCTACGAAATGTCTTCATTGGTTAAAAAAGATTGTCATGTTTTATTTAGTCATCTCTGGGACTTCTTGATAAGCAGGTAATGTCCGTGCAGTCTCAGTATTGATTGGTGTGCATTTCTTTTGATTTTATTTTGTTTTATTTCTCCAGTTTTGCAAACCACAATTCAGATAATGATTATGGTATATATTACCTTTGCTTGAGACCCCACTTGGTAACCTTTACAACCAACAGAAAATTTTTAGCATTTGTACTTAACTTTCCTCACAAAGATGTCAAAGGTTTTATCTTTCATATTTTATTAGGTATTTTTATCAACTATTTGCTTTTGTCTTCCTGTATATATTTATTTATTTGATAGGAAGTTCAGTGTTGTGGTTTTTCCTTCTGTTTTTATAGAACAAGTACCATAATATAAATTAAATATATTTCACATTTTTGTATCCCCAGTTTTTTACTTTTTTTTTGGCAATAAAGATAATTACTTTGTAGTAGAGAGACAAATTTTCTTACTACTGTATAATCTACTTATTAAAAAGAGAAAAAATCTGATATCATTCATATCAAGCATTCACTTTGAATGAAAAACAACTTGTTTGCTTTAAGTTTATAAAATGGATATGCATGTGATTCTGTAGAAAATGCAAAATAGTAGCCAATTGATCAATACAGAATTAGAACAGTTTATTAATGATCTTCAACCCTTGTGGTTGGAAAATAGAACAGATGTATGTAAGAATTTTTTGTGTTGTACTTTGCAGATAATTAATTACATACCATAGGTTGTCGAAGCTCATTATAGCTCATTAGAAGAGCCTATTCCATCATAATGAGTTATTTTATCTTTTAATGTTTATAGGGTATTTGAAAAGAAGTGCAAAAATAATACAAAACACTCCCATATATTTGTCTCTCATGCAACACTTTATTTTTAGGTGATATATAGGTAAATGAAAGAACATTAATCAAGAAATTTCATATATCATAATTTGGCACTATATTTACTTTCTGCAAATTTTATTTAATGGGTAGTAAATTTAGTAAATGTTATTTAGTATAAATGCATAAGAATACACATGTATTTTATAACCAAGATATAGTTTAACATAGTTTGTCTTAAAATCCTGAATGCATAGAAAAATTAGATTTAATGAATTTTAAGCACTTAAGAAAAACAGATGTTGAAGGAATAAAAATGTTATAATTCAAGGTTCTTGTGACAGAACAATTTTTCTCCAATGTTTTAATTCCATCTTTTTCAATAGAGATGTTAGATTTAGAAAGATTTTTATCCCCATTTCTGTCATGTTTAATGTCTTTAGTCAAGATCAGTAAAACAAGCTGACAGTTGTTCTATTTCCACTGCAGTGATTTACATTGTTTGTCTTAGATCATGAAAAGGAGGATATTTCTATACCTTTTTATGTACCAAAAAAACCACTTGGTAATACTTTGTAATTAATTAAGTTGTTTCTCTATTAGAATACATTGGAAGCAGCAGAGAATTTGATCAAAGCTCATGAGGCATTCATCACCACGATGGATGCTAATGATGAGAAGATCAACGCAGTTCTACAGTTTGCCAACCGTCTCATAGAGGACCAACATTATGCTGCTGACAAAGTTCACAAGAAGGCGGAAAACATCAGTGAGAGGTATGTTAAGGTTTTATTGACTTGGATGTACATTTTCGGGTGTTTGATGTGAATTGATTGTCAAATAAATCAATTTGTTACATAACTTTCAGGCGAGATGTGAACCGACAGAGAGCTTATGAACAACTTGATCGTCTTAAGGACCAACTGCTCTTGCAGCAATTCTTACAGGAATGTGATGAGGTATTAAGAAAATGTTTTTGTTATATCACAGGATTACATTAAAAGACAAGCATCATAAAATGAAAAGGAGAAGCTAATTACTTCAAGTGTCAATGAAAATTTTTCTGTTTGAATACTTTTTCAAGCTATAAAAATTATGTCCTACTTATGTTTCTTATATCTTAAGATCCTTATGCGGTTGTAAGAGTAGAATTCTGTGCAATTCAAGGTCTTTTAATTAATTAAAACAACTCTAACTATATTTCAGCTTCGAGACTGGCTGCATGACAAGATGGCAGCAGCACAGGATGAAACTTATCGTGATGCTAAGAACTTGCACAGCAAGTATCTTCGTCATCAAGCTTTCGAGAGAGAAATCGCTGCTAACAAGGAACGCTTGCAGCGTCTCATGCAGGTATATGTTATTCTTACAACTGAAGGTCCTACTCATTTAATTGTCATCTTGTAATAATATACATAGATGATTTTTAGTTGAAAAATATTGTCTTGGTATATTTTTGATTTTAATTGGTTATTTTGTTTTCAGTCTGGTGAAGGTTTAATGCAAGAGAAACCAGAATGTAGGGAACAAATTGCACCTATTCTTTCGAGTTTGCAAGAGCAGTGGGATGAATTGGAGGGAACCACCAAGGCTAAGGCCGAGCGTCTGTTTGATGCGAACAGAGCGGTGATCTACCAACAGAGCTGTGACGACATCGACGGATGGATAGAACAGCTGGAGAGTCAGATCATCACAGCGGAGGAGGGAGCTAAAGATTTAACTACCGTCAACCTCCTCATGCAGAAACAACATGTAAACAAACACATTTTGTTTTTCATCCCTGATATTCTATAATTGTTCTGAATTATGCATTTGGTCATATTTTTTGCATTCAGTCACATATATGTTTTACTTTTGTTACAGCAACTGGAATCTCAGATGAAGATGAAGGAGGGACAGGTAGCAGAGCTGGATGAACAGGCTGTCATTCTGAAGAAGGTTGATCCACAGCAGGAGTCCATGCTGGAAGCAAGAAAGGCACTTGTAGCAGAGAGGTGAGCACCTGTAATGCAAAGTATCAATCAGTAGGTTAATATAACAGCATTAAGCAATGGAGTGTTAGAGGTATCATCCTAGTATTAAGTAAGGCGATAGATTTCACAATTTTGTTTTTATTCGACAGGTTCTCCAAGATCCAGGAACCACTGCTTAAGAGGAGAGAACAGCTTGAGAAGGTGAAGAGAATCCACCAGTTTGTCCGTGATGTAGAAGATGAGAAGTTGTGGATCAGCGAGAAGATGCCCCTAGCTACTTCTAATAATTTCGGAAATAGTCTTCTTAGTGTTCAACTTCTAACTAAGAAGAATCATGTAAGTCATTGATAAGTAAGATGTAAAATATATAAATTTCTTTAATATAAGAGAAGATCTTGTGAATATTTGAAGCTTTTGTGAAGAAGGACTTGAAAGGGAACAAAATTTCTGCAGTATTTGTTTCAATAGAAATTGATATGATGAATTTCTGTGATTTCAGTCATTACAAACAGAGATAGAGAATCATGAGCCGAGGATATTCAATGTAGTAGAAGTAGGACAGCAGCTTATTGATGAGAAGCATCCTCAGTCTGAGGAGTTCCAGGCTCTCATTGACGAGCTGATGAAGATGTGGGATGACCTCCGGGCAGCCATTGCCAAGCGTGAAGAAAGGCTCAAACTATCCGACGTAGCACAACAGGTATGTGTGTTAGAAAGAAAGTGACCCTGAGGTATAGAGCAGGTCAGTAAAAGGCAGAAAAGCTGTATAACTTTGAGCTTATGAAGTTTACACTAGGAGATTGGGTAATTTATATTCAAAGAAATGGTATTGCTGAGACTAATGTTTTCCATGTTTTTGCTGAGACTTGTAATATTTTACATGTTTTCAGATGTAATTTTATAAATGTTTCAGTAAACTGTGTGTATTTTGTCTTACAAGTTTCATGATACATTTTTACAGTATTATTACGATGCCTCTGAGGCTGAGGCCTGGATGAGTGAACAAGAGCTGTACATGCTTGGAGAGGAGAGAGCTAAGGATGAGATAGGGGCTCAGAACTTCTTGAAGAAACACCAGGCTCTGGAGAATGCCGTCAGTGATTATGCTGAGGTTGTGAGACAACTGGGAGAGAGGAGTAGGAAATTAATTGCTGAAGACCATCCAGAGAGGTGAGTACTTCTGAATTATGTTGGTCTTTTTAACTGTACCCTTTATGGTGTATGTTGTATGAATTTTTAGATTGAAAGTTGGAGAAATTTATTCAAAACAGTTTTATTATTTGGTCCAGCATTTTTTCTTGGCAATAATGAACGTTCAATTTTGTAAATACTTCCAATTTATCAAAAGCCATGATAAAATATTGAGTATTTTATTATATTATTACAAAAAGTTCTTTTCCCATTTATAGTAATGTCTTTATTCCTTACAGTGACCAGATAGCAGTAAGGCAGTCCCAGGTAGACAAGTTGTATGCTGGACTAAAGGATCTGTCTAACGAGAGAAAGAGCAAGTTAGATGAAGTGCTGAAACTGTACGTATTGAACCGTGAGATTGACGACATCATGCAATGGATTGCAGAGAAAGAAGTTGTGGCAGGGTCACATGAACTTGGTGCCGACTTTGAACATGTCTGTGTAAGTAATTTAAACAGGTGCCTTCTTAATATAAATGTACCTTATTGTAACTCTAGTAATTGAATGTAATTTATACAAATTAAGTGTAAGATTAAGAAGACATTTATTGTTCTTACAGATGTTGCAAGACAGGTTCAGGGAGTTTGCCAGAGAAACAGAGAGCATAGGAACAGAGAGAGTAACTGCTGCTAATGAGAACTGTGATGCATTAATTATGGCTGATCATTCCGATTCAGCCCAGATTGCTGAGTGGAAGGACAATCTCAATGAAGCATGGAATGATCTGTTAGAGTTAATGGACACCAGAACCCAAATGCTTCAGTCTTCCTGGGAATTACACAAATTCTACCATGATTGCAAAGACATTCTGGAGAGAATACTGGTAGGTTTGATTATATAGATAAGTAATGTTTGTATATTTGATTGGTGAGGAAATTTCAACAGTTTCATGTAATAAGCTTTAAGTAATTCATTTTATGTTTGTAGGAGAAGCAGAATTATATTCCAGATGATCTTGGCAGAGATGCACAGAGTGTTGCAGCTCTCCAAAGAAAACATAGCAACTTTGAAAATGACCTTGTCACACTTGGAGTACAAGTAAGCATGTTTTATTGACTGAATTCAAAGAGAAATCTACAAGCATATAAAGCCTGAACATCCTTCATGATAGAGCATGAACTAAACTAAAATTTTGTGCTCCAGGTACAGGCCATACAGGAAGAATCCAACAGACTCCAGACAGGCTACGCTGGTGACAGGAAGGCTGAGATCCAGGACAGGGAGGATGAAGTGGTCAACGCCTGGAAGAACCTGAACCTGATGGTCAACTCCAGGCGGGTCAAACTGGCCGATGCCCACGACCTCTTCAAATTCTTCAGCATGGTCCGAGATCTCATTCTCTGGATGGATGACATCATTAGACAGATGAAAACACAAGAGAAACCCAGGTATAAAATTTAATGAGCAGTACTGTTAGTTATCTGGTTTTATGAAAAAGGGACTATACAGTGGTAAGGTGTTAAAAATTTCTTTCATTTTGAAAATCTGTCTTTTACAGAGATGTCTCTGGTGTTGATTTGCTCATCAACAACCATCAAAGTCTAAAAGCTGAAATTGATGCTAGAGAAGAAAACTTTGCCATATGTATCAATTTAGGCAAAAACTTGCTGGAAAGGAACCATTTCAGATCTGATGAAGTAAGTGTGAAGAGCATATCTGTTGATCAGAAATTTTATAATACTCTTGAATACTAATTTGACAATTGTCCTAATGTTTTGCCTGTTTGTGCATTTCTAGGTTAGAGAAAAACTTATACAGCTGACCACAGAAAGACAAGATATGAATGATCAATGGGCAGACAGATGGGAACATCTACAGCTAAGTAAGTCATACTGACAGTTCTGACAATGCTCAGAGAATATTATTTTGGACGTGTTGGATGGAGTATTGAATCATCATTTATCAGAAATTCTATCATTGTTTAAATGCATGGCTTGCACTGAAATAACAGTTTACATTTAGATATGTTGTAATTTGTTTGATATCTTTTACAGTATTGGAAATTTACCAGTTTGCCCGGGATGCGGCTGTAGCAGAAGCCTGGCTGATGGCACAGGAACCATATTTACAGAATCAAGATTACGGAGTAAGTGGGCAGGAACATCAAATAATGCGCAGAGACAATTGAATTTTCATGTTTCATAGAAATTGTACCTACTTGTAATGATTGGTTATGAATCATATTTTACTTGTTGTAGGATACCCTTGATGCTGTAGAAAACCTAATTAAAAAACATGAATCTTTCGAAAAGTCAGCCGCCACGCAAGAGGAAAGATTTGCAGCATTAGAAAAATTAACCACAGTAAGTCAAATAAATATGATTATATGGGGCAAAGATAAACTTTTGCATAAGTATGTTTCTTAAAACAGAATTTTCTTTTGTGTAGTTTGAAATAAAAGAACAAAAGAAACGCACAGAAGAACAAGAAGATATAGCAAAATTAAGAGAAGAAAAACGAAAGAAGTTAATAGCAGAATTTTTACCACCTGAAAAACCGTGAGTACATGATTTTTTCTTTCTAAGTTTTAATCTTTCTCCTAAGTATACCATAAACAAATTACTATTGGCTGTATTTTCTATTCACTAGAACCTTTTTTTTTGAAAGCAGCATCTGTTTAAAAAGATTTGTGACTTTGATTGTAGACCTACCCCAGAACCCGAGGTTGTAGAATCCATTCAAGTACCGGTCCAGGAGTCGGCACCGGAGGTGGAGGAGGTACAGGGGGCCTCAGCAGAGGCTGCAGAGGAACCATCAGGTGGGTGTTCCCTAGTGTAACCTCTCTTACAGGAAACATTTTAGGGGACAGGTGGTTGCCAGTCCAGGTGGAAGTTTTCAGCAGCCTCCTATATTTAGTCATGGCTATAAATATCAAATGATGTTGTCTTTTTAATGTTTCTTCAGTTTCTGTTTCTTGATATGATTATCATATCTTATTGAGTTCTTAGCTTATCTTACTGTTGTATAAGCAATGTTAAAATATGCCTATTTGTATATTACTTTGTTTTCAGTTAAAGCAATACTATTTCTTTTTCATTTGCTCTTGATTTGAACATTTATCTCAGTGTACTGTCAATAGCATGATGTTGCTTTTTCTCTGACTGTGAATGAATATTAGCTGTTCATTTTAATTTAGGAAAATCCGATGATGGATCACACACACTGCCCAAACCTAAACGCAGAGGTGATTAAATGTTTTAAAGCATAATACGGATTTGGAATCATAAATAACCAGACTCGCTAGCCGTTGTCACATACAAAATCATAAATCACGCATCAGTCATGAAGGACCATGCTTATTCAAGGGCTTCGTTTAACTTGCTTGCTTGAAAACTAATTTTTTTTCTGCACATTATTCTAATAAAAGCTTTTTCTATTTGTTTGCTTTTTGAAAAAAATCATAGATGAGCTTGTAGATTAAAAACATGAGAACAATGTTCATGCACATGTATATAACTTAGTACCTTATGCTATTGTTTTTAGTTATTTCTTTGCTCTGATGCTGTTCTTTTCAAGTTTTGACTGAAATTTTAAATTCTCTAATAAAAATTGCTCAGAGAGTAGCATTTTACTTTTATGGTACATGCATTTCATGGTTTTGGTTAATGAAAGTCTGAAGGAAAAAAATCTAAGTAATGTGCCAATTTTTAGCTCTACTGGTCAGAGACCAGAAGAGCTTATGCGATAGTAATGCGTCCGGCGTCCGTCCGTCTGTCTGTAAACAATTTTTCAAAATGCTACTCCTTTTACAATTTTGATCTGATTTCAATACATTTTACTCTACATTAACAAACATAATTCTTGTATCGGTTTTTGATTTTGATAAACGGTGTTGCCGTGGTAACTAAAAATAGAAATTTCTGTGAAATTTCTTTAAAATGCTACTCCTCCTACAGTTTTGGTCTGATTTCAATATAACTTGGCACACAAGTAGACTACACTAAGATACATAATCCTGTGTATCGGTTTTTGATTTCGATGAACGTTGTTGCCGTGGTTACTAAAAATAGAAATTTCTGTGAAATTCTTTCAAAATGCTACTCCTCCTACAGTTTTGGTCTGATTTCAATATAACTTGGCACACAAGTAGACTACACTAAGATACATAATTCTGTATATTGGTTTTTGATTTTGATAAATGGTGTTGCCGTGGTAACTAAAAATAGAAATTTATCTGAAATTCCTTTAAAATGCTACTCCTCCTACAGTTTTGGTCTGATTTCCATTTAACTTGGCACACAAGTAAACAACACTAAGTTACATAATTCTGTGTATCGGTTTTTGATTTCGATGAACGTTGTTGCCGTGGTTACTAAAACTAGAAATTTCTGTGAAATTCCTTTAAAATTCTACTCCTCCTACAGTTTTGGTCTGATTTCAATATAACTTAGCACACAAGTAGACTACACTAAGATACATAATTTTCTTTATCTGTTTTTGATTTCGATAAACGGTGTTGCCGTGGTTACTAAAAATAGAAATTTCTGTGAAATTCTTTCAAAACATTTCAATATAACTTGGCACACAAGAAGACTACACTAAGATACATAATTCTATTTATCAGTTTTTCATTTCGATGAACGTTGTTGCCGTGGTTACTAAAAATAGAAATTTCTGTGAAATTCCTTTAAAATGCTACTCCTCCTTCAGTTTTGGTCTGATTTCAATATAACTTAGCACACTAGCAGACTACACTAAGATACAAAATTCTGTGTATCGGTTTTTGATTTCGATGAACGTTGTTGCCCTGGTTACTAAAAATAGAAATTTCTGTGAAATTCTTTCAAAATGCTACTCCTCCTACAGTTTTGTCTGATTTCAATATAACTTGGCACACAAGTAGACTACACTAAGATACATAATTTTCTCTATCTGTTTTTGATTTCGATGAACGTTGTTGCTGTGGTTACTAAAAATAGACATTTCTGTGAAATTCTTTCAAAATGCTACTCCTCCTACAGTTTTGGTCTGATTTCAATATAACTTCGCAAACTTGTAGACTACACTAAGAACATAAAGAGACTTTATCAAGGATCATTATTCTATCTATTGCTGTTGTTGTTTCAATTCCCAACTGCTGAAGTACTTTTCTCTTCCTTTGCTATAAGTACAAACCAGTAGAGCTTCAGTCTCGACAGAGACTTCTGGTTCAAAATAGTTTGGTGGTTGCATATAATATACAACTGTAATATATTCATCATGTAGCACATTAAAAAAGCATTTGTTCATTTCATACATGTTCATTTACATTGTTTCATTATTAGCTGTGCTCATTTACTAATTTGGTGTGGGGTTTACATTTTAATGACATCTCTATTAATATGACTCGCTCTCCAATTCCAATGTTCTTTTACCTTGTTTATTGTGAAAATAATTGTGTCAATTACCGTTTTAACTTCTGTTGAAAGATTATTTGTAGTTTCGTTTGCATTGCTGGACTATTACCGTACTACTGTTACATTTGAACAAACAAAATAATATTACATGAAACTCATACACAAAACAAATTTATTTGAGTCAAACAGAAATATCCTATGTACATCCAGCAATGTAAATTTTATGTTTTTCTCTGATACCTGTCACTATGTAAAAGTATGTATGATAAAAATAACAGAAATTAATTCTAATATTTGATTTTGTTACAGTGGTATTAATTTTTTGGTTAAAACAGTGACAGCTATCATTTAGCCCTTTGGTTGTGGTTATTCTGTTTAGTTTGCATGTATTTGTGTTTTTGTGTCGTTAGATGAATCCTCCTTAGATGATTCGGCCTTGAGCACCGAGTCTAGTGACCAGGTCTCTGAGAGTGCAGGTGCACCAGAGTCCCAGGCTGACCGGCCTAAACCGAGGCCACGACCTAGAAAGGAGGCTTCCTCACCTCCCTTGTCACGTTCTGGTAGGTTACGATAACACACGAGATTGTATCTCCACTCATCTTGTATCAGGGATGCCATATAATCAGGAACTGTAACTCTGTAAACAAGGGCATGGATCATCTATAGTTTTGTAGATCATATATGTGTTGCATGTAACAAAGTAAAATGCTTGTGTAGTTTGTAAAGCACATTTTTTATTAACTGGCATGGATTTGATGTTTAGACACTAACCTGTTTACAGAAGTGCCTGAGAGTAAGCCCACTGACTCACCTCGGGGTAAAAAACCAGTCCGAAAGGAACGCGAAATAACCAGGGAGCCCCTACAAGAGGCTGAATCAGCTCGCCTCAGTCCATATGACTTACCCATGTCTAGTAAGATTGGTAGCTTTTGCTTGATACCCACTGCTTCAGATGTACAAATTTCTGTAGCAATGCTAGCTTTGCCGAATGAGAAGTTTGATTTATTTTTGATCAAAATGATTTCAATATCTCTGAAAGAATAAGTAGCCATTATCATTTAATCTATTTCATAGAAATAATATAACTGTTAAGAAAGTAAAGATTCATTGCAAAATATCAAGAAGTTAGCAATATCGCTTAAAGTTAGACTTGGCATAGAATGGCTTCAAAGCTTATATTTATTATCCAATTATGTTTTCCTATGGCATCAGGAATTATTTCAAAGGTTCAAGGATTTTCCTTCCCTTTAATTTTCCAGTTATGTTTGAAACATCCTGTTATTTTAAAAACAGTTTATTAAGGCAAGCTGTTCAGAGGTTTAAGGATTTTCCTACCCATTAATTATTTTGAGGTACCCTGTTATTTTAAAAACAATTTTTATGTTGTTGAGAGGTTTTCCTGGTATAAAATGGTGAGAAGAGAATTTTTTATTTTTTTAACCTTGATAGTATGTTCCTGCATCTCCGAGGCTGCAATGGTCAGATGACTTTTTAGAATTCTTACTTATGATAGATTCTGGGGATTTTATACTTAAGGAAGCATTTGCCTTTATTTTATTTCTGGAGGCATGATTCTGTCTTGTGGTTTATATGGAGAAGGGTGTATATAATCTCTGATCTAACACTCTCTGGTTGTCTCCATTAGCTAAAGACAAGAAACGAACTCGCTCACTCTCTCCCTTTCGGAAACTGTTTTCTCGTAAGCGTGACAGAGGCCGTAGTAAGACAGATGTCATTGTCCTGCAAGGTACAGAGATCAACAAAGCAGTGTACTCATGCTAACAATGCTGTATTTATTTATTTATTCATGTATACCAAAATGACTATATATCTTATGAACATGTATGAACATTTATATCTTACATATTAGATTTCTTAACTAATATTTTAGGAATATTTTGACTAACCTGGCTTTTCAATCAGATTGGAAATGTATCACAATTTGTAAAATTAATAAATTTCAGTCTTCTTTAATATTTATTTTAACTCTGTTTGTAGAATTACCATCGACTAGTGCTGAGTCTATCCACCATGAAGGTACTCTGACAAGAAAACATGACTGGGAGCACGAGAACAAGAAAGCCCACAACAGGTACTGTCTCTTATCATGTCCAGCCTTGTAGTTTACTCAGAAGGGATCGTTGTTTTTGTTCATTATCTCATATTGCTGAACAGTGTAGCAGATCAGTGATAGATAACTTTGAAATTCCATTTGCTTGACCGAAAAACTTCAGTGTAAAAAAAATTTCTGAGATAAACTGTGGCATTTTATGTTTGTTTCTTTGCAGATCATGGGACAAGGTGTATGTAGTTCTCAATGGAAATGTGTTGTCATGTTACAAAGACAAGAAGATAGCCAAACAGGTATAACATTACAGAAAGTACTAAGAGTTTATCACAAATGTAGATATTATTCTTGTCAAGTAAATTTTACTTACAGTCAGCATACATATATGGTATAACAGAAAAACATGAGCTGTGATAGCTCTTTAACTGACTTTAATTGTCTCTTCCTAGTAAAATTTTTTGGTGGTAAAAATACATCGTCTTTCTCGTGTTTTAGGATCCTGGCAGTTTGATCCACCATGAACAACCAATCAACTTATCAGGTGCCCAGTGTAGCAGAGCCACAGATTACACCAAACGGCCCCATGTGTTCCGACTCAAGCTCACCAATGGAGGAGAGTACCTGTTCCATGCTAAAGATGATGTAAGAATTCTAGACAAAGCTTTCTTCTAAGAATTTATTGTATCACTGCAGAGTAAACCAATCAAAATATTCTTAGGTGGTCCTAAAGGAATTCACCATTTTAAAATTTATCCACATTTTCCAACTACCATGCATCAATGGAATACTGTACTATACATCAATGGAATAACTTTACGCGGTCACAAACTTTCCGCGGAAATTTGTCCAAATTGAGATTCCGCGGAATTATGACCCCGTGGAAAAAAGTATGTCTACAGTAACTTTGGGGAAAAAAAACGTTCTGTTGATGCCTTTTTGATGTATTGTTAACTGTAATTTTACAGGGAGAAATGGACTTGTGGATTCAGAAAGTCAATTCAGTGACAGGAGCAGAGGGCACAAGTGTTCCCTCCAAATCTATGACTCTTCCAGCTCGCATGGAGGGCGAGAAGGAGGGCAAGAAAAAGAAATCAGGCTTCCTTACTTTGAAGAAGAAATAGACAACCACACAATGCTAGGACTTTATTCTATTGAATCTCGGAGAGAGACTGTTTTAGAAATGGAGATTTGGATTCATATTTAAACTTTTAAAAAGTGTTGAAAGGGATGTAGTATTAAAATGGATTTTTTTTAACTTATTTATATTTAAAATTTTTTGTACACTTTAAATCCTTTAAACAGATTACATAAAATTCAAATAATTGTGTTAAAGATTTCATGAAAGGATATATGTTTACAGTGTGTAGTCCATTTTAATGTATCGTCAAGGTTGCCTCTTCATTTTGTCACTTTGCTCCTTATTGGGGTTTTCCTCTTGGCATTTGGACCAATTAAATATATAGGTCTGAATATGAGTGATTGATTGCATTAAAAAGGGCATTTTAGACCTTTATGTGTTGTGCTTCTATTGCAAATCCTCCTAGATGATTTGTCCTCATCTGTGGTATATATTACGTAACATTTTCATTAAGTGCCATGATGGATGTGTGTAAGAAATAGTCCTCGTCAGTGGCAGAAGTAGGAATATATAGAGAGAAATAGCCATAGCTGATGTAGATTTTCAATGTATTCTGGGAAATGTGCATTATTGGTGTCTTCGTCTACAGTCGTGATTCCATATAACCATGTAGATAACGATCATAAACGTTCTCTTTGAAGAAATTCTGGATTTTTTTTCCATTTGGTTAATCTCTTATATGACTGCCTTTATAAATGTGTATCTTTGCATTATGTAATAACTGCACTTTATGTACAGATGTTGTTTATACCTTTACTGAACAATTATATTTCTTTTTTAAAGTGATTATTTAAGATTTTGCTTTCTATGAACTAAATTTGTTGTGCAGATAATAATTAACAGAGCAGCTAGTTATTGTTTGAATAATGCCTATTTTGTAGTTGAGTTTTTGTTTTTTTTCTTTTATTATAAATCACTTCCCAAGATATATTTGTCAATTTTACAGTTCTGTAGAAGTAGTTCATCACTTGTAGTTTTAACCACCTTCTTAATGAGCATGTATATCTGCTTGTCTAAAAAAAAAAAACCAAGTCCTCTATACCGGTCATCTTGCCCTTCAGAAAATGTGTTACTTAGTGTCTCATTATTTCATTTGCTTGAAAAGTGGTGTCACATACAGACTTTATGTTCAAGTACTTTTTATTTGGCATTCATAAGGATCCTTGTTCTTAGCTTGCTTCAAGGAAGGGACAGGCTTCAGATTTTTTTTTAAATAATGCTTAAATCATGAATCAGTTGAAAATAAAATGATTGAAAATTATTAAATGTTTGTCATCACTAATACACCAGGAAAATAGTCACATGCATTTATGGAATGCCCTGCTATCTTTCCAGTATGCATAATAAGAGTGATAGATATTCTGACAGCATGCCTATTGTTAGATAGTAGTAAAGCATGAACGATCAATTTTGATTGAAATAGAAAAGTACATTGTAAGAAGAGAGGCGAAAGAAATGCCTATGGTGAGACAAATAAGGTCAACAATTAAATCATGATTATATATTTTATGTCAAACACGTTTACAATTTACAATAACCACAATTTACAACAACAAAAAATTTTTTGTTTAAAAAGTAAGATACATGCACCAAAGGGTAAAAATGATTATTTTCTTGTGAAATAACTTTTTCATATCAATGAGTTTTCCCTCCATATTTCTAGGTCACCAAAACACTCGTACCATCCATTTTTGTTCAAAGTTGTTGATATTTGAGCTCCTCCTCTGGAACAAATGAATGAATTTTCACCATTTATAGCAAAAAATTACTGAAAGGTCCCTGCTTCCCCCTGTGAGCAGAAAGGAGTTCAAAAAGAAGAATAATGCTATATCATTATAATTATATTATAATCAATAGAGTCTCACCCCTTGCCACTCCTCACTCTGGAGTCAAAATTTTTCACAATTTTAAAGAGATGTGTTTGTTCACGATAAACTAATGTAGCTAAGAAGATAAGTATAAAAAAAATTCTGATATTAGAACCCCACCTAACTGCAAAGCCCCCTGATTCTACAGCCATGAATTTAAAGCTTTTTCCTATGTATTCTTATGTAAAACTTAGATCATCCATTGTGGCCTCATCATAGCCCCAGGGGTCAACATTAGAACAAACTTGACTCTTCACTACCAAAGATTTTTAAAAGATGGAAAACGGATCACCCATAGTGACCCCACCCTAACCCTGAAGGTCATGGCTTAAACAAATTTGAAGAAACTTTATTTTTTTATTTTTAAAATTTTTCCCTATAAAATTTTTAAGTAAAACTTTGATTGTGGCTGGCCGGCCCCCATAGTGTCATCCACCCTACCCCCGGGGTCATGATTTAATAAATTTAAATCTACCAGGTATACTTTGTGAAGAAAGTTTCCTATAAGTTGAAACTTGTGTTTAAATGTTCACTATTTCATAATTAACTCCCTTTGAATGACGACATGAGCCTTTTTTGTACAAACTTGATTTCCTTTACCCATTGATACTTTTAGGCAAGTTCGGTTGTAATTGGTCCAGTGGCTCAGAGAAAAAGTTAAGAATGTGAAAAGTTTACAACGGGACAGCCAGACGGGCAGCTTTATGGACAGACAGACCACAGACAAAATGTGATCTGAAAAGCTCTCTTGTATAACAAGTATTATATACTCAACTAATGTAGCTAATTTTTAATATGGGGGAAAAAAAAAAAAAAGAAACGCATAATCAGAATAATATGAAAATCTAAGTTTTCAGTTCAAACCTTATTTTATTTAAGCGATTTTAGAGTGTGTTGTGATAAAAATTAAACATGTCCTTTGTTGCAAATTGAAAAGTCAAGTTGATGCCATTTTCATCGCCCCCAAATTCAAGGGGCATAACAATATGTACTGTGCGACGTCTCAATGCTAGTGGGTTTCCAATGTACGGATATCGTGGAGGAATACCATCTCATTTCAGTCTCTTGCGAACAATTTATGCACTTTTACGCTGATTTTTTCATCCAGCAATTGTAGCAGCAGTTTTTACAACAGGTTCTGAATCGCATGAAATGCGGAAAGTGGGGGGGGGGTCTGACGGTCCTGCCTGGTTTTGGTTACCTGCAGATGGCCAGATAGTGGTCTTCAGATGTTAGTTTAACGGTTGCAAAGCCCATTGATTTATTCCAAATACAGTTGCAACTTCTTGTTGCGTAGCTCCGTTTAGTATCATAGTTAGCCTGGTTGTGTTCATCTTTGTTTCGGCGTGGCATTGCAGTATCAACACTGCAATCTAATCTTATATAAAATAGTTGTTTCATGTACATTTTAAAAATTTCTTTGACGAGTAAAACAATATGCGTTTCTTTTTTTGTTGAGTATATAAAACTTTAAATAGGAAAAAATTCTAAGCATAATACATGTACTAGTAAACAGTTATGTCAAAAGTCAAAGTAATATTCAGATGATTTTTGAAAACCTCTTCTCAATAACAACAGGATCATTTTTAGACTATTTCAATCTCCTTTAAAAGGAGAGCTCCATATAAAGATATACAAAATGATAAAATTTTAAAACTAAAATATATGAATTTTTTCTTTGCCAAATGATAGTTGACAGCTAAAGATACCGTATGTAAAAAAAAATAATTTAAATCTGGTGGTTAATTTGGGATTAAATTGTTGACCCACCAGCCTCCTTAAAACGAGCATTGTAGCCTCTTTTTACAAAGATGGTAACAAAGTTGCATTTGAAAATAATGATTTTGCACCTCATTTCAGCAATATACTGCATTGCACATCATTTCAGCAAAATACAGCACTAAAAATTATTTAAAGAGATTTGAATTTTCGTGATCAAGCCTTTCTTTGATCTGTTGTCAATAGAAGGAGACTTTAAGGATTGGTTCGCAGTGAGAATTATTCACAATATCGAGGCTCTCGCACATGATCAAGTTGGTTTACAGAATGTCATAAACATTTAATACCAAAACTTCTCCTCTGCTTTTAAGGGCTTGGAACCTTCTGCTTGAAGAAACATGTAAATATGTTAATTCAAGCAGGCAGCATTAAAAGTTTTGCTCTTTTTTAATTTCTTCCTTTCTTTTTTTCTTCTTTTCTTTCTTTTTTTTTTTGGTTGCTTTTTAGCTCACCTGAGCCAAAAGCTCAAGTGAGTTTTTGTGATCATATTTTGTCCGGCATCAGTCTGTCTGTCTATAAACTTTTTACATTTTCGACTTCTTCTCTAGAACCACCGGGCCAATTTCAACCAAACTTGCCACAAATCATCCTAGGGTGAAGGGCATTCAAGTTGTTCAAATAAAAGAAGAGCCACACCCTCATTCAAGGGGTGATAATTCAGAAATAGTGAAAATTTGGTGGCATGACTAAATAAGACACAATTAAGAGGCCATGCCAATAAGCATTGAGCTTCACCCTATATAATCATGGAAAGTGAAAAAATTTATTTCTTGCTCAAATTTTGTGAACATGATGCATATGATTAGTCTTTAAAAAAAAATTATCTATCCGGGCATATGACCTCTTGTTTCCATGGCAACCAGAGTATTTTGTTATACTTATCAGAGAAATATGTGAACTGGCCTATCCTGTTATAATTCATATATTTGACCTCAAAACTCTAGGTATAATTTAATAATGTGGGTCATAAAGTGCTTTGAACTATATTTCTCTATTTTATAAGTAAAATTAAATTTGTGCTTAATTTTATTAAGATTTTACCGGTAGAATTATATCCCATAAAGAGCTATGTGGTTTGCAAATGCTGTGCAGCTTTAAAAATTTCTATATATATCTGTAGAAGGAGAATGTTCTGTTCAATATATTAAATAAATAAAATTGGGTAGACTCTTAAAACCTTAAGTAAAATATCAGATTGAATTGTTGGAAAACTCTGTTGAAAAACGATTGGATTGCCTCCCTTGCACGAGCTCTCTAGTAAAGAAGACCGGAAAGAATGGAACAGACAACAATTGAGGAAATGCGGGAGAAAAGGGAAAACTTCAAACTTGGAGTACTTGGACAAAAACATATAATGGTACGTTAAATATATATTTTTCATGTAAATTTTTTGGTAAACTTTGATAACTTTATATATTTAAAGCAAGAGTAAAGATTAGGAAGGTACCTCAAGATTAATTTTTCTATCGTATGATGTGATACAAATATTGAGTGATGCAACGAAGTTACTGCCTTACAGGTATTAAATTAAAAGCAACCTGTTATATGACCACAAATGTTTTATTCTGCAGTTGTTAAATAACTCCTAATACAATTAAAGATAGATAAATGCTAATAATGAAATTTAAAATAATTTTATGCCTATGCTATTTGTGTATTAAACTGTTAAAGAGGTCATGAGGTCACACTGCAGGAAAGACTAAAGTCCCTAATATATACACA